TACTTAATCCGATATATCTTTTGTAAATAGAAGTATCCATTCTTCGAATTATCATTAAATGGCAAACACGAAGAATCATTCTTCCAATTTTTTACTAATATAAGAGCATAGAATAGAAGAGTAAAATAATATTCTAAAAGAGAAAAATTTACACAAGTGTATCTCAACCATAGTGGCTTCATCACTCCTTTGAGAAGGGGTGTTTAAGCTAGCATACTAACAAGAAAATAAAACATAAAATAAAAATGTTTTCATAAAACATGAAAAATTGGGATAAACATATTTATTTAATAGAAAATATTAATTAAATATTTATTACTAAGTATAAAATAGCAAGTTTTGTGCACCTATTAACTTGCTAAACTGAAGAATGGAGAGAGACTGAGAGGCCCATTGATTTTTTGAATCATACCAGTATATATAATGCTTCTTTCAAAAGATAGATGTAGTTTAAAATAATGGGAGATGATGACAACAAGATCTGCCTTTTCCCGGGGTAAAATGGGGTGTGTCTATACCTAGGGGCGGAGCCAGAATTTAAATTCAGGAGGGGTAAAAAAAAAAAAAAGTAATAGGAAAAGAAAAATGACAAAATTTTGAAAGAAACTAATTAGAGTATGATTGAATAAGGAAAATATAATTTTTTTAAAAAAAAGGAAATTAAAGAAATTTAAAGAGTTTAAGAAATTTTTTGAAACTTAATATTGTTAGGGGAGCATAATATACAAATTTATATATATATGTAAAAATAATTTTAAAAATTCAAATATATTATATAAGGCGGGCCCAGCATGTGCCCCCTAGGCATATGCTGGCTCCACCCTTGCCTATACCTTATACCATGTATTTGTGCGTCTCTAGCAATTCTAAATCGTAAGCCCACTCTGACACCGCACTCTCTCTTACACCTTCGTTAATGGGGCCACGTGGCTGCCTCTTTCTCTAATCATGGCCGGCCACATGTCGGCTCATTCTTTTATTTTTTTCCCACTCGATCCGCTCCATCATTTTTTTTTTCCCTTCCCCCTTACTTCAATCGTACTTGTTATTTTTCTTTAAGAAGAGTACAAATGAGTTGATAGTGTAATTTGTTGTATAATTAAATTTTCAACGCATCACAACTAGGGTTGCACAAAAATTTGGTAAAATTGAAAATTTAAATCGGATCCTGTAACGACCCGAACCTGTGGTTCTGAACCGTTAGCCGGGTTCTTACCCGAACTCGAGGTCAACTAGGGTTACACCCGTCATTTCCTACATCATTACGAAGCATAAACCTCATCCATAACCCTACAACCCTCCCAAACTACCAACATTACAGAAGGAACTCAAGGCAGGGTGGAAGAAGAGAATCGGCTGGCTGATGCTCAAGGTTAGTTCGGCTGACCTAAATGGTCGGTCGGCCGAAACGATGCACAATTGTGTATACTCTCAAGACTTCCAAAGAATGGCCTATCGGCCGATTGGAAAATTGGATTCGGTCGGCCGGAAGAAGAGGTTCGGTCCTCGTCGGCTGACCGAAACGATACTTCCAAAGACTCAACTCTCTGGAATGCCCCAAATTATACTGTCGGTCGACTGAAGCTCCTTGTCCACCGGCCAACAGGCTCTGGAGTTTTGTTAGCTGCAGCTGAGAACACAAGGAAACTGGGCTCGTTGAGAGCCAAACCTGATAGACAATCTAATCCCGAATTCATGGCAACATAAATAGCATTCTATAGATATATGTATTAATCAATTTCCCAATTTATACATCATTTTTCCATTCAAAGCATAACATAGACATAGTCCCAAATACATCAAAATACTGTCGAAATTATAATTACAAAACATGGCTATGCTTTACACAAACAATTACATTTCCAAAGTATTAGTTTACAAAAAAGAATGGGATCCCATATACAAAAGACAGTAAAATAACTTCTAGTCCGTCAAGCTTGTGGTGGATTTTCTTTCGCCATTTCCTTTCTGTGTCCCGAAATTGTTAAGATAATGGGTGAATATAAAGCTCAGTAAAAGTCGCCTAAGGCATTAGTTTTGGACTCCCTTGAGCCACATAACACAAAAAGGGATACAAGATAAAGGGATCATGCATTAGGGTCCATGAAATACTTACGATAGGTAAAGCAATATTCTCAGTAAATAACACAAATTCTACTAATGTCGTGCATGATATTAAATGTAATGCATCCCGTTTGAACTCGGTCTGAACCTTCTTAACTCACAACTTTTGAAAAAAAAACTCACTAAATGACTTTACCGAGGCGAGATTGATAACTATCCCTGGTTCCAATTCTGGCAAGGCCTGGCAACCGTTAAAGGGCCTAGTATTAACTTTTTCACGCCCTATACCGGGCTGCGCTCCCTCTAGGTCAAGCTAGCCCCGAACTCGCGAAATCCGGTTCATTTTAAAAAAAATCCCAACTTCAAACAACGACCTTCCTTTTAAAAGTCCATTTTAAACTTTCTCTGAAATTTCCCTTTCCCTTGCCATATGATGCAATGCATTGTAATATCAATGAGATCAACATGACAATTTCTAGACAATAAGCATGATAAACATTCCATATTCACATTCAACAATAATTTTAACATGCTCATGATAGAATTACCTACACAACAACAATTATTCAATTCATAAGGTTTCCATGCAAAATTCTTCACATGCTCCCAATACAATATAGAAAGAAATCATATACTCGACATTTTACATATCTTTTACATTTTTAAGACACATTTCCAAGTCATAAATCAAGATTTCCAAGCATAAAGAAAAGAAACTCAAATTTCGCTCAATTAAAGTTAAAACTTAGACATTAGGGAGACCCCTACCTCAATTAGAGAGCAACTCCTCAAGAAGCCCCAAATTCACCCCAAACCCTAGAATTTTGAAATCCCTAAACAGTGGCTAAACAGAAATTGGCTCCAATCAAAGCGAAGATCTCAAAGCACTCGTCAACTTTGCTTCAAGTAGATAGATTTAATTCCCAAACGTGTGGGAAAGATCAAGTTTTGAAATTCAAGGAAAACGAAAAAGAAAAGGAAAATTGAGGGGGAGAGAGAGTCTGCCAGTAGAGAGAAAGAATGAAAGGCCATGTAATGGCCTTATGGCCATTACATTGACATGGTGGGTCCCATAGAAAAATATCTCACTTTACACATTAATATATATATATGTATTTATATATACAATTTAACTACAATCACATAATAACATATATCCACATAAAATGCACTAAATAAATATGCATGAAATGAAATGGACTCGTGATACAACCCCCATACATAACAATCCTGGTAGCGGGTTCCACCTGGAACCTTTAGGTCCGAAAACAAAAAAATATCAAAATGGCAACCCATGCATTTTCAAGAGTCCTGACTCCAGAAAATGTACCAAACAACCCTCTGACACATCCGGCACACCCCAAGGTGTTTGGTTTGCATAACCTCAAAATGACAAAAATTGAAAACATTACAAATCCGATCGAATCGAACAGTTTGCACAAAAATTCGGTCAAATTGAAAATTTAAATCGGATCCGATCGAATCAGACAGTTTGATTCAATTTGGTAACGGTTTGATTTGGTCATTGTTCTAAATTTGTGAAACCGTAAAATACGGTTTGATCACAGTTTGAAGTCTTTTAGGACCGAACGGAACAGTTTAGTTATATATAAATATAATATAAATCTATAATTCAAATCATTTAAAAGTTTGTAGCAACGATAAATCATATTGTTCATTTTTAATTCTCTTAGGTCTTATCAATTCATTAGATAATTCTTATTTTTTATTAATTTATTGTGTCTGAATTTTGTTGGTTTTATGAATTGTGGCGAATGTTTGTTGTTGAATTAAGAATCTGAATGTATAAGGTTATTAAGAATTCTGAATGTATTTACTTCAGTTTCAAAAGTGATAAAGAAGAATGAATTAAAAATTATGAATATATTAACAGTTCTGAATGTGTTGTTTAACTTGGTTTATTGTTGTGTATTTCAATTTTGAAATATGAATATTTTTGTAACAAGAACGAAAAATTGTAAAAAAAAAAAAAAAAAAAAAAAAAAAAAAAAAAAATCGTAAAATCGAACGAAACCGATTTCTCACAATTTGTTTTCTTTGGTTAAATTGTTCGGCTTGGTTCCAAATTTTCTAGAGATTTCAAAAAAAACTCTTAAACTATTCCAAACTAAGTATTGTGCACTCCTAATCAAAACATAGGTGAAACAAATTTTTAAAAAAAGGAAAAAATAAAATCACAAATAAGTCATAATTGTTATTATTATTATTATTTTTCAGGGATTGTTATTAGTTAAAGAATTTAAAAATCAATCACAAAGGTTCGCGAGAGGCAAACAAGTGTAGAGCAACAGGCTACTCTCTCTTTCTCATTTTTCTCTCTTGGTAATTGTTGTTACCTTATCCTTTTAAGGCGGCGTCCACTTTTTAGGTCTAATTTGGGTTGAGCAATAGAAAATCAAATTTGAATATTATTTTTATATATGTATTTTTTTATTATATATAATATTGAAATTATGATCACTTTTTTGCTTTTCAATTAATTTCTTTATTAAATTTTAATTTATAGTATGTTAACATTTAGGATAAATAATTTTATAAAAATTTATTTGTAATTTATTAAAAATTTGCAATAATTTCTTTATTATTATTTTTTATTTAAGAGTAATTTAATTTTAAATTAATTCAGTATCACATTAAATTTTCAATATAGAAATTAGTCATATGGGTAACCCGAATTAACCTTATTTTTTAACCTGAAATATAAGTCCATGTTGTAAATTCAAATTTAAAACTAGAAGGATGAGTTAGGCACGGACTGAATAGTTGGGGTTAGAGTTAAACTCGAGTTGAACATTTCATATATCCAGTTGCACTCAAGTTACACTTCAAGTTACACCCATTTTCCCTGTTAACCTAACTCTTTTTAATATTTTTTTATTTTAGTGGTTGGATAAATTTTCAAATGTACCCTTCTATTATATGTCCACGTAGGATTAATAAACCTTTGGTGTACAAAGTCATGCAGTCCCCTAACATAATATGGTATCGAACAAGTCTTCGTCTGCCAAATCTATGGTTCTTTTTATTAATGGAATTAAGAATGAAACAAAGAGAAAGTTTCAGTTATTTGACATCCTTCATTCCTTATCAAGGAAAACTGGCAACTGCTTTGAGTTACAACAAAATCTCTGGTTGGGTTGAAACAAAAAACAAAACAAATTCTTGATCGCCAAGTCGGTACTCTTTTACTAAGCATACAGTCTTCAATTTGAAGTAGTAGTATATGCTAAATTTATGGCTTGATGGTGATTGAGCCTAAGCTGCAGCTGCCTTGACTTTCTCAATCAGATCTGCGGCGTCTTGAACAGTTGCGATATTTGCAGCTCCCTCTTCTCCAATTGACACTTCAAATTTCTCTTCCAGAGCCATCATAATTTCCACCTGTACGTTTCAATTTATTCACATCACTATTGCAACAAAATTCATTCAAAATTAACAACTATTTCAATTTTTTTCTTTTTCCTGTTTAACGTACATCATGTAATTACATTCATCATTCATGCAATAACCGTATTTGCAGAACAAGCCCACACACACACACACACACACATATATCTATATATATAAGAGAAAATGATATTGTATTGATGTGCAGAGGATATGACATACAGTGTCAAGGGAGTCAGCACCCAAATCTACAAATTTGGTTTGGGGAGTGACAGTGCTTTCATCAACTGACAGTTGCTTTGCAATTGTGCTCTGTACAATTGTTAGAGTCTCTGCCTGAGCCTGCACACACACATTGTGTCATTAAGCTTAAAACTAGGACACTAAAAGCAACTACACATATATATAATTATAATACTACATATGAATATGTATTAAAATGAATATAGATTTGAGTGATATTGATTAATTCTTACACTGGAGCATGAAATTGTAATCTTGTGGCAACGGTTGAGCGGCAATGATTTTCTTGCTGTATTTTTTATTTGAATCCTAGGCACAACTCTTAACCCACCCTGCAATATTCACAATGAGTATATATTGATATTAAAATTATCTTATTTTCTCTCCCCCAATATATATATATATATATAGTATATGTGGTACTTACAATTGTGGAGAAGCTGCTGCTAAGTTGGTTGAGGGCACATTTGGGCCTGGGAGTGCAAGTAAGGGTAGCAGTAGGAGCAACTGAAGCTAAAAGAATGGAGGCCATGATATGTTTTAATAATTAAAAGAAGAAAATTAAGATCAAAGAAGGTGTTGAGAGGCCTAATTGCTAGAGCGATTAATGAAATTAGTATATGAGAAGAGATTGAAAGGCCTTTCGATGTTTGATTCATATATAAAGCTTTGATGGATAGATAGTTTCCAAATGACGGGCGATTATGTCAAGAAGGCCTGCCTTCATGGAGGTGATCAATCGGGCGGTCTATACCATGTATTGTGTGTCTCTAGTGCTGTAATGCTAGCCGACCTTACAAATATCATGTTTATTCTTTTTTTAGTCAAATAGTTATGTTCCGGTGGGGTCTAGCGTTACGAGAGCCAAGTGCATTATATAATAATAATTTAAATAAATATATATAAAACTTGTCATGAGAGCAATTTTTTTTTGAGAGGGTATTTTCTCAATATGAAGGGGGTGCGAGAACAGTTTTTTTCTTTTCTTTTCTTTTTTTTTTTTTACAACATTTTTTCTTATTTTATTATTAAATTAATCATTTTTTCCTTTGCAAATAATAGGGTTAATTACAACGACACCCCTTGATGTTTGACATATTAACAGTCATATACAACTTAATTGCTTTTTGGACAAAGACACCCCCTGTGATAATTTTGATCCAAATAAACCCTTAAAACGTTAGAAAAGATGAGATTACCCTTTAATATTTAATTCATACCGTTAAATATCAGAACTCATGAAATATCAAATTTGCCCTTATATATACATTATTGCAGCGGGGAAGAGAGAGCACAAGTCGCCGCCACCCTCATCGACGGCGCCATACCCAATTCCCCAACGTTCGTCCGCCACCTAATTGAAGACAACCCAAGAAAAAACCCACCCCTTCGATTTCACCCACCACCACTCAGTACTGCCCTCGATTTCACCCACCATCACTCTCACCACTGCCTTCAATTTCACCCATTTACCACTGCTTTCAACTTACACCATCTCTAATCAACCACGGTGCCGCCACCGCCACTATCTCTCTGCATCCACTGCCACAACCACCATCTCGTCAAATTGTTCCACCTCTTACCACCATTACTTATCACCACCACAGTCCACAACTAGGGCTACAACCACCCCCAAAATTTGCTATTTCCCTTTCTTGTGCGCGCGCAAGCACACACACACACATATACATATACACAGAGAATTGAAATTGATTCTTCCATCTCTTGCACACACACATACACAAACATATACACACATATAGATACATATATATATACACAAACAAATTGCGCTTCTTCCCTCTCTTGCGCGCGCGCGCGCACACACACACACACATATTCATAGATACATATAGACAAACAAGCACACATAACCACACCCACCCGAAATTGCATTGGAATTGGAGTTATGTAATTTTTCCATCAAAACGAAGACAAATAATTGAAATTGCCACCACCGTAACCACATATCTAAGTGCAAAAAAGTCGACACCACTGAGGACGACGACGACGACTCAACCTTCCTCGACCTCTCCCTCATCAAAGCTATCGACAGATCTCAAAAAGGCATCGTAGGGATGTGATATCTCTCTCTTTCTATTTTGTATTTGTGATATTTGATAGCTGTATTTCGAGTACCATGATGGTGGGTATGGTGGCGGCTATGGTAGGGCTGTTAAATGGGTGGTGGTGGGTGTGAACTGGCCGTGGTGGGTGTAGTGGCTGTTGGTTGGCTTACTAGGGTATTTTGGTCAATTAAAAAGAATTGTATCGGATAAATTGATAATTGAATGTATCAAAGGATAATAATATCAATTTACCATGTGTAATGACCATTGGAATGTCTTTGTTAACTTTATCTAACCTGAGGGAGGTGTCTTCGTCTAAAAAAGAGCTAAGTTATATATAGTTATCATTATGGCAAACCTCAGGGGGTGTCATTGTAATTAACCCCAAATAATAAAAGTAGATATATTAATAATTTAAAGTGGAAATGGATTGAGAAAACGGAATGGCACTTGATTCTCATCCCAAGGGAAGAGAAAGCCCAAAAAAAAAAAAAAAAAAAAAACTTACTGCACCCTTGTGATAAAGTAAGGCAAGCAAGTTTAATAGCCCAAAAAATGGGGATGTAGCTCAAAATGAAACGATGAAGTGGATGACATGCCAAAATATGAAAGCATGAAACTCATTTTAAAATCATACGGTCATTTATCATAAAAAATTGTACTATAAAATTGAAGTTTTCATTTAAACATATGTGCGTGTAGGACTGTTAATGGATCGAATTTGGATCAGATCGATCAAATCCATATTCGATTTGTTAAGCAAACGGATTATTGGATTCGAATCACTAATGGGTTCTCGGACTGAATGTCCCAATCTATATCCTATTTAGCTCGGACTTGGATCGGATCTGATTTGAAATCGGATTAAAATAATATTCACTAACATATATAATTATAAAGAGTATGATTTTATTAGTATGTGTACTAAGAGATTTATTAGCATATAGATGAGAACACCACAATATTTATATATAACATTATTATTATTATTATTTTTGAATTTTTGGGTTACCTCTAATACAATTCTAATAGGAGTATTGATATATATATATATATATATATATATATATATATGTAAATTATTGATAAATAATTATATATATATAATTTCAATCGGATCGGATTGAATTTTTATCGGATCGGATCATCATAATTCATACCCGATTTGTTAAGCTAACGAATTATCGGATTCGGATCGTAACCGGGTTATCGGATTTTTTGTTTAATCCATTTCTGACTAATCGGATCGGATTTAGATCAAGATCCGCTTCATTGATAGGTCGTGTGAACTTTATTTATATAAAAGATATTTATTGCTACAATTCAAGTGTATAAAAACTTTAAAATCATATGAAAAGAATAGGATTTCTTTCCATCTATATGCTACATTACTAAGTAAAATAATAATAATGATAATTCTTGTACAAACCAAAAAAAAAACTAGTGGATTGTGTCAATGTGTGTCAAGATATAAAATCATGTAATTGATATGTTTTGGTCACGTGTAAAGAGATAATGTCATGGAGATAGTAACATCCAATTCATGCATTTTCTTGCAAAAATATCATGCTAGATTTACATGATTAATAGATTAAAAAATGTTAAGAAAATTGATTATATATATTTTCAAGCATTTTGAGAAACTCATAATATTTGATGTGATTGACAGAATGTTAGCTTTAAATTACCGAGTGAGTCCGCCGTATTGTTTTAATTCATCGACAAAGATAAAAAATAAATAAAGTGACATCAAACCTTCTTAACTATCAATTATAAAATATTCAGAAAAGTATGACGAGTAGCTAGAATGTGGTTGACAAAGAAAATATAAATTATTGGAGGAGTAAGCCAATAATAAAAATTATTAATTATTATTATTATTATTTTCATAAAAAATTGATAATTTATCTACCTCCTAACAAAGTGAATGATGAAAATTCGAATAAAAAAAAAAAAAATTTCATTCAAGTAATATTTTCACAAAATGTGTGTGAGTGAAGAGTGCGTATGTAGCTATTAACTTATTTATTTCATTCAAGTAATATGCACTAAAAACTCAAAACCTCACCAAATAGCGACAGATATATGAAATAGCTTAAATTTCTTCTCTGTGCAAATCTTCTGATCAGTGTATTTAAATTAATTTTCTTTAGGCAAAAATAAGAAAAAATAACCTATAATAAAGGCTAATCAGCTCTATCTCCTTTTCTTCTCTATCCTGCTATTAGGGATGGCAACGGGGGCGGGTTTGGGTGAGTGTACCCTCCCCTGCCCCCGTAACCGTTTAAAAATCCCGCCCCCATCCCCGCCCAAAATAGTAAAAACGGGAGAACTTTCCACCCCATCCCGGTAACCATTTAACATTTTACCCCCGCGGGTACCCGTCCCGCCCCCATTAAGACCATAATTTATTTATTGTTGAAATAAATTTTTTTTTTTTTTTCCTCATCTTTAATTCTTCACCATTGCAACTTTTTTTTTAATCAAATTCATTTCTTACTTTAATATTGTTATATGGGATACTTAATATATAGTGGTAAATATATATACTAATGAAATAAGGGTACTTAAGTAATTTGTCTATCTAAACGGGGCCGGGCGGTGGAGGGCGACTTCCCCCCGCCTCCGCACCAAACCCGCGCGGGTTTTTATTACATCAAACAATCCCCGCACAAATAAGCAAAACGGTCCCTCAAAACCGGCAAAAACGGAACGGGGTGGGGCAGGTAACCACGAGGGCGGGTCAAATTGCCATCCCTAGGGTTTTTATTACATCAAGCAATCCCCGCCCAAAAAAGCAAAACGGTCCCCCAAAACCTGCAAAAACGGAGCGGGGTGGGGCGGATAACCGCGAGGGCGGGTCAAATTGTCATCCCTACCTGCGACGGGCTAAGTATATGAATCTGCCGAAGCCCCAAAACAACTATTGATTGACTCCTGTATCGGCTTTTTTACAAAGAGTTGGTTGAGAATGAAGCCCAGGGGCGCTCAAGTTCGGTATGAAATGAGGATCTCCAAATATATAAAAAAAGAAAAATCCTTTCTTGAGTGGTTTATATGAGTTGAGTTAAATGTTAATAAAGAGAGGTTAAGATGCAAGGCATTTTGCCATGTCTTGAAAGTTCACGATTGATTAACAGTTTATCGGGTAAAGTACACCATCATCTTCTGAGATTTGATATAAGAATAATTAGATGAAAGTTGTCTTATTTTTTAACAATCACACCCTCTCAAATTTGATAAAATAAACAAAGTTACCCTAACAATTATGAATTGACTTTATTACTCTTTAGTATAAAATTGATAAATATAGTTAATTTAAATACCCTTAAACCAAATAACTTTAAAAGGTTATTAATAAAACCCATCTGATAAACCCAAAATCCTTACATTTTTCTTCTCTTTCCCCTCTTAAGACCCTAACCCAAACAACTAATACACACGCACATATATCATCACCACCACAAATCTCGTATCACCACCATAAATCAGCCCCGTTGCCACATCATCATCCCTCAACATCATCGTCATCAATTCATCACGGTGACAAGCAAGGAAAATAGAACCACAGGGAGGTGAATTAGAGCTTACGGAAGCGAAAGGCTTTTGTCTCCACAGTTGGTGGTGAAACTGAAGCCGTAGGCTCACTCTGGTGGTATCGAAGGAAATTTAGGAGATCGGCACCCACTTCCATGAGTTTCGACTTGGGTTCTCTCTCTCTCTCTATTTATATATATGCAGAAAATGGATTGGGTTTCCCTTTGGTATACTGGCACATCAATGCACAAATGGTTGAGTTTGATCTTTGTAGTATACTCGCATGTCAATGCACAAAATGGATTGAATTTTATCTTTCTCTCTCTCTCTCTCTCTATATGTATATTTGCACAAAATGGATTAGGAAAAACTAGGAAAAAAACAAAATGGATTAGTAATCTATATGTATTTGCACAAAATGGATGGACTGGGTTTTCCTTTGGTATACTGACACGTCAAATACAGAAATTGGATTGAGTTTGATCTCTGTATATATTATATATATACACATGCTCTGACCTGAGTAACATGGGGCACGTGGAATCTCGTGTGCTTGACCAACCATTAGGAGAAGCAAATACATGGGGTATATCTAGTTATATATACCAAATAGAAAGCAAAATGGGTTTGATGAAGCTTTTGGGTCTGGGTTGGGGGGGCTGGGGTGGTGACTGTTGTGTGTGTATATATATTTATATATATAGATACACAATATATATAGAGAGAGATGAAAAAGGGTAATTTGGTTATTTAAGTATTTTGATATTTTATAATTAAAATTAATAAAATAATAAAGGGTAAAATAGATTTTTCACATATTTTAATGCTCTGTTTGGATGACAAATTTCACGTGGGGACATGGTTGTCTAAAAATAGACAAACTTTTATTTGTATGGTCTTATCCCAAACCTCAGATGTCTCTACACTTTACCCTAGTTTGTCACTGGTATTTTTGTATCAAGTTGTTAGTTAGGAGGTTTATTGCAATTTAGCCTAAATAATTGTTGACAACTAGTTAAATATGGTTCGGAATGAAGCATTTAAGTAGATGATCTTCCCCCGTGTTCAATAATATGGCCCTCGATTATTACTAGCTATTTATATATATATTGTGATTCTTAAAAAATTTTACTAGCAAAACTATGGAATTTGTGCATCAGAATTGGAGTTAAAAAGAAAATTTGTTTTAAATTATTTTATAATTTATTTTTAAGACACTAATTCTATACATACGAATATAATTACTCTTCCTTTAAACTAAGTATACACACGAAATGATCAAAACTTTAAAATTATATGAAAATAATAGATTTTCTTTCCATCTATATGCTCCAATTGATGAAACGAGACCGAGTGGAAACCTGAATTTTTTTATAAAAACAAAGCTATTTTTGGTGATTTTTAAACTATTATCCCTTATATATATTATAGGGGTAAAGTGTAAAAAACACCCTTAATTAATGGTGTTTTTTAAACTATCATATCTTATTTTAAAAAGTGTGTTATTAACTCTTTATTTTTTTAAAGTTGAGTGAAAATACCCCCTCAAGTTACTTTTTACACAAATGTGATATAAAATAATATTGTAATATTTGTTTTGTCCTTTTACTATTCCAAAAATATCTAAGAAAAGGTATATGTTAATAATCTCGTGGTAGAATGCTGTTTTGAGCACATTAACTATATTTAACCCACGAATTTTCTCTCATTTTTAAAAAGACGACAACAACAACAACAACAACAACAACAATAATAATAAATTTATTTTTATATATTTTCTCTAATAGTGTATTATCTCTATATGGGTTGAGAGTTTTACACTTCTTAAGACTTAATGTCACTAGTAAGATCTGATATATGTATTTATTGGTAATATAAAAATAAAAATAAAAATATCTCAAAAAAAAAAAAAAAAAAATTAATAAAAAAAAATTTGTTCTCACAGAGTCACACTTATCCTATTGACGTACAATATTTCCTATGGAATGTAAACCAAAGAAGTCTGAAAATTTTCTTTCAAACTATTCAATCAAATTACAATCTCAATTAAATTTATCGTCAAGATCAAAAGATTTAAAATAACAATAATTTATAAAGTAAAGTGTAGAAAACACTCTATAGTATATTTAGGATCCATATCACACTACTCATGTGCTAAACGACTTAATTTTGCTTTGTGTCCATTTTTGTCTTTTGCACAAAATATTGTATTTTTAAACGAGATTAAGTGCAAAAAGACATCTCAAACCTCCCTATGAAAATATATATATACAATTCCCTCTATTATTCATTTTTGGAGCAAATTGTCCCATAATCATCAATTTTGACCAATTTTATAATAGAAATTCAAAAATACCCTCCATGTAAGCAAGAATTTTATTTTATTTTTTCCCATCCTCTCTCCAAAACGGGCACCATTTCCGACGAACCCATTTCCGGCAAAAAGCTTCTGGAGTGTCGTCTGATATCCATCTCGTATGATATCGATCAGATGGTTTCGAAGTTGTACCATATATCAATGTAATCCCACAGCACCTTATCCATTAAAAAACGAGTCATAACATCAGTCCAATATCCAAAATTGGAGCCATGCAAACCAAAACTAATAGAACAGTATATATCATTCCACACTGTAAAAAACACCTGCAATTGGGTCTTCAATTATCCTTTCAAGTGATTGTTTAGGCAAATTTGATTATTGCATAATCAATTTTTTTAGAGACCAGTGATTGAAAGACAGAAAAATAATTTAATTAGATGCGGAGGTATATAACTGAAAATCAAATTCTGAAGACAAGTCGATACTAAAAACAATTATTTATTCAAAGAGAACAAAAGCATCTAGTGATGATGAGACATAGTCTATAACATGCCCAATTGATCAGAACACATTCCCTTCCAAATGGAATTGCTCTCTCCTGCAACGGCGGTAACAATTCTTCAGAGAGCCCATTCACAATGGCTCCAGATCAAATTTGCACACTGCAAACATGGTTTGGGATTAGCAGGGCTCTCGATCCGGTGACACTGCATGTATGTGATGAAGCCACCACTGAAATTAGCCAGATGGAGTTGCGATTGTGAAGAAACTGCAATACCCAACGGAAAGCGAGAACCGAGGATGATTTGTAGGTACAGTTCGATGTTTCTCATGGTGGTAGTCAATAAGGAGGTGCTCGACGGCCGGGGGTGGGGGTAGGGGTAGGGGTGGCTGTGCAGAGAAATAAATAGAAGAGAAAATTGCATGTACGTGTGTGTAAATATATATATATATATAATAAATGTCCAAATCATGACACTTATTATATTATAGCGTGAATTACAATTATCAAGAGTCACGGTTATCAAAACATTACACTTAGTGTTCTTCTATTTTTTTTTCTTTTTGTTTTTTTGTTTTTTTTTTTTTTGGCACTTTAACACTTTTAAAAATATTGTAAAAAGTGTATATAACGGCCGTAAATTACATAAATTTCACGCCAAATGTGTCAGGTGCAACTTATTTGCATAATGTAAGGGGTATTTTCAGCGCATGAAAAGCCTGACCTGCACTCATGTTTTTTACACTTTACTCAAATATGTATATATATACTGTCAAGACTATTATACAATAGAGGATGAAGACGAACTTATACTACTATAGGAGTTTATGTTACAATTTACTGGTACTTTGTTGAGTTATTACTCCATTTATTATTATTTTGCTACAACACCATTACAGTTGGTCTCATCAGCAGCACATTGCACATAGTGACTATCAAAATAATTTCGATGATAGTAAAGCTTTCTGCAACTTATTTGCTTGATTTATGCAGTATAAAAAACATTCCAGCGAACCTGATTTTTTAGAGAGAGAAAGTGAGACACAGATGGCCATTGGTTGTGGTAAGTCTCCTCCGTCGCCGGACCTCCCGTGGAAGATCAGACTCTTAATCTCTGCTTACACCTTCGCCATGGATGTCTGTCTCCGCTCCAACGCCACCATCAACCGCCGCCTCGGCAACCTCCTCGATCGCAAATCCCCTTCCTCCAACAAACCTGTCAACTCCGTCACCTCCTCTGACGTCACCGTCGATCACTTCCGCAACCTCTGGTTTCGCCTCTACGTGCCATCCGCCGCGGCTGACTCCAAGCTCCCCTTAATCGTCTACTTCCACGGCGGCGGATTTGCGCTCTGCGGCGCGGATTCAACGCCGTACGACGACTTCTGCCGCGGCCTGGCCTCTGAAACCCTCGCCGTGGTTGCCTCCGTCAACTACCGCCTCTCGCCGGAATACCGCTTCCCCGCACAGTACGTCGACGGCTTCGACGCATTGAAATTCATGGATTCCACCAAAGATGACACATTTTTGTCCTCGAACGCCGATCTCAGCCGATGTTTCATCGCCGGCGACAGTGCTGGTGGCAACATAGCGCACCACGTGACGGTCAGAGCTGCCGAGAACGGATTCGAGAAACTGAAGATTATCGGAATGGTACTGATGCAGCCGTTCTTCGGCGGTGAGGAGCGGACAGAATCGGAGCTCCGGCTTGCCAGAGCGCCGATGTTGAATCTGGATCTGACGGACTGGATGTGGAAAGCCTTTTTGCCGGAAGGATCGGATCGAGACCACGAGGCAGCGAATGTGTTCGGTGGTGGAGGATCGAGATCAACTGATATCGCCGGTTTAAAGTTTCCGGCGACGGTAATGTTCGTCGGAGGTTTCGATTTGTTGCAAGACAGGCAGAGAAGATACTACGAGGGATTGAAAAAGTGCGGGAAAGAAGTGAAATTGGTGGAGTATCCAAATGGGATCCATGGTTTTTATGGATTTCCGGATTTGCCCGAAACTGCTTTGCTAGTTACGGAAGTGAAGGATTTCATTCAAAAGCAATCATGGGAGTGAAATAATCTTTCTATTTTTTCTGGTAATTAGAATGAAATAATCTTTGCAAGAGAGAAGCTTGGAAAAATCCCAAATTTGTTGAATTTTCAATTATAAGTTAATTTATGCAGTAAAAATCCCAATTTTGTTGATTTTTCAATTAGAAATTAATTAACATATGACAGAATTCTGAACGGTTCGACAAGCAATTAAATAAGTTCATTTTCAACAAATTAATATTATTTTTTTGGATGGAAACGAAGTATTGAGAAAGACCCATTAACTTTAGCTTGTGGATCCTACTGGTTTTCAGTTGAAAACTTTTGTTTAGGGTTCTGAAATCACGTTTTATGGTTTTATACGAGATTTGCTAATTATTTAAGAATTTTTGTTCAAGGCCTTAACGAACTCGGATTTATTTAGTTTCTTATTCTATTTTGTTTGTTTCGGAATTTTTTACAGAAAAATTTATTTTTATACTTATTTGTAGAGTTAGTTTCGTTGTGAGATTAGATTTTAGTTTCTTTTTAGTATTAGATTTTATCTATTATAAATATTGATGTATTGCAAGAGCAAGATTTTAATTTTTTTACCAATAATATTTTAGAATTTTTTTATGAATTTATCTTATATTTTGTGGATTCAAAGTAATCATTTCCTTGTAAACAAATTTATCTCTTTCTGCTACGTCATATTACTCTATTTATAAGGTTGGAAATTGAGTTATTGGTGCTTCAAGTTCGACCTCAACATTTAAAATTTGAACGTAATTGTAGTGAAGTTTAAATTTAAATCATACAATCATTCTAAATGGATGTCACCTCACACTTAATGCACGTTTTTACACTCACTTTATGTGATTTGAATTTTATAATTTTCTATTTCGGTGCCCTTGAATTTGCTCTCACACTTGGCCTTTGTATCTCAAGTCTAAATATGAATATTTAATTTCAATTCTATGTTACTCATGAAACTCAGAGCCATATTAGTTCGTCATATTAATGCTCCAGTTTGGCCACTGCCATGGTGAGCTCTGTCCATTTATGTAATTTAGCATATTTCTCAATCAGGCAAAGGCTTGTCATCAAAAATTGATAGGTGAAGATTGGATCACAAATCCAAACTAGTCTCAATGAATATCACATTTTCATTAACATTTTAATAGCTTAACAAGTTGAGTTACCAATTGTTTGAAATTAGGTTGTTTATATAGTGAGATCGAATAAAAGTTGATCATGTTGTTTGTTTGTTTAACAAAGAAATATGAACCAGTGATCTGAATTATTCGTGAAAAATTGTGGTTATCATTTGATTCTCGTATATATAAATGCTAGTAAGAAAAATTGATGACCAGTTGCTGTTAGCTGATGAAAATTAGTGGTCTCCAATACCAATAATAAATAAATATAATATTAAGAGGCTTCACAGCATCACAAGGGGATGTAGCTCAAATGGTAGAGCGCTCGCTTTGCATGCGAGAGGCACGGGGTTCGATCCCCCGCATCTCCAGGCTTTGTCATTCTTAAATAATGTGGTTTTTGTTTTGCACTTTCATTAAACAAATCCCATCCCACAGTCGACACAAAGACGAAAGACAACCTAATCATCTGAGTATCTCAATACCGAACAAAAAGGCTCGTTTTTCATTTACTATTATGTCCTTTTGTCTTCTGTTTTCGTTCACTTGTTCACTTTTATGGGTTTATGTCTAAATCTCAAATCATGTTATATCTGTGTACTCCGTATGTGTGTGTGTGCGCGTGTGATCTGCTGGCTTTTAATTGATTCTGAACAGAGTCCAATGGGTTTTATGTTAAAATTTCAATTGGGTTTTCGTTATTTTTTTTTTTGCCAATTTGAAGTCTAAAATGTAAGTTGTGCCGTGTATCTATCTCCATCCCTTTGGTGCCGCCAATAGTGTGCGTGTTAGTGCCACTTAAGTGTTTGCTGTAATGTCACTGAAGGAACTCATTCTTAACTGAAAATGGCAACCGAAATTCTGTGACATTTTTCACTGATCTCACAAAATTACCATCTTTCATGCCTCAGGCTTCGTAGCTGTCACCATTATTATGGCTATTTCCAAATTATCGCAGCTCGGAGCTCAGATGATCAAGAGTTTAGAGAAAGGTCTGCTATTTTTATTTATGACACACAAATTTAGTTAAAAGGCAATATAAAACACCAATTTTTGGTGCTTTGGCTTGATGGGCTTATGTTTGTATTTCTTTTCTTTCAACAATAACTCTACAATGTGAAAAAAATTGCTCTAAGTGAGGTGGATATTGCACATGTTTAATGAATGTTGAGTATGGAGCTACGTATAGTTTGTGCTAGTATCACTACCAGAATATTGAACAATAGAGAAACCAGTACCTAGTGATGGTCCTGTATATGCCGAGAGTCGGAAGAGTAGGCTGGATATGCACGTGACTTTTAACATTGTTTGCATAATGTGGCTTCCCACCTCAGTTCCTTGTTCACATGCTTGATCGCCTTAGATTTTACTAGTGTCATATATTGGATAAGTGAGTTAGTATCAAAGAGGGAAAAGTGCATTATGCAATTTTATCTTAGATGTGACTGCTTATTTACTTGGCTTTGTTTGTAAGAGAGAGTTGTTAAAGTTTTATTTTTGGACTCCTGTTAAGAAGAATTTTTAATATTATCATAGTTCTTAATCTCATGACTTTATTTTGCACTGTTTACAAAATTGGGTTTTAAGCATTTGTTGGGACATTTTTTTTTTACTAGTTTTTATCCTCTATATGTCTAAGTAAATAATACTGCACTAAATAGTTATATATGCCGTCATAAGGTCACAATAGGTTGGCTCAATCAACTTGACCAATTGAACCAGGTGTATCAATCAGTCCACTTGACTAGATTGGTTACAGAACCAGATTTCCAGACATTGCTTACAGACATTGTAGATGTTATAATTATCAATTTCACGTATTTTTATTATGTACTTTTGTCTTTCCTTTGTGATGGTGTGAATGTGTGATTTTTTCAGCAATTAAATAAATTGGTGTGGGCTACAAGGTTCTACCTTCAGTGGTAAAATATGGAGGGCCTCTCTAAGTGGAAGTTAATGGATAATTGATGACCTTTGGGAATTCTCCTTGGTTCAATTCCTTTATACCATATCATTTATCTGTATTTTTTTTTTTCGGTATGAAGTTGTGCTCCCAACTCCCACAATTAGCCACTGTTGCTCCTATTGAGAGTTAGGACTTCAACCCTCAAGGAGGAGGAGGAGAATCCACTCGAGTCTAAAAGGCTCGGGGTCTCATGTTTAAATCATATGCATATTCCATCACGGAATTTGCAACTTCAGTTTTTATTTCATAATTATTATTAAAATTCTGCTTCAAGCACCATGGGTTGTGTGGGGTTCTTAGATTCTTAGTTTTCTGTGAGGTTTATTTTTAGCTGCTTAAATTCATTATGCTACTTGAGTTTAGAAATACATTGATGGATGAAATCAATAATGTAGTTTGACGACACTTCTCTTATTTCTTGTGTATTTTATTTACTTTTTTTTTTGCTTTTCAGGTGCACCAGGTCTACTACTACTTACCTCTAGACCAAGAGCAGTATATACCCATCATTTTCGTAACTGTTCTTTGCAGCCCCTGGTTAGTATTTGTTCATCTTAGTTCCTGTAATACACAATATAAAAGAGTTGTAAGGAGCACAAAGGCTTACAACGCTGCAGACAGGAAATAATTTAAATTTTCATACTCTGGATTTTGTAGAACCCTTGCCCATGGTGACTGTAGTTATTGGTACTTAAACTATCTGGACAATGTCTCATGTTTAAATCATTCTTATTCCATCATGGAATTCCCACTTCAGTTTTTGTTTCATAATTATTACTAAAATTGTGCTTCAAGCACCTATTTTACCCTTTGTTATGGGTTGTGTGGGGTCCTTAGAATCCTAGTTTTATGTGAGATTTATTTTTAGCTGCTTAAATTCATTACGGAATGATGGAGCCTCATACAATTGATTTTAGATTGGGTTTAGTTGTTTAGGTTAAGGAAATCTTGTGGATCTAGGACTTCAATGAGTGGTAGAATATTTGTTAGCATTACGGAACGGTTTTAAAGATGTTTGGTCTCTTATATTCTAAGAAAAATGCCGATGGAAATTTGGACAGTATTTAAAGGTTTTGGGTGTTAAGAGTTTTTTTTATTAAAGACCATTGAGCAGCATAAGAGACGATTTATGGGGCTATAAAGTATAAACAGTTTTCTGTAGCTTTGGGTTGCTTAATGTCACGATCCGATTCCTAACGACGCCATGGACATAGAAGAAACGCATGCTGGTTGGCTAAGAACATTCATTGACTGGGAATGGTTCCAGGGAAGGGGCGTGCAGGACCACAGGATGGTACCTCTTCAGAGTTCAGGCAGGTTGACTCGGTTCAGTTCGAGGTGCTTGTCGCTGGTCGTGGACTTGACTATGAAGAAGGGAGTTGGCTATCCCTGCACAAACTGGTCGGGAGCTGGAGCCGTTCCCCTGACGAGGCCATGACAGGGCAGGTCGTGGTGGTTGACCAGGGCGCTTGAGTGAGCTGAAGCAACGCCTTGGTGCTGCACGGGCCGTGCCGCTGCACCAAATCTCTAGGCCCGTGACAAATGGTATCAGAGCAGGACTTGGGGTAAAGCACGGTGGGGTGCCCCCTTGTCGATCCGGGGGTCTTGAGAATGAAGACGGTGCACTGAAAAAGTGTCGGTGGGCAATCAATGCTATTGAAGGAGAGCCTCCATCTCCCCATGAGGACGCGTCCTTTAGGCCGGAGGGCCGCGCGCATCGGATGGCCGGAGGGCCGCGCGCACCAAAGTTCTTGCAAGTTCAAGAGGCGTGCAAACCGTTGTGAAGGGCGGGTATCAAGTCAGCCGGAGGGCGTTTGTTTGCTCGGGGTGTCGCGGAGGCGGCATAACGTGGGGTTGCGTCCCGAAGAAGTGGGCGTCCCTTTAGCCCGAAACCCTATCATTGGGCGAGTGTAGCCAGGGGTTGTACAAGGAAGCGATGGTGGGCAGGCGAGCATACCACTTGGAGGAGAGAGACTTTGGAATGTTGGACGCAGCGGAGTCAGCGCCGCACTGCGACGAGGGCGTCGCAGGATTTGGGTGGGGGAGAATGTCACGATTCGATTCCTAACGATGCCATGAGCATAGAAGACACGCATGCTGATTGGCTAAGAACATTCATTGACTGGGAATGGTTCCAGGGAAGGGGCGTGCAGGACCACAGGATGGTACCTCTTCAGAGTTCAGGCAGGTCGACTCGGTTCAGTTCGAGGTGTTTATCGTTGGTCATGGACTTGACTATGAAGAAGGGAGTTGACCATCCCTGCACAAACTGGTCGGGAGCTGGAGCCGTTCCCCTGACGAGGCCATGGCAGGCCGAAACCAATCAGCATGTATCCTTGGGAGGGCAGGTCGTGGTGGCTGACCAGGGCGCTTGCGCGAGCTGAAGCAACGCCTTGGTGCCGCACGGGCCGTGCCGCTGCGCCAAATCTCTAGGCCCGTGACATTAAGCTACTTATTCAATGGAAAGAAAGATTATTCAAAGATGATTTTTCAGAAGTGGAACAGGTGAAAATTAAGGTCTGGTTGCAGGTTAATAAAGTGTAGAATATCAAAGAGGAAAAAAAAAAAAAACACCATAAGTGAAATGGAACCAGCTACTTATTTGCTCTAGTAAAACATATTATGAGGCTCAATGTAATGCAAAACTTAGAAATGCAAGATTCCAAGTGAACCCCAAATTGAAATCAACTGTTTTATGAACTGCAAAAGATAAATAAATATCCACAGACATTCACACACACACACACAAAACAAAGAAGGAATAGCAGAGTATATGAATTATTTATTTTCAGAGCCATCTTTTAGTTTGTATCTTTCAGGATTTGTCCAATTACATTTCTTTCAGTTTCATAGTGAAGCTGCTATGTCAGTCAGCCATTTTATTAACTTTTTTTTAATTGCCAATATCTTGTCAACTACTATGGCTAAGTAATCCTTATCTCTAAACTTCATTTTCAATTCAGAAGCATGAACATTTTTCTACCATGGCTGCCAATAAGGCTGAGGAGGATGGGAATGAAGAAGAGCAAAAGTAAGTTCACACTTTTATTTTGCTATTTTAAACTATTTTTACTTTTACTTTTATTTTATTTATTATGTAATAGGGAGACAGTGGTGTAGGTGACATAAATGTTGTTAGTAGTAGTCAAATACATGGGTGGATGAGTTTCCTTCCTAGTACTAAGGGAGAAAGCTAAATATAGGAGCTTAAAGAGGGTTATATGAGGGGCTTGGGAGGAGGAAAAGATGATTAAATCACGGAAAAACTAGCGGGATAATGTAGTCCCCTCTAAAAGATAGTAAGGAGTAGTAGCAGCCCTTTTGGCCAAGACATTCACCAAATTTCCCACTTGAAGGACCAAGAGTGGTATTACAGATGGATGCTGAGATGTCCAAACCTCTTAAATATAATGCAGATCTCCCTTAGTCCCTTGTTTCCACATTGGATATGTTATACCAACAACTCAGTCACACTCTAGCAAAAGCCCTGAAGTGCCTCTTGAAATTGTTTAGTTGCTCTATCACTTAGTTACATAATATTTGTCAGAGACAGTAATTAAAGGGGTGAATTGGTATATCAATCATAATGTTGGTCAGGCAGTGACATATTGCTAATCAATCACATACAATTTTCTGTAGCAGTCCACTATCCTTGATGCTATGTGAATGGCCACAAAAGTTAACAGACTGAAATCTACAGTCATATTATCAAACTGCTCTCTGTATATCCTCTTGTTTGATTCTCCAGAATATCTGTGACATTTGTTGACAAAGATGGAGAGGAGAAGCATATTAAGGTTCCTATTGGATTGTCTATGTTAGAAGCGGCCCTTGAAAATGACATAGAACTTGAAGGTAAGCTCTTAAGCATGTTATCCTGGGGTTTGCACCTTACTTTGATTCATTTTGTGTCCTCTTCATGATATTTGTTTTTCCAATTATATCGCATTAGTTTTAAAGAATCCAAGATGAAAGGTTTAACGTCATTCAATTAAACTTATGACTTAGTGATGTGTCATCTAGCCCTTGAGATTATATCATGATGAAACTATCTAAAACTTGCCAAATACAGAGCTTCTAAACCAAGTGATTAAACTAATTTTAATTTGATTACAGGAGCATGTGAAGGATCGCTGGCCTGTTCCACTTGTCATGTGATTGTGAAGGTACCTTATTTCACAACTGTGTTTCTAGAAGGTAGATCAATCTTAGCAAGAGAAGAATTATTGCATACTAGCACTAAAACAATGACTTCATGTTGCTCTGGATGACTTCTTTCCAGCAATTCAAAAAATATGACCATCAATTCCTCACTGAAATTTGTCTCCTCCTTTTTACTTTTTCTTTCCTTTTTCTTTTTTTTTTTCTTTTTTTTTTTTTTGAATTAATTTATTTTGAGATATGGATTAAGATTATTACCATTGCATTAACTTGATGTGTTGTGAAGCTAACTTTTGAGACCTTGATTAGGATATGGAATACTATAATAAGCTAGAAGATCCAAATGATGAGGAGAATGATATGCTAGATCTTGCTTTTGGCCTCACAGAGACGTTGGTCCCTCTATCTTGAAACTGATCTTTACATCCTCATCCAACCCTTGATATTTTAATTCTTTGCAATAATTCTCTGCAGGTCCCGTCTAGGTTGTCAGGTGATCGCAAAACCCGAACTTGATGGAATTCGCTTAAAACTGCCTACTGGTACATGAAAATTTCCACAGGTATAAGCCAAAACCACATTAAAGATCTTCTGATAGTAAGACAGGCTGGAAAAAGATTTTGAGTGTAGAGAATGGAACTCTTCAAGTTTTGTAGCTTGTTATGTTTTAGTGGATTAAGGGTACTGGAAACTTACTAGTGATATGATTACTATGATAGGATCTCATTCCTCATTATATTGTTCATTTCATATGTGTTTTCATTTTTTCCAAATATAATAGGGCCTATGTCTAAAGGAATATTTATGCATAAATAGGGGCAGCTTGTTTACTTTGGAATTGGATGATCCTTTTTGTTGGCATCTATTTCAAATAGTTCCTGTAATTTGCAATAATATTTTCAAGTTTTTATCTAAAAACAAGAGTAAACTTCCATTTTCAATATTATTTCTACATCATTTACTTTCTAAATGTTTTTTTATCTACTTCTCATCCCTATTGGAGATTAAACAGTGTATTATACCCATTTTATAATAGTTGCTTGTAATTATTGAAAAGAAAAAAAGAGAATGGTTTGTAAATTTGTTTTCTTCAAATAGAGTTGATAAAAATTAAGGCATGATTGGTTTGTGATTATGAAAATTGTTTTTTGTTTTCAGAAAATTGAAAACTGAAAATAAAAAATTGTACAAATACTCTACTTAGTGCAGTTTTCTAAAAACTCAAGTTATAGATATATTTATTTTTAGATAACTATAAAATATTTTATCTGAAAACAATTTTATGATTTTTGAATTCCTGAAAAATGTTTTCAAAATTACAAATCAAGCAGACTCTTAATATTTCAAAAATTGTTGTTTCTTAGTTTTAGAGCTCTCTGAAAATTTTGGTTTTGGATTAGTGATTGTTTAGATAATTTTATTTTAAAAGGTAAAAAAAGAATAAACTGTTTTTTTATAGTTGTTTGAATATATATTTTTTTTTTTCGGAGAAATGAACAATTTGATGAACCTCTATTATCTCTATCCAACAAGAAATCTGGAGGTGAACCCTATAACAAATCTCCAAGTTAAAAGAATATTTAGGTCATCAAGCAAATTCTTTAAATAACAATTTACACCGACTTTTTCATACATTTCTTAAAACTACAATAATTTACATGGCTTTCCTCGTAACAAATATTTTCTCAAAAATACTCTCGAGGTTATATTATAATACAAATATTTCCTTATGTTTTTTTGGGATTTATTACTATTACTTTTAGTTAACGACAACATTAAAATTTTCCAAAACAAAAAAAGGTTGTTATTAGTATGTTTTTTTAGTTTTGTCAAATAAAAAAAGAAAAAAGAAAAATGAGACTTCCCGTTCCTGACAATGTGTTTGTGAAGGGTGATATAGGCATTTGAGCCAGAGGGGACAGATTTGTGTAAATATAAGAAAAGGCAAGGTGTTTTTTGTCATAGTGATTCTTATCAGATAAAAACAGGAAAGGTCCGCCAACCGAGCCGGCAGGGTCATCACTCCGGTGACGGAATTCCGAAACCAACCAATCCAATCCAAACACGTATCATATTGGCCCCCATCTTCCTCCACGTGTCCTACCCTTCTGTTCTCCTCCACCGACGCCGTCAAACCCCTCAGTTTTTCCCGTCAACCGATACAAACAAGTTTCTGTATCTATCCAATACCCTCCCCCCTCTATCTCTCTCAATTTTCTCTCTCTAGAATACCTCCCTCCGATCATTTTCCTCGCCATCAGATCGGCGATTTCCAACGCTCACCGGCGCAAGTTAGCTAACCCACCATGGAAGACGACGAAGAAATCCAGTCACAACCGTCGCCCGGTTCCGGATCTCCGGCGTCGCCGCCACCGAACGGGCGGATAACGGTGACGGTGGCCTCCGCACCTCCTCAAAACACCCTAACCCTCGCCCTCCCCATCCAGCAGCCGAGAACCACCGGCAACGGCGGCCGTGAAGATTGCTGGAGCGAAGGCGCCACGGCGGTGCTAATCGACGCCTGGGGCGAACGGTACGTGCAGCTCCGCCGAGGGAATCTGAAGCAGAAGCACTGGAAAGAAGTCGCTGATATAGTCAGCAGCCGAGAAGATTACACTAAGATCCCCAAAACTGACATCCAGTGCAAAAACCGAATCGACACGGTGAAGAAGAAGTACAAGCTCGAAAGATCCAAGATCGGCGCCACCGGTGGCGGCGGCGGCGGTGGCGGTCAGAGCAAGTGGCCTTTCTTCACTACCCTCGACCGATTAATCGGTCCGACGGCTAAGATCCCCACCCCTGGCGGTGCCGGTACATCATCAGCCACTCTAGTTCCACACCCCGGTGGCCCCAAAGTCCCAGTTGGAATCCCAATCCAATTTCAGCAGCAGAAGCAGAAGCAGAGGCCGAAGCAGAAACAACAGTTGCGCAGACGAGCAGCACCGGTGGATTCGGAATCAGATCCGGAACCTTCGCCGGAATCATCCGACGGTTTTCCGCCGGAGACATATCAGCCAAAGAGGGCCAGGGTTCAGAGAGAAGTGAATAACTTGAATTCGAGCTCAGTGCCTGGTGGGTCAAATCGAAGAAGGGATGGAGGGGAGAGAGAGAAGAATTGGGGGAATTCGGTGAGAGAACTGAGTCGGGCGATACTGAAATTCGGAGAGGCGTACGAGAACACGGAGAGCTCGAAGATGCAACAGATGGTGGAGATGGAGAAGCAGAGGTTGAAGTTTGCCAAAGAGTTGGAGTTGCAGAGAATGCAGTTCTACATGAAGACACAGTTGGAGCTTTCACAGCTGAAGCATAGGAGGGTTGAGAATGGTAATCATCATAACCATAATAATAACATAAACAACAACAATAATAGTAGTAATATTAATAATAATAATAGTGATAGCAGTAGTTAGATTGCAGTTTTAGAATGAATTTGATTGCGTTTTTTTTTTTTCTTTTGGTTTTAAATGGGTTAAATTAGATTAGACTATTGTGGGTGTTAAAAATACACCCATGTTGTAATGTTGGGAGATATTTGTGTCTTTAAATTTGGTAGTTTGTATGTCTTATCTATCTCTTTTCTTTCTTTGTCCTAATTTAAGTTCTTGTCAAATGCTCAATGTGAGAGTTATTCAATGCTGAACTGAATTTGTTTAATGTGCAGCCAAAAAAGGCCTCTTGCTATCCAAAGATGGATGAATTCTAAGAACAACTCTTATCTTTATATATATAGTGCATATACTTGTGTGCATATATGTATATGTAAATTGTGAGGGTCTAGATTTTATATAAGCCACCAGGACACAGAGAGATGTGTTTGACAGAGCTTATATATGCGTTAGATTGAACCTGAAGTAGATCAAGCTGAATTCTAAGCTGTGGTTTGCTTTTGGTGTTGATGTAACATACTTGTCCTAGGATGTCTGTTGTGCGTATCGATCATATATGCTTGAGTGATAAAATATGTTTATGTTGTTGCCTTTGACAGCACCAAATTGGTCAAACTCAACACTGATATGGTGCTTACAAGCATAAGCTTAGAATTAATTATTTTGCACTTCTTTTTAGTCCACGCTTTTTTAGAAGTTTATAATAAAATAAATATATGTACCAGAAAAATTGTAAATCCCTCTACAGGCAACACTAACCTGCACTTAGTTAAACCATCATGCAGGGATGGTTGTCTGTTCTACTTGAAAACTGGTAGATCAATCTAATCTAATCTAATTTCAGTTTTTTTTTAGTCTCGGAAAATGATTTTTAAACCTTGAACAGGACTTGGCATGGAGCTTTGATTGAGGTAATTGAAGCAATTTGAACCGAACGTGGATCGAGTAATTCAAGTTGAACTCACATTTTAACCCCAAGTTTTATACCCAATGGAAATTTTTGTACATTTTTCTTTCGTGTTTTTTTTTTTTTAATTTTTTTTTACATTTTTCTTCACCAGTCGTTTGTAATGGTTAATTAATGTCTTTTCTTTTGCAATTCTTTTTATTATTATTATTATTATTATTATATATTTATATAATGCTTTTTTGGTGGACTTGGATTGTTAACTCTGATCTAAAACTCTAGCTCGAGGACAAGGGAGTGGCCAGTGGGCCTCCCTTGTCCAATCAAGTTCTAATTAAAAAGTTGTTTGTTAAGGTTAATACTTCAGTACTACTTTAAATGGTAAAAACTCCATTAAGGTGTGAGAAAAATCCGGAGTTGATGCTCTGGCTGAAAGATATGTCCATTTGTCACTCTCAAGTCTCGCTTTCAGAACAGTTATCAGAATCTACCTACAGCTAACCCTCACAACTTCATCATGCAGTAGAATTTCTAAAATACCCTTTCATTTTGCAAAGTGGTCCATCCAAATTCCAACCAATCCACTGAGCCACCAATATGTTTGGTTTAATTGAGACCCAAATTTACAATTTTAGGGTCTTTCCAGGTGTCCTGTTCAATTTTTTTTTTTTTTGTTTTTTTTATTATTGTTAATAAATACGCCACTTTGCCCTACAAAAACTCAATCACCCCATTTACATGAGAGGTAAGGAAGATACCATTATACAAAATAACATGAAAATCAATTTAGATGATTAAAAGAATGTCTATTTCTCTTTTATTGTTATTCAAAACATTTTTCAGTTTTCAAAATAGGAAAATTATTTTTATCATCCAACGCTTTGTAACCACGACGTTTCAATTCATCTTATTAACTTCATCCAACAAGTAAAATTGGATAGCCATGACTGTTATACCACAATTTTTTTTCAGATTAAATCTTTTTTTTTTTCTTGGACTTATTGATATTAAATTACACACATACAAACATAACAATCCAATCTCAAACACTCAAAAATAATTAAAAATAAATTTAACATTACTCTTCTTGCTACAATAGTAATTTGCATCAAAGAGTTTTTTATTTACATAATTATTTTCAAACACTAGACAATTATTTCTAACCAGACGTGTACTATAATTCATTATTTTATTAAATTCACGCATTTGCAATAGAATTTTTCATCAATGAACCATTAGTTTAGTTGATATTATTCTCTTTTTTTCAAACAATAACGCCCAGTTTGGTTGGAGAGAATTGAAAGAAAAAGAAAAGAAAAGTCTTGGAGGGATATGCTGTATTGTGTTGGTATAAATCATTAAAGGAAAAGGAAAGAAACACACGAACTTGAAGGAATTAGGCAGAATAGTGGGTTTTGTTATCTTTCAAAAATACCAAGGGTCTTATAGTTTAGTAGTATTTTAATTACAGTATGAGTCTAGAAAGGAATAAAATGGGTGTGTGAGTGATGTGCATGAATTTCTTGTCAATGAAAAAAAAAAAAAAAGAGTTTAATAAAACATTTTTAATACTAATTTTACCCTTATTGTTGATATTTTTATAAAATACAAAACCTATGAAAAGGAGTATGATAGTAAATTCATTAAATAATGCTTTTTTCTTTATTTTTTCAAACCTTTTTAATCAACCAAACACAATAAATGATTAATACTATCATCTCATTTCTTTTTTTTCTTTACTAACTAACTAACTAGTGTTATTATTCGTTTTCTTTTTTATTATACTAAACATAGCATAAATGAAAAATTGCAGATACCTCGATAGCCGAGTAGGTTAGTGTGTCTGGTAAATTTTGGAATGCCAAACTTTGACTTTCTACACTTGCTTAATCTAACTTCTAACCCTTCTTGCTTTGTAAAAAAAAAAAAAAAAAAAGAAAAAAAAAGAAAGAGGGATAGGTGAAAAGTTAATACTCAATTTTTGTAGAGGTATGTGTGAGTATTTTTATCCAACCAAAAATAAATAAATAAAAAAAGGGTAATTTCTCATGAAGCTTGGAATTTGTTAGACAAACAAAATAACAAGAGGGGTATTACGGTAATTGCGGAACAGCTATTGTCAAGTATTCGTTTCTTAATTTTGCAACATAAACCTCTGGAAGTCTTTTCCTCCTAATTGAGATTGTTATAAGTGAAAAAAAAAAAAAAAAAAAATCTTGTCTGAAGCTTTCGAATATAGTGTGAGAGAGAGAAGACTGAGGAGTAATGCGAAAACCATTGGCGTCAGCTACCAGTCAATCCATTTTAGGGTTTTCGTGAATTCGAAAAAACCAAAAAGAGAAGAACAAAAGATAATAAAAGCATGAAAAAACCAAAATGCTGATTCGGATGTGAATTGAAATCGAACCATCCATTTCCGCAATCGAAGATCTCCACATTGATATCGCCAAAGTGAGTTTTGATTTCGACCATCATCTAACATTTCTCTCAAATTTGTACCTGAATTGCTAGTTTTGTTTTTTGTTTTTTGTGTTTTTTTTTCCAGCCATTCATTAGTTCTCTGTCACCGACACCCATTTTAGTTGCTAATTGCAAGTTGCTTTTCAGAATTTTTGGACTTAGTTGTAATGTATCCATTTGGCTTGGCATTTGAATATTATTTTCATGGATCAGATCCGAGGCATTATTGGGTTTTAACTAATCTGGTATGTCATTTATTCTGGTGCATAATAGTTCAATTTTAGGTGCAGTTCATTCAAAGGCAGGTGAAGAATTGAATTATGTAGCTTAACTTATGTCTTTATTTTGGTGTCAAATATGAATCAATGAAGAATTGGTTTTCTGATTTCCAATTAAGTTCTTCACCTTCTCCTTCATTCTTTATCTCTTTCAGTGATTTTTCTCAGAATTCGTATCTTTTTGGTATATGAAGGGAATTATTGTATTAGGTTCTAAATTAGTATTGAAGTTCTGAGGCTGAATTAATCAAGGATTTATAGGTTCTAGAATACTAAATGCGAAGAAGCAGAGTCATTTATATGACGGAGGTTGGGGAAGAGATGGTGTCAATATAATTGAAGGAAGATGAAATCCGACACCCCTCTTGATTATGCTGTATTTCAGCTATCGCCAAAGCGCTCGAGGTGGGGATAATCCATTGATGGGCTTTATGCTTTTAGGGGAAATTTTAATCAATCAGTTTTGATACTTATGTTTTACTTTCTTTTGGGCAGATGTGAATTGTTTGTTTCTAGTGATGGAAACACTGAGAAACTCGCATCAGGATTGGTGAATTCATTTGTGACTCATTTGAAGGTTGCCGAAGAACAGGTGGCTTTGGCAGTTAAGTCAATTAAGCTTGAAGTTGAAAGATGTAAAAATGCTGAAACATGGTTCACAAAAGGAACACTTGAGAGGTTATGCACATTGCCAACTGAAATATGACTTCAACTAACATATGAACTTTAACCTAATTAGGACTTCTTGTCACCAGGTTTTTGCTGTTTGTTAGTATGCCAGAGGTTTTGGAACTGGTCAATACATTTGATGCAGAGATGTCTCAATTAGAAGCAGCCCGGAGAATATATTCACAGGTACTAGGTCCAATAGCATTTATAGTTGTACCTATGTGACATATAATAATTGGGAAATAGCATTTATAGTTGTACCTATATGTCATATTCAATGGGAACGGAAGTTTTCTTTCTTTCTTTACTTTTCCTGCTTGTTTCTGTCTCTCTTCTCCTGAATTTGAAAAATTTAATCTCAGGAAGTGGGAGATAAGTTTCCTGGCACATTGGGTATGTTCTATTACCTATCATCTAGCTTCATTTAGTTATTCATAATCTTACATTGAATTGTTCTGAATATAACAATACACCCGGAGATCACATCTATGTTACTGCTTTTAATCCAGAATATGTTACATATGGCTCATGAAGTTCTCATGTCATTATGTACTTTCCCAACAGTAGGCCAAATATTATTGTATCCTAACTATGAAGTTGTTTTCAAACTTCTTTGAAGATCCAAGAAGTGTTAGTTCAGAACATATGAGATGTTTTTACTGGATTGAGACTGGCATAGTAGTATCTTCTGATTGGTTTCATGATTTTCATCCTTCAAATTTTTTTTTTATTTGAAAAGAGGAGTGTGTTGAAAACACTGTTAGTTCAGAACGTATGGGATGTTTTTACTGGATTGGGACTGGAATAGTAGTATCTTCTGATTGGTTTCATCCTGCAAAAAAAAATTATTTGAAAAGAGGAGTGTGTAGAAAACGTTGTTTTGTTTTTACTGGATTGGGACTGGAATAGTAGTATCTTCTGATTGATTTCATCCTGCAAAAATTTTTTGTTTGAAAAGAGAGTGTGTTGAAAACGCTGTTTTCTTATTCGTTTTTTTTTTTTTTTTGGTTATTAGTCCGTTATTTCTATGCTGGCCTTTTCCCATCTGGCTATTTCTAATATCAGTTATGTTATATTGGACTTCTGCATCTACTTCATTGTTCTTGGCTGTTCGGCATCTGAAACTCGATAATGATTATTAAATTGGGATTATCAGCATGTTCCTAGATTCTTGATGAGTGTGAGTTGTCTACCAGTACTTTGACACAATATTGGATACGTAATTTGCTCCAGGTGGGGACGGAGTTGGAGCAACTGCAGCAGCTGATTCAACAAAGTAGTACTAGCTCTCACTCTCTCTTACTGTACCTTTAATTTGCTTCAGGATTTGACAGATTTTGGTTGGTGGTCACTGTTTATTTTATTGTCTTGAAATTGGTAAATTCATATATGTATATATAAATATATGTTTATGGCAATAGTAGCTCGTCTATATTAGCTTACTTTGTTCCTCGTTGCCTTGTGGATGTTTTTGTCAGCTCATAACTGTCTTGTGCTGAACCTCCCCACATAAAGAATTCTTAGTTTATCATTGCAAGGAAAATGATTTAAGATGAGGCGTTCTCTTTTGTCCACATAAATGATTTGATCCGGTTGTGGAAGTTTATCCTTTGTTAAGTGATTAGTTGGGGATTTTTGTGAAACTAAAGGGCCATTATGTGGGCATCTAATTGAGCAGGCAGGAAGTTAGAAATTAGTTAAAAAATCCAGTTTTATGATATAACAATGTAGCATATCGAATAACCGTCACTGAACAGTGACAGTTTTGACCATGCCTCTTGATGAAACTGGAGAATTGATGTTCACAAGTTACAACTAGAGTCCAGTGCTGATCTTAATTGGTAGGAATAGCAATATTTTGATTCTTACCATGCTTTTTAATATCAAACAGAAATTATAAATGCCAAAGGGCCCCAGTGTGATGCAAAATAATATGCTGAATTGCCCAGTGTCTCAAAGCTGTTCCCTGACCTTTGTTTTTTCTTTTTCTCTTTTCACAGGAAGGAGCTTCTGAGAGCTATTGATGTACGGCTTGTTGCGGTTAGGCAGGACTTAATCACAGCTTGTTCTCGTGCAGCATCTGTTGGTTTCACCCCTGGCACAGTCTCAGAACTTCAACTGTTTGCAGATCAGTTTGGGGCCAGTCACCTCAAGTAAGAACTTTGGAACCCCTCATCTTCCTCCCTTTTTATTTACTCGTAACCATCTCTTTTTCTCAAACACAGACAGGAAAGGAAAAAAGAAAAAGAAAAAAAAGAAAGAAAAAGGATACAAACAGAAAAAAATAAACCCATTCTCTCTGTCTCTGAAGTGTTGTAAAGTTATATGTTTGCTATTGTGGTAAGATCGTCCTAATATCTGTAAAATAAGGAAAACATATTGCATGATAGGAGTCCTCTTTTGCTGCCGTATACTGTATGTGTTTGGTTTGAATTGGTTAGAGAAGCATGTAAGGGAAGTGAATGGAGAGAGTACTCTATGGACCAGTTACTTTTTTCACCAAATTAGAAACACAATGAGGATGCAGTGCAAAGCAATGGGCTCCATGGGAAATGCTTCATTTTCCCATGGGACCATATTTTGTGCTAAGGTGATGTTTACTAAGACAACTAGACAACTTACCAGCCCTTTCCCCAGTGACTAAGATTAGAGAAAAGCAATATAGAGGTAGATATTGGTACTGGTCATCCTTCTTTTGTTAAACCTGTTGCTCCTTTGTCTTGGCTCGGAGAAAACATCAGTCAAATGGCCAGGCTTATCAGTTTTCTGATCATCATCAATTCATTTTGTTGCCATTCTCTATTACAAACAAAATGAAGTTTTGAATTGAATCTTCTCTTATGGTTTTCTCTGACCAGTCTCAATTGTACATCTCTGTACTCAATGCACTAGTAACAACATGATAGTATCAGAGGTTTAGTCAAACTGTATCTGCATACAATATTCACTGCAGGGGCGATAACTTGATGATTGTGACATAGTTCCACTTTCTGTATTCAAATGGCTAGACCATGATCTATAACATTCTGAAATGGTATGTTATGACTGTGGTTTGATCAGATCACAGCCGATACTATAGAATCAATTGTGTAGGAAGCACTGAATGAGTTAGTGCTTAATTGGAAATCCATAATCAAGAAATATTTCTACTGGGTTTCTATTTTTATTTTTATTTTTTTGTCTTGGTTGCTAGCTTTTTTTTATTTATTATTTATTTTTTTTTATTTTTTTTTGGCCTTGGATATTCTTTCACCCCTGGCTGGGCTATCATTACAGTAGTTTTGGTTTGGGCTTGTATTCCATATTAGTTTGTCTCTGCTCTCTTGGTTTATGCTTGTACAAAATGAAAATGTTCTAACAATGCTCATTTGACTATTTTCTTGCATTTGAGGTTGCAACACTGATTACATGTCTATTATTTTATAGGGTAAAGTGCAAGAAACCCCCCTCAACTATACCCCCCTAAACTATGAGTTTGGTTAAGTTTTAGGGCAGAGAAGGTTTTTAAGGTAATATCCTATCTCCGGAAATATGCAAAGACTGTTTTAGCCCCTCAATAAAACGGTGCCGCATCAAGTCATCTCCTATCACAGAAATTTGTAAATCAACATCCTTAGTAAAACCACGCCGTTTTTGCTGTAAAATAGGTCAATAGGCCAATAAAATGTTGACAACACATTGCAAGGGATAAGGTTTGGTTGACCATACAGTCCAAATCTTTTATCGATTAAGAATGAAACCAAATCCGATCACACAGCAACCCACATCTTGCACCAAATCCGATCAACACCAATATATTCATATATTGGTTGTCGAAACTCAAAGACCCAAGTACTCACCTACAATTTCTACGTTTGTTCTCACCATCTAAGCATGCATGCCATCAATGGATTGGAGTGGGATGATTTGGTTATTGGCATGGCAGATGGTTGTATTTAAGGCCAAGAGAGAACTTTTCATAGAGAGAGAGAGAGAGAAGAGTGCTGGTGGAGACGCGATGGAGGTGGAGATGGCGGTGGAGAGAGAGAGAGAGGGTGCATCACCTCCTTGCCAATCTCAGAATTTTAGACCTCTTCAGTAATCGATTGACCGGCGCAATTCCCTCTGACATCAGCAAATTGAGTCACACTATAGTCAACTTCTCTGACAATCAAATCTCCAGCGTAATTCCCACTTCTTTCGTCAGCCTCATCCCTCATGTGTGTGTGTGTGTGTGTGTGTATACATACAGAGACAGTCGTACACCCTTCGCAAAATTGAAAGACTGAACGATAATATATATATATATATATAGACAAAGAGAGATAAGTGATTGAAAGGGAATCATGTAAGTTCGGTGAGAGATCGAGCAAGATGGCCTGAAAGATGCCTGAAAGGGAGCTGGGAATTTTTTTGGAAAGAGAAATAGGGCAACGTTGGTGGGTTTGGGTCTATACTAATAAAAATGGCAATATGGTCTTTAAGCTTCCAAGGGTTGTATGGTCATTTAATGAAAATTGGGTTGTCAGGTGACCGGCCAGTAGTCGGGATGGGTAAGTTGCAACCAAACACCTTAAGTTTAGGGGGTTTTTTTGCCACTTTAGAATTTCAAGGGGGGTTTTTGCTAATTGAGATATAATCAAATGGGGTTTAATGCACTTTACCCTATTTTATATTGCTATTTTCTTGAGAAATGTTGTAATAACCATGGTCCCATATGTTCGGTTCTTGATTTCATGTTGAACAAATTAAAAGATTGTGCTAAAATGGAGACAGCTATTGTTTGAAACTCTGAATGATTGATTAGGATGGAATCTGCTCATTTTTGTGTGGTTCTCAATTGTCATGATAATGAATGCATGGTAACATTTGAACTGTACAGCAAATGAAATTTTAGTGTATCATGAACTTCTTAGATGAAAATGAAAGAGAAAAGTGATATAGGGACTGGTTTTTTCCAGGCTGAAAGAATAAGTTTGCTTGATATGGTAAGCCATTATGGTTCCATGAATTATACTGCAAAACTGTACTGTAATATCTCTATGATTCACTGGAAATTCACCAGATCACGCATTAAAATAATAATCTATATCAGCATTGGTAACGCTGAGGCTGGACATCCTGGGAGTATCATGTCATCGCATAAATGTGGTCTTCTGACGGTAGAAACTGTAAAGTGGGTTGCGGAGTGAAAATTGCTTGGTAATCTGTCTAAATGGTGTTGTTTGATTGGATGGGAATACTACATCTGTAGTGATATAGTACCCGAGTACCCAATAATTTTGTCAGAGCCTCAGACGTAAAATCGTGAAAGTCTGGCACAACACCCATGATCTATTGATGGGTGACTCCTATTAAGCTTGCTAACATGAAGACTTATAAAGGTCTATGCTCCTTGTGTCTCCACATTACATGCCGCCTGATTTTGGCTATGAATTGTTTCTTAGGGAAAGAAAACCCCAGGCACGAGGCTCCTCCCATTGCGGGATCTGGGGAGGGTCTGATGACGTAGCCTTACCACTGCACGCATAGAGGCTGTTTCCTTGTTTTGAACCTGTGACCTTGTTTTGAACCCATGACCTCCAGGTCACAATAAAATAAATAATATTATATTAATGATTATTATTGTTATTATTGTACCAAATAAATAATAAAGATGGTTACACATTCTGTAACAGTATGGTTGGTATAACCAAAGGGCCTCTAGCCCAATGGTATGATCTCTCCTCCCCAAATGGGGAGGTTGAGAGTTCGAGTCCCACTTGGGACATGTTGTGGATATAATGGGTTTGTGTTTGCTTTAACTTTCCAACAAAAATAAATAAATGTTTGGTATAGCAGTTGCACTGGTGTTTTCCTGTTTTGATATTTGATCCCTTTGTATTATTTTGGTGCAGCGAAGCATGCAGAAAGTTCATATTGCTGTGCGAGAGACATCCGGACCTGATCAATTCATGGAAAGATGGAGCAGAAGATCGAACCTTCCGATCTTCATACTGGTCGGAAATGTCCATCAACGAATGCCACACCGAAGAACAACTTAGCGGGTTCCACCACTCCCAGCTCCACCACGAGAATAAGCACCCAACAATTCGAGAACTAGACACAATCCAAAAACAACAACAGCATCATCTCAAGCAACTAAAACCCTTCATCTGTCATCAGCCCAAGGCCTCCACTGTCCCCATCCTCATACAACATAGTAGGGAGTCGAGCATTGACAAAGATGATGGCAGCGGAAATGATTTGGCTGCTGAGAAGTTGAAGAAAGAAGAGAGCATTGAGACTGAGTCGTCTCAGACTTCTCAGCCTGCAAGGCAGCTTAGTGTGCAGGATCGAATCAGCTTATTTGAGAACAAACAGAAGGAGAATTCTGGTAGTGGTGGCAAGCCCCTCGTTGGGAGGTCTGTTGAACTCCGGAGGCTTTCTTCGGAGGTATCATCTACCCCTGCTGTCATCGAGAAGGCTGTGTTGAGGAGATGGAGTGGTGCCAGTGACATGAGTATTGATTTGCATGGTGAAAAGAAGGGAATTGAGAGTCCTCTCCGCACACCCTCATCTTCATCAGTTTCTCAGACCAAGTCTGATGACCGAAAGGGACTAAATGAAACAGCAACTTCTTCAAAGCCCAAGCTCAAGAATGTTACAGATAGAGTTGATGATAGTTGTTCAAAAGATCCAACTGATTCTCGGGCTAGGGCTGGAGTTACTTGTGGCAGAGAAGAGATTGGGACAAATGCTGTTGACCTGACAGTTTATTCTGTCAGCTCCGATGATGCTTTGGAGTCTGATAAGTTGGCCTCCACTTTGGGAAGAGTCAAGAATGATGTTTCGAAAGATCAAACACTTGGAAAGATTCAATTGAGGTCATCTTTGGCCAGGGCTGAGGATAACATTTTGAAGGATCAAGCAACTTCTGAAACCCTATTCAAATCTTTGCCTGGTGAGAGAACAGAGCTGTTTGGATTGATGGATCAAGGGAAGTACGGTGGTTCTATGGGCGATGGTGAGGAGCAAGGTAGAAAGGGGCGTTTAGCTTCCAAGACACAGATTGCTGGATCGGAAGACCTTGCTGTTCCTTTAACCCAGTTTGGATCTTTTGCAAGCAGGCAGAGTGACGTTAAATCTCCCACTGTATCTTATGATGCTCCACATAGTGAATTCATGGACAAAGTGGAAGACGTTGGATTGAGAGATCACTCAGTTTCTGTATCACGTTTTAGGAGCCCTCTGAGGACAGCAATGGACTATGGGCAGTTGGGTGGTGTCTCTGATCTAAAAACTCAGGAAGCCTCTGCCTCTCAGTTTAAAGGGACTGAGGATGATTCATTGGCATCTCTGCGCCAGAGGAGATCTTTAGCGGAAGTTAAGGAGGTTTCAAAGAAAGACTTCCCATCATCTGAGAAGCAACTGCATGATTCTAGACCACAAAGAATGAAGTTCAAGAAACAGGTTTCTTCCTCTGAACAGATAAAGAAGTCGCAAGGCAGGAGAGATGAAAGGTGTTCTGATTATGAAAATAGCAAGACACTCTACTCTGTTAAGATGGTTTCAGAGGGTCAGGGGGGCTTTGGTTCGATTCCAACGGCATCTTTACAGCAAGTTCGGAAGGTAAGGCATTTGAAAGGGAAACAGGAACTCAATGATGAACTGAAAATGAAGGCGAATGAGCTTGAAGACCTTTTTGCGGAACACAAACTTATGATTCCTGTTGATCTGTCCAGTTCTACACAGAGAACCAGTCCTTCTGAGATGCAGGTCGAACAGGCGGCATGTTTACCTTACAGAATCCCAGCAGTTGAGATCGCTCCTGAAGAGTTGCCTGGCAAGAACATAGTGGCTGATCCTGCTGGTAGTTCTAGAAATGGGGCCAAGTTCAATGCTAGTTCATTGATGAAAATGTTAGACAATCGGGACTATGGTGATGCTTTGAAGCAGAAATTTTCTGAGCTTGGTTTCTTGGATGATTCTAGAGGAAAATTTTATGGTCAATATATGCAGAAAAGAGATGCAAAACTAATGGAAGAATGGGATTTTAACAGGTCGGAGAAGGAAGTCAGGATGAAGGCCATGCAGGATAGCCTTGAGCTGAGTAGAGCTGAGATGAAGGCCAAGCTTTCAGGAACTGCAGATAGACAGGATTCACTTTTTTGCATTCGTCGACGGGCAGAAAGACTCAGATCCTTTAATACTCGGTCATTTATGCAGAGGGAGCAGGTATTTAGCATTTTAGTTATGTTATTTAGCAATAAGCACTGGTGATGACTGATACGATTAAATGCTTGTTTTAAAAGTTGAATATCAGAATTCCTGTTTTGTAATCTGCAACTTACTACGAAAAGGATTTTCTTTTGACAGCAGCTATTAGATTTTGTGAATTGTGAAGAGAAGGATCTATCTGCAGAACAGAAACCTTTTGTTCACGATATGTCTTTTGATGAGACATCTTTTGGGGATGATGCTTGTAGAAGCATCCAAAGTAAGAAGCTTTTACCCAATAGAAATTGGTCTTCATCCACCCCTCGCACCTCAGCAGCACCAGTTGCAAGATCAGCTGTCAAAGCTTCAAACTGCAGTTCTGGAAGGCAAAGAATGCGATCTGAAAATCCTCTTGCACAGTCAGTCCCCAACTTCTCTGACTTGAGAAAAGAAAACACCAAGCCTTCTTCTGGAGTTAGCAAATCAACAGCCCGCCCAAATTTTGGGAGGTATTCCTGTAGCAAAAACACCTGTGAAGATGTAGCACTTGTCAAGGAAGAGAAACAACAGTGGTTGCAATCATTGAGAAAAGGTTTTGCAAGTCCTGCTGAGTTCAAGGACGCTTCCCCTATGAACTCTGAAAGCATTGCTTTGACACCATTAAAATTTGATAAAGAGCAATTTGAACAAAACCTCTACCACAAATTTACAGATAGTGTGGAGTCCAAGCCTTTTCTTGGGAATAATACTGGTATAGGTCATGGTGATGGAGCTGGCATTGCCAAGCTTCGGGCTTCATTGGCATCTAAGCCCATAAATCATGAAGAAGTATCTGATGTGTTGGCCTTTGAGCCAGAAGATTTTGTGGATGTGGTCAAAGATGAGGATGAGCTTGAAACCATGACAACTGACAATAATATCATGGATAACAGAATACCCAGATCGAGCCAGGAATCTTCCAAGTTGTTCAATTCTGAGTTTGAAAATGGTGGTGTCCTGAGATTTTTTTCTCAGGTGGATCGTTCTTTGGTGGCTGGATTGCCTGCCGCTGTGCCTTCCCCTTTCCACTCTTTTTGGTCCAAACAGGATTCACCAGGGGAAAGTCCTATGTCATGGAATGCACACATTCCTTATTCATTTTCTTATCTACACGAGACCTCTGATATTGGTGCTTTTGCAGACTCTCCAATTGGGAGCCCTGTATCTGGGAATTCACTCTCTTAATCAGACACAAGCTGATGCAGCCAGAATGAGGAAGAAATGGGGAAGTGCTCAGTAACCTATTCTTGTTGCTAATTTATCCCATAATCAGTTCCGCAAGGATATGACAGAAGGATTTAAGCGGCTACCAAAATTTGGAATGAAATCTTGTGGCAGAGAGAGTTTGGTTGACTGGATTTCTGCTACAACTTCTGGAGGAGATGATGATACTGAAGATGGATGAGATCACTCCAATCAATCATCAAGATCTAAGGTAATCAAGAATAGGATTTTCCCAGGGGCATCCTTCTGATGATAGCTGCAGTGAAAGCGAGTTATTCAGTGAGCAAGGTGACCTTATGTTCGTATTTTGTTAATTTTCAATATTATTCGCGGAAATTTGACTACATACTTAGATAAAATCAAGGTTTGAGCATCATTCTTTTGACTGAAACTTCTGCACCAAAAACATTGCCTGCTTTGAGCTTATAGTCTTATTGAATTTAAAACACATCAAGGGGAGATCTTGCAGCAAGTAATGAGGCTGCTATTGCTGCCTCTTTCTGGCAAGACAAAGCAGGAATTCCGAGGGGGTAATGTCTGAAGATGGAACAGCTAGGTAGGAGTTCCTGTGAGCCTGTTCAGTGGGGAGGTTTGGTTGGTGGTTTGGGATGCTGAGGAAAATAGAGCAGATGGCGTCAATAGTTTGGGATATCTAGGTGGTGGTGATGGTGTCTAAACTATCAGATTGACTACTATTGACTTCGTCCGTCAAAGAAGTTTCTATTGTGTTCCAGAATCAGGAGAAAAGTGGTCTGGAGTTTCTTTTCTGATGATTGACAGATGGTCGTTTAGGGTTGGCTGCTCTGGGGTGCTAACACATTAGAAGTGGATCTGTATTATTGGCTTGACAATATACTTTTGGCGTTCCTTGTTTAGATCATTTGGGAGAAGCATGTACGTGTTTTGCCAAGGTGGTGCTTGATTTGTGTAAGCACAGAGAAGGCCAGATTGGTGCTTTTTCAGGGAAGAGGATCCCAGAGATGATCCTCATTGCCAATGATGTCAACTACTGCAGAACCTTGTTGGTAGATGTATCTATGACAGTTTGTGCCACCACCATTTGGTCATCTGCCTGCCAATAAGGAAGATGATGGAAGGTGAGACAGAGGCTGATACGTAGGCGATTGGGCTGGACCAAATCTCGTGTTAATCTCGTGTTAACAGTAAATTAGTTGCGTGATGAGCCTTTGAAGCTAATTGAGGAGAAAAACAGGAAGGAGTGGGCAGCTATAATGGGCTTTCACCCTCTGAAAGCATGTGTTGCCAAAGTTAAAGCAAAGTAGGTTGGCTTCCTCGGATGTTTTGTGTATGAGAGGATGTGTCTTAGTAAACTCCAGGGAGAGAACTAGAGGCTTGGATTTGGCCTGGTTTTGCATAGTGTCTGTAGATTAATCCCGAATGTGCTTGAGCTGTTAGTGGTAAAGAGCAGGCAGGCAGTCTTGCAACTTGAAAAGTAGGCAGTTATAAGCATCTTGGTAATGCTTGCTTTGAGGATGCTCACCTGAAATATCTAGTGGAGACAAAATGTAATTTTTTTAGAGAGAATTTCATGATTCACTAATAACAGTAATTTACTGATGCCATTGTTAAATTATTAAGCTTCACTTTGATGGAATGATTTGAAATGGATTTATATCAATTATTCGGAGGATTATAGAACAAATTTGGAGCAAGTAATTTAGGTTTAAGTTTTAACAATATGTATTTATTGATTTGAGAGCCTTATGTGTATGAATCTTAAATAAATACTGGATTGGCAAGGATTTTAACTACATAATGATTGCAATAAGATATGTTTTCCTACCTTTAATCTAGTAAATCCTTGCGATTTGGAATCCTACTTCAATAAACAAATTTTTGTCTTGAGTTCAAATCCATTTTTCCTTTCCAAACTCCTAGTATTTTGTCAATTTCTTTTGTCTTTGTAACTCCAAATTACTTCCTGTTGTAGCATTTTGTTAGCGTAAACATGTTTGATTGATTACTTACACACAACTTAGCTTAAAAAAAAAAAAAAAAAAAAAAAAAAAAAAAAAAAAAAAAGAAAAACAACCGTACACAGAACTTGGGCCTGGTTGAAGGTCCTTTTGAATTAAGTGGGCCCACTCTCTGTTTTGGTATAAAAGTTATCCATTGTTCTTGAATAGTTCCCCTCTCTCTTTCTCTCTCTCCATCGTTATCTCAATTAGGGAAAGGGAGGGGAGAGAAAGAAGAGCTCCACTCTGTATGCATGCCATATGTGTCAACCTTGTGTCATTTAAGAATTAAAAAAAGAAGACAAAAACAATTTTATAAAATGTGTTGTCTTCAATTTGTTGACCTTCTCTAAGGAGTTCCCTACTTGCCGTTTGGAAGTTCGGTCAAGGAACTATCCCATATAAGGGGACGTATAATTATATAAACTAACCATTTTATTGTTGATAGCTTAAATAAACTGATTAGCTTTAAGCCTAAGACATACACACACACACACACACACATATAGAGAGAGGAGGGTTTGGCTTGTATAGTGAAGAAACTATCCCTTGGGCGACACAAGGAATCAACTATAGCTTGATGGCTTAAATGAACTTATTGGATGCAACATGTATGATACATTCTGTTTTTCACATGTTTACTATTCTGAACCTTACAATGTCACAAAAAATATACTTCAATAAACATACTATTCTTTCTTTATTATGAAGCATTTACCCAATAAATTAATTACTCTGAATCACATAATGCCAATCATTTGCGCACTCAATTCGCCGGGCTATTCTTTATTATGAAGCATTTACCCAATAAATTAATTACTCTGAATCACACAATGCACTCTCAATTCGCCGGCATTAACGACAGCCGGCCTATCACAAAAACAGATACATATGATTGACAACTGACAACACCACCCTTCCAACCTGCTTGCTTTGGTATCATATAAACTAACTTATTCCAAAATTTTGTGATGTTAATGACGGTGTAAGCTAAATATGTTCATGAACATCCACAGCTCACACTAATGGGATGATCATTCTTTTTTTTGTCACATGATAGCTATGAGTTATAGACTGAATTGTTTAATCTAAAACTATATATTACACCAAGAAAATGTTGTAACAAAGACACGAGGAAAAGTCTGATATTCTTAGGGCCGTGTTTTGTACATTAGTCCAACCAAGTTATACTACTAAACAGACGGATTGATCAAAGTACATTGACTCCTAAACTAAGCTAGACTCTTATGACAAACTACTCATGACTCAGTTTCAATTCTGTTCATGACATATTCATCCTTTTAGTCCTTTCTCTTCATACCCTTTACCTCTCTTTCATACACTACCATTCATGGCCGAATTCTCCTTTGAAACAGATCACTCTGTCTCTGCCAGGCGTCGCCACCCTACACCTAGCTCTCGCTACAATTCTCACTCTTTCACTGCATCCAGCTCCCACTATCCCACTCCAGGTAGGCTATGGAACCTTACTCCGGCTAATCCATTTGCCTCCGGGGATGATAAGTCGTGGAAAGGCGAGCTTTCATGGCAGTTTGAGCCAACAGGGTGGCGTGACAGTCGCGACCTAGGTGCAGTACTTAGCCCGTGGGTGGTGGCCACACCGGCATCAAATGGTGGCGTATTCAGGCGGTCAGCTAATGACTATTACCTTTCGCGTACTTCTGGCTATGATGTGGTGCCTTCGGAGAGGCTTGAACTCCGGAGCTATGTTGCTAGAGATGGTGAAAGCTCGGTTCTTGGAAGAAGTTATGCTTCTGGTGCATTTAGTACCAAGTCCCATCATAAGATTTCAAGCTTGGCAACTGCTAAGGAGGGGACTAGTGGTGGACATGGAGGTCCTTTAGCTCAGAAGGATGATCTTAGTTTTACTGATTATGAGGACGATGATGATGATGGGGATGGTAGGGATGGTGCTCATGGTCATCATCATAATCGTCATCATGGGATGATGCATGATCATGGTGGGCATTATGAGAAACATGGCCACCATGTTGATGGTGGTAGGGAATTAAGCAGCCATCACTATAGGGGTGATGATGGTTACGACGACATGGATCGGGAGTCTGATGAAGAAGATGACGTGGATGATGGAGTGGCACCTAAGCCACTTGGACTTTTCAGCTTATTCAAGTATTCAACAAAGTTGGATATGGTTCTTGTGTTATTTGGTTGTTTGGGAGCTCTGATAAATGGAGGGTCTCTTCCTTGGTACTCTTTTTTTTTTGGTAACTTTGTGGACAAAATTGCTAGGGACACTGACAACACCAAGATGATGAATGATGTGCAAAAGGTATGATTTGTATTGTTGGTATCTTTGCAGGAAGAATACATTGATACATTATATGATTTTGGAGTCCATAGACTATAATTTTTGTATGGCTTTTCTTGTTCTGTTGACTAGAGGATTTGATTTTTTTTTAAGACTGTCAATGATTTAGCAAATAATTATTTGAAGTCTGTAATGTGCTTGTATTAATAATAATAATAATAATAATAGTGATGTGTAATTACTACTGCTTTTGACTCATATATAAAATTTGTTGGCATATGATGTTCAGATATGTCTGTTTATGGCTGGATTATCAGCAATTGTGGTGGTTGGAGCATACATGGGTAAGTAGAAGTCTCTCTCGCTCTCTCTCATGGAGTCTATCAAATTTTAATCTAGAGGGAAATTTGTTAATCACATTGATGGGATCATTGGATTGGCAGAGATTACTTGTTGGAGAATGGTGGGGGAGCGATCAGCTCATCGAATAAGAACAAAGTACCTGCGAGCAGTTCTGAGACAGGATATCAGCTTTTTCGACACAGAAATTAGTACCAGCGATATCATGCATGGAATTTCAAGTGATGTTGCACAAATCCAAGAAGTGATGGGGGAAAAGGTTAATCTTAATAGTAATTTTTTTATTATTATTATTAATTTTTTTTTTATCTGATCCTTTAGGTAGGTTGTAGTTTAGTTCATGATAATATGAGTTTACCCCCAAATGAAAATATTGAGGAAAACAACTTCAAGGAATAATTTATTTGGAACAAGTCTAGAATTTCTTATAGATGACTAGGGTGCGCATTTAAAAACAAAGGCAAAATTTTCATTAGTGTAACTTCAGATAAATACTTCTTTATCAACCTTACGAACAGATCTATCTTCTAGTTTCTCCAAGAATTCTACTTTTAGGAATTTTATTGTCAGTGACATTACTTTTCTATTACTAAATCTGAACAAAATCCCATTATGTGCTTTGGTTCTGGTCATTTTCTTTCCTGTAGTTACTTCAAACTTCCAAATTACATTATATACTTCTAGTCATTTTCTTCATAAGGAGGGCCAAGTGATACATTAATTTGCACGGATCGTTTATATTAATTGTCTAATATATATTTTTTTCAAATTGCAGATGGCACACTTCGTTCATCACATATTTACCTTCATCTGTGGTTATGTGGTTGGTTTTCAAAGGTCATGGAAGGTTTCTCTGGCAGTTCTTGCAGTCACCCCACTAACCATGTTCTGTGGTCTTGCTTATAAGGCTGTATATGTTGGCCTAACTGCAAAAGAGGAGGTGAGAGGCAAATAATAGCCAACTATAGAAACTCATATAAATTTTTAGTTAATTTATTTTCCCTAATTTCCTGAAAAAAAAAAAATTGTTTTGTTTTAAAGGTCTCTTATCGGAGAGCTGGTGGAATTGCAGAGCAAGCCATAAGTGCAATTAGAACTGTATTTTCTTTTGTGGCAGAGGATCATTTAGCTGCAAGATATGGTGAATTGTTGGAGAAATCGGCGCCCTTTGGGGCGAAGATTGGCTTCGCCAAGGGTGCAGGGATGGGAGTTATATATCTGGTTACTTATTCCACATGGGCATTGGCTTTCTGGTACGGATCAATCTTGGTTGCCAAGAAAGACATCACTGGAGGTGCAGCCATTGCTTGTTTCTTTGGTGTCAATGTAGGAGGGAGGTAATGAACTCTCTCTCTCTCTCTCTCTATATGTGTGTGTGTGTGTGTGTGTGTATATATATATATATTTATATATATCACATGCAAGTTAGAAAAGAAAGAGTTTTGTGGAACAAGCGAAACAACGATTTGAAAATGATTTCTCATGTCACTGAGGTGCCATGGAGACCAAAAGAACAGGAGATTGAATGTGCTTAGAGATTGCTATGACTAATTTAACAAGCCAGAATTAGAAATACTGTTGGTTGAAGGGAACACCTTCCATCAAATTTTCATACATATTGAGTTAAATATTGATCTTTATTAATATTAGTTGATTAGTGAAGAATGAAAAAATGTATACAATTTCTGCAGGGGCTTGGCATTGTCACTATCATATTTTGCTCAATTCACACAAGGAACTGTAGCAGCTAGCCGAGTGTTTGAAATTATAGATAGAGTTCCAGAGATTGATCCCTACAGTCCTGAGGGGAGGAGGCTCTCTAGTGTACGTGGAAAGATCATGTTAAAAAATGTAACTTTTGCTTACCCTTCTCGTCCAACTCTTCCGATTCTTCGCTCTCTCAATCTTGTAGTTCCATCTGGAAAGACACTTGCATTGGTTGGTGCCAGTGGAGGTGGCAAGTCCACCATTTTTGCTCTTATAGAGAGATTCTATGATCCTACCAATGGTAAGCATATTATATTTCTAAGGTGATAATATCATGCAGGGATGGTTAAAAGAGATCAACGGTCAAAATGGCTTCAGTCCATTGATGTTAGTTGGAGTATTCTCAGATGGGTATTCATATAATTCCTGATTTGGTTAAGTTTCAAATTATTTTGGCAGGATCGATCACATTGGATGGTCACGATTTAAGGACACTGCAAATTAAGTGGCTGAGAAGTCAGATAGGTGTGGTGAGTCAGGAACCAGTTCTCTTTGCCTCCTCCATACTAGAAAATGTGATGATGGGAAAGGAGAATTCCACAAGGAAAGAGGCCACTGCTGCTTGCGTTGCTGCCAGTGCCCACAACTTCATCAGTGGTCTTCCACAAGGCTATGATACTCAGGTACATATAATACACACAAATGAGAAACTGTCTATGCATGAATTGCACATAGCATCCACATATCCATGTCTGATCACTTGACTCACCCCTTCTGGGCAGGTTGGAGACAAAGGAACCCAACTCTCAGGTGGTCAGAAACAGAGAATTGCTCTGGCTCGAGCCATGATTAAAGATCCTACGATCCTTCTGTTAGATGAGCCCACTAGTGCCCTGGACCCCGAGTCTGAGTCCATGGTCCAGCAGGCCATTGACAAGATATCTATTGGCAGAACCACCATTGTCATTGCCCATAGGCTAGCAACAGTAAGAAATGCTCACACAATTGCAGTTCTTGACTGCGGCTCTGTTGTTGAGATTGGGGACCATCACCAGCTCATGAAAAATGCTGGGGCTTACTATGAACTTGTCAAGCTCGCTTCAGAAGCAGTTTCAAAGCCTGTACCAAAGCAAATGGATAGTAAAAGGGATGCCGAGTTCTCCGTGTATGAGAAATCAGTTAATGATGTCTATGAAATCTCACGGTCAAAGTACTTAAAATCAATGCAAGAAAGTTATGAAGTGGAGGAGGAAGAACAAAAAGGAGCAAAGCAGAAGAAATTTAGACTTCAAGAGGTATGGAAGTTGCAGAGACCAGAGCTAGCCATGCTGCTAATAGGATTACTCTTGGGTATGCTAGCAGGTGCAATTCTCTCCATCTTTCCTCTAGTTTTAGGCCAAGCACTTAAAGTCTACTTCTACCCAGATGCATCAAAGATGAAAAGGGAAGTTGGGTACCTCTGCTTGGCACTGGTTGGCCTTGGCCTTGGGTGCACAATATCCATGACAGGCCAACAAGGTTTCTGCGGTTGGGCAGGGACAAGGCTCACAAAGAGGGTTAGAGATTTCTTATTCCAAGCTATACTAAAACAAGAACCAGGTTGGTTTGATTTCGACGAGAATTCCACTGGAGTACTAGTATCAAGGCTCTCAATTGATTGCATCAGTTTCCGGTCAGTTCTTGGTGATCGGTTCTCAGTCTTACTGATGGGATTGAGCTCTGCTGCTGTTGGTCTTGGTGTGTCATTTCTTCTCGAATGGAGACTAACCCTCTTGGCCACTGCTCTCACTCCCTTCACACTTGGTGCAAGCTATTTCAGCCTGATCATTAACATTGGGCCTAAATTGGATAACTCTTCTTATGCCAAAGCTAGCAATATAGCTGCAGGTGCAGTATCAAATATAAGGACAGTGATGACACTTTCAACTCAGCAACAGATAGTTCATTCCTTTGATCGAGCTCTATCCGAGCCACAGAAAACATCGGTTAGAAGGTCACAAGTTCTTGGGCTAGCCCTTGGATTCTCTCAAGGTGCAATGTATGGAGCTTATACTCTAATGCTCTGGTTTGGAGCCTACCTTGTAAAACTAGACAAGACAAATTTTGGGGATGTATACAAGATATTTCTAATACTTGTCCTGAGCTCATTCTCTGTTGGACAACTAGCTGGCCTTGCACCAGATACTTCCATGGCCCCATCTGCTATACCTGCTGTTTTTGATATCATTAATCGTAGACCATCGATAAGCAATGATCAACAGAAAGGTAGGAAGATTGACAGGTCGAAGCAATTTGATATCGAGTTCAAGATGGTAACATTTGCATATCCATCTAGGCCTGAGGTGATTGTTTTGAGGGACTTCAGTCTGAAGGTCAAAGGTGGGAGCAGGGTGGCCCTGGTAGGAGGAAGTGGTTCTGGAAAATCAACTGTGGTATGGATGATACAGAGGTTTTATGATCCAATAAGAGGGAAGGTACTCATGGGAGGGGTGGATTTGAAGGAGCTTAATGTGAAGTGGCTGAGAAGGCAAATAGCTTTGGTGGGTCAAGAGCCTGCACTGTTTGCTGGGAGCATAAGGGAGAATATTGCATTTGGAAATCCGAATGCTTCTTGGAGTGAGATTGAAGAAGCTGCAAAGGAAGCTTACATTCACAAGTTCATTAGTGGCCTCCCTCAGGGCTATGAAACACAGGTATGTCTAATGAGTTGGAAGTATAGAAACTCCATTTCAATTCATATGAATCCTTAGCTTTTAGGCAATACCAAACAAATTGAAGGCCATAATCACATAAATTACATACCCAACTTTAGACATTATTTGCATAAAGTGACTACTCTCACCACCAACATGCCTCCTTAGTCATTGAATTAAGAGAAGCCTGTCAATGCAATATTTGAGATGGTACGTTCAAGGTGAGAGCGTCTCATGATAGACTTTAATAGTATCCCAAGGCTTTATGGGCATGTCATCCTTCGAGTGGCACTAATCCTGATTGGGTAGTTGTCAGTCATAACTGTCCAAAGCATTTCTCTTATCCTGATTGTTGCTTCTTTCATTATCATTAATAGGTTGGTGAGAGTGGGGCCCAACTATCGGGTGGCCAAAAACAAAGGATCGCGATTGCAAGGGCAATACTGAAGAAATCAAGTGTGCTACTCCTAGATGAAGCTAGCAGTGCCTTGGACTTGGAATCAGAGCAGCACGTCCAGAATGCACTGGGGAAGATTTCCAAGCGGGCCACCACTATTGTGGTGGCCCACCGGCTTTCAACGATCAGAAAAGCTGACCTCATAGCGGTTGTTAGGGATGGTGCAGTGGCGGAGTATGGAAGCCATGATACACTCATGGCTTCCCATCTTGATGGCATCTATGCTAGTCTGGTCCGTTCAGAAACAGAAGCAAATGCTTTTTCTTGAGTGATTGCCTGGTATGTACATACATGTATGTGGAGATTTGCAGCTCAATTTTGTTAAACATTGAGTGAATGTAAATAACCCACCATCTTATGGGTTTCATTTTAGCCAACTTAATGTAGTGTGCTCAAATTCAAAACAACTCGATAAGCCACATTGAAGTTTAATTTCTACTCAAAAGTTGTAGTTCTCGACTCCATGGAACATTTGTTTTGAAGTGAATGCTAAGTTTGTTAATCAAACTAAACTTTTGTGTAAATATCAAGCAAATAGGGACCCGTTATAGTATGCAAAGGTCCTTTCTTTTGTGCTTCAAAGGCATCATTCCCCTTCGTTTTTAGTCATAATTTGCACGATTGAGTTACAATGGCTTTAACCACTTTAAGTTGATTAAGAAGTAAAAATTTTGAGTACTAATATTGGAAGAATGGACTGCGAGTAAAACTTTGTCATGGCCAATATGAACTGATATTGAAAGGATATCTTGTTCATTTTATTTTATTTTATTTTAATTTTTTGGGTATGAAGCGACTATTCACACCTAGTAGGTGGTCAATCTCTCCATTTGAGAATTAGAGGAGATACCATTGAATTAGAGTCTTTGGTACGTAGGTTGAGCAAATTAACAAAATTATCTCTAGTATTTTTCTTCGAAAATCTTGTATCGGCTGGACTAGTACTGGATATTGACCTAAGATTAAAGAAAGACATGAACAAAACATGCTCTTATCCATATAAAATTTTCTTTTTGAAGCAAAACGTACAATTGAATCAATCTAGCCGTTGTAATAATGTTAAAAGTAAACACAAGATTAGGACAGTGCAATCTCCTTACCTTTCCAGTAGCTCCATTCCCTCTTCCTTAATCCAATGACCAATCTACCCACTCAAATTGCTAAACATAACCCCAAAACACTAATCCACACAAGGGACATATTTGTCATTTCGTATCACAGGATGAATCCATGGACATATTCTATTGTCACTTGGCTTGAAAGGCAAGAGAAGTTGTGGTTACGTGCCTGCTATGCAAAGCTATAGAGATGTTCTTTTGGGCATCACAATATTTTGCCAATTTCAATCACACCACTTTGTTGTGAAACTCAACTTCTCTATCATTTTCTCTCTATGAAACACAACTTCTTTACTTCACATATTCACCTCTTTGTTTTTTCTTCTGTCTTCTCCCCCATTTGGAGCTCTGTGCTTCCTCTCTCAGGTAACCATCACACTGCTCTCTCTCTCTCTCTCTCTCTATATATATATATATATATTTATATATGCCACACTAATGTAGACAAATGCAGCCTTACTTTTTATGCAAGTCCAAGATTTTTATGTGTCCTTGTGATAATTTAGTCAATACAGCATATATTGTATGATTCATGAAGCATCACCTCTCTCTCTCTCTCTCTCTCTCTCTAACTTTATTAGGTTTTTTTTTTTTTTTTCCCTTTGTCAAGGTCAATCCACATTTCTACTTTCTTTTTAAATTTCTTTCATTAAAAATTCAGATAACTATATGACATTCAGCTCAATAGTTTAGATCCCAATGGGACAATGTATAAAAAACACTGTTTTTTTATGATCTGAAATCAGAGTTCTCTCTTTATTATCATTTTTTATTGGCACATTAAAAGGGCTAATTACTAAATGCACCATCTCTTAGGTTGATTTAAACTTAGAAATTTAGACTTTAAAGTACTCTACATGGACTTATTGAGAAAGACATTATTTGGTGAGTAATTATTAAGCAAGAATTTAATGAAGTTGATGTTAGTTTTTGAATATAAATGTAACAAATGGAGGGGACAATTGTTCCTCCTATGGAAATTAAATGATGTCAAAGAGGATTCAGTGAATTTAAATTTTGATTCTGTTATAACATATATGCGAGTCTTAATTGTTTTGTTATCATAGTTGCTTTAATTGTTAGTTTGAAAATAAGGGTATAAGACTCACAAAGTTCTGGATACTGCTCCCACCAACATGGGATTCTTGGAGAGGAAGAGTGGAGACAAACTTGACATTATTTATACTGCTTTTAGACTCAAACCCTCATCCTCGCATTGATCGCGTTGAGTTTTTCATAATGCTTCTTCCACCAGCTTCTTAAAATGCCTCACTGAGCATGGAAGGTTGTTCTTAGACATCCCTATGACCCTATAATCGTGAGTATTTTCTATACAAATTTTTTTCAAAAATAATGCTTCAATTTGATATGCAGTGATTGATATTTATCAGATACACTTACTAATATTTTGGTCATTGATCAGGTGGACTTTTGAAATCTGTACAAACTGGGAATTCCCTTTGAGAGTTCATACATTGAAAACGAGATACAAATGGCATCCCTGACACCCGGAGTACTACTTAAACTTCTTCAGGGAATGAATTCTGGTGCAAAAGTACGTGGTGAATATCGATCTGTCCTTCTACAAGTGATCAGCATTGTCCCGGCCTTAACTGGTCCAGAACTATGGCCAAACCATGGATTCTTCATAAAAATATCGGATTCTTCCCATTCAACATATGTCTCGTTGTCAAAGGAAGATAATGAGCTCATCTTAAATGATAAGCTGCAGCTAGGCCAATTCTTCTATGTGGACAGGATGGAATCTGGAAATTTGGTTCCTGTTCTAGTTGGGGTGAGGCCGGTTTCAGGACGACATCCATTTGTGGGTAACCCCAAGGACTTGATGAAAATCTTAGAGACGTCCGAGGGCCCCATCCAATTTGATCAGGAAGATTCAAAATTGAGTGAATTGTCAGAAACCAAAGAGGAGAATCCTATAAAGAAATTTGTTATCAAAGAGGAGAAGGCGAGCGTTGCATCTAGGTACATGCAGGGTGTCTTAACATCGAATACAAAATTAAATGGAGCTGATTCGAATATCTGTGGAAAAGGCAACGAGAATGAGATTGGTGGAGCATGTAAGAAGGTTGGAGCTGTAAAAGGCAAACAGCATGAGCTTAAAGGTCAGGTATGATCTAGCTTTTTTTTTTTGGTCCAATCTAAATTCATCTAAGAATCTAATTTTTCAATCTCGACCTCGTTAAGCCCACTTGAATATGGCATGATACAAGTCATACAACAGTGTTAGAACTATTGAAAGATAATTTAAATAGAACAATGGGATCGATTGTGAACCATGAGTTTATATAAGTGATATTCTGTCTTTGCACCATGAGTACATGTTATACTAATTTTGTCTAAGATTGTGACCTTATTTTTGTTTAGTATAATAGATTTCTAATTCTTGTTGAATATGAACTTTTTTATGTTTGTTTAAATGGAAAATTAAGGGAAAAAGTGTGGGTAAATAACATTGCATCAGACAAGTTTAATGTGTTTGTGACGTTGGCATGATCTTTCATTCAAGTTTTCAGAATAATATGAGAAAAAGAGAGAATTATAGCCCAAATTATTCAATCCACTGCATTCCATCTAACATACGTTGTAAATGACAAGAATTCAATTTACTTGTGTTACAGACACTAGTTCTTCGAGTTTATGTAACCGTTTCAGGATCTTGCTTTTCCTTAATCCCAGATGGAGCCTCTAAAAGGACAACACATTGCAACTCATAATTTTTTATATATTACAGAAATTGATCCATTTAGTGACAATCACTCATACTTGCATTACAGACACGATCAACAACTCCTTCCATCAATCGCCCTGATGCAGGCAAGCCACATCCAGATGTTACAGTATCTGACACCAAGGAGACCTTGGCACCATTGAAAGTCACGACGACAAAGCGCACAAGTAAACAAGAAAATGTGAACTCGAATGGTTTGTCAAAGAGTAAAGATAAAAATCAATCATCTGAGGAAATATCTTGGTCCTCTCTGCCTGCCAAGCTTTTGAAGCCTGGGAAGGTATTTTTCTCATCTCATCCACTCCTTTCGCAGAATCAATCAATATGGTGCCTGTTTCATATTATGTTGTTATGCCCAACAATTGCATTGTAATGATAATTTTCATACAAATGAATTAATTCTTTTGCCTTGTTACAACAATTAATGGTTGCTAATTTGTTAGAAAAATGATAACATTGTTTTGCTAATTTTCTCGACATGTAAAAACTAATAGACAGAATCAATGAAAATATTACAATGTAATGATACTTCTGATCTTCTATTGCTACTACAAGGGGATACTTAGGAGGAGAAACTTAGCTTCTCTGGTAGCAGCAGAAGCTCATAGAGAAGCAACTACGACTGCAATTCTTGTCAAGTGCCTCGGGTAAGTGTACTTACTTGTTCCAAAACCTGTCAGCCTATCATCAAACATCTGCAAAGTGATATCACATTCAGAAACAATGAATGGTTCCTTGCTTAGAAATAAAGAAAATTAAATTCCTTCAATACAATTCTTACTTCAATCTTTTCTTTCAGTATGTTTGCCGATCTGTGCTCATCTGCCTCGCCTGAGAACCCTCACCTCTCTCTCACCAAGTTCTTCATCCTCCACCAGCTCATCAACCAACCAAATGTCACAACCCCATCTAAGGATAAACCACTTAATTTCTCTAATAACTCCTCAGCTCAAGACACGGAGAAATCCATTAAAAAGAGAGGTCTTGGACGTGGTAAGAGTACATTGAAGTCTCCAAATCCATCAGTAGAGCTAAGTGGTGCTGAGAAACTAGAGTGGGCAAAAGGAGATTGTTCAAAAAATATCAAAGAACTTAGAGAGATTCTGCTAACTGAAACACAATCCTGGTTTTTGAAATTCTTGGAAGGAGCACTTGATGCTGGTTTTCGTGTGGGTACGCAGGAAAAGAGAGGAAAGGACAGTGTGGGACGGCGGATGGAACCGGACAACCATATTGCTGTCACATTATCTCAGCTTAAGAAAGCAAATGAATGGTTGGATAAACTAAAAGGCAACTTGACCTCAGAGAAAAAAGGATTAATTGAGACTGTTGACCGTTTGAAGCAAAAAGTGTATTCGTGTTTGCTTCTTCATGTGGACTCGGCTGCATCAGCTCTAGAGAGCCGATCTGATCGCGTTTGATTCAAGACAAGTAGATTGTCATACAATTTATGTCACGTGGTATTTATAAATAATTTATAATATTTAATTTGTATTTGATTGCTAAAGTTCCTCGAGTGAAATTCAAGGTCACCTGGAATGCAGATCATCTATATATGAAGAAGTGTTTTTTGTATAAGAAAATAATGAGGCCATTTAAATCTCAAATTGAGCATTTCCAAATTTTCCCTTCAGTGGTCCTTTTTTTTTTGGTTTAATGCTCATGTTGAAGGAAAAAGCGAAGTGTTCCTCTCTCTGAAGGTTCAAAGTTCTCTTTTATTCTAAATGGAACGTCCACCCAAATGATACAGACAACAGGTTTGTCCCACTTGATTTGAAAGCTTCATTGTAACTTGTTTGAGGTGGCCAGCTACCAAATGTTTCTTTCCTCCAACTCCATCATCACCGGCCGGCTACCTAATATTCTTTTGTCTAGCCCCACCAGCACCATGAAAATGACATATAGAACTTAAGATTTGAAGTAAAGTAGTAGCATAATGTTAATGTCATGATAATGATGTGGTGGTTCAAATAGATCATGTTAAAACACATACTAATTAGAAATATTCATATTAAAACACATACTAATTAGAAACTTACCTCCATTGCCTGGTGCAATCCCTGATTTTTCTTTGTTTGTGTTATTATAGGAGAGGGCCCGAGCTGGAGAGCAAGAGCACACGCAACATTCTCGTATCAATGTCCGAGCAATCTAGCATGTGCCCTGCTTCTCCAGCATGGATCACCCATTCCTTATATTTGCTTCATGATTGCTAGTTTTTCAATCAAAGAAGAAATCCTGCAACAACTAGGCCCAGAAGACTGAACTCAAGGAAAAACATATCCTGTACATAAAACATGCCTCCTATTACCTAGAGGAAAGAAACACGGTTAAATGAAGGGATAAAAGTACTTATATATAGCATTACACAAAGAGTAAAATATAATTGTGGGTTTGGGAGCATTTTGTTGGTGAGATAGGTGGTTGATCTTGTAGGTTTGCTTACAAAATCAAACATTTATGTTGTGTTCTTTAAGCAAATCCAATGGTGAGTTAAGACTAATGAGTTTTGGTTCAGTGACTGTTGAAGTTTGGCTGCCAAAAAAAAAGTGGTGAAATTGCTAGTAATTCCATTGAACAATGAAATCTAATAGATGATGTAACCTAAGCAGGCCACCCACCATAGGGTTTTATGATCAGATGACTAAACTCACCAGCCAAATCCAATATCCAACCTTCACTTCACAATTTTTAAGTTACACTGCACACTTTATATTCATATTTGCACCTTGTCCTCTAGACATAAATCATAGAAAACAATTCCAAAAAATTTGGTTAAAAGTTAAATGAGAAGGAATTAGAGAAGCTCAAAAAAAAGAATAATCCGAATTCAGCCAGTATTTGAAATTTTTTTGAGAAATTTGGCTGCAGAAGTTTAAGCCATTCTGTCTGCTATGAATTTCATGAGTAATGCTGCTCATGTTCCAAATATACATATATGTACCAGGAGCATAACAACCTTGTTTTTTTTTCTTTCTTTTTTTTCCCTAGTTAACAACCTTGTTTCTCTGAACCTGTTACTCTCAGACCTGTGGCCGGAAGGTAAAAGTATTGAACTCCGCTGCATTAGATGTGGTTCTTGACCACTCATTCCATTTTCTTGGGTTTTAATCTAATCCCTCCTCTTGGGACTCATGAATTAGGATTCCATCTCTTGCACAGGGGAGGGTGGGGTCACCCCCACATGGGTCGGCAGAGTAGACGCTCCATGTGGAGTGATTTTCACCCTCCTCTATGCACTGGATGGCACTCGAGGGAAATCCAAGTTCAAACTTTACTGTCAAATCTCCAGAGAGTCTGATTCGTCCTCATCCCTAGGAAAGCCAATCTAATGTAGTTGTAGCAGAGTTCACTACTTTTACCTCTGGCCCGTCTAATGGGATTTTTCTAAACTTTAAACTTACCTGGCATTCTTGAAGATTAGGGATACCCTCATTAGGGAAGAAAACAAAAATTACATAAAGAGAGATACAGTAATATACTAAAATTGCAGAGAGAGCTTAATTTTTGTTAGGGCTTACATGATTTCATTATTTTACATTTAAAATACTAATCATAATTTTTGTTAGTCTTTAAAGCAAATACTTCCAACAGATATTTACTGCATAGTGAATCATCTCATATTCAGTATTTCTTCATGACTATATTAGAAGTAGAATGAAAGAAGAGAAAGGAAAAACAACCTAGAAGCAAATTGTAGAAGAAACTAGAAAGACAAACCCTAGAGGGCAATCCTAACTGACATATGCATGATGCTGCAAAGGATCTGTAAAGCTTGGGCCTGAAGCTTGACAAAAAGATCAGTTTGATCTGCCCACACCAGATTGTAAAAGCAAGCCCAAGCTCGACCCTTTTAGAAGTAAGCCCAGCCCAGACTGTCCTAAACATTTTTAATTGATAGAGATAAGAATTGAAACATCATTAACGTGAAATCTTCATTTTTATATATGCCATGGTACAACTTTCACAATAGAAGACGAATATAGGGATCAAGATACGAACGAAACTTGAATCAATATATGCATGTGTGTGATTAAATATGACACTATATCTATATGTTAGGTTACTCAATTAAGATTGGCTAATATATAAGATAGCTCCCCCATTATTACTATCATACTATATGTTAATTTTTGGAGGGACCATGACCCCACTTGCTCTGCATTTGAATATGAGCTAGATTCGGATTGGGTTGTATGGGGTGACATTTTTGTCTAACAATTTATGTGTGATGGAAAAAAATTCAACCTAAGCAATAAAAATAATTGTCATTGTTTGACATTTCTTTCTAACAATTTATGTGGGATTGAAAATTTTCAACCAACCTACCACTATAAGTAACATAAATAACTGTCCAAAATCAATTCAAAGATGATGGAGCTATTTTACTAAAAGTTGTTTGAATATTGTGCACATAATTGTACATGTAGTACGGACACAAGATACGAAGATGATATATTGACACGTCAAATTTTTAAAAAGTAGAACACATATACGACTTGGACGCATCTATATATATGAATTTTTATTTATTTAGTATTAAGTAATAGTATTATAAAATTTTAATTTATTTTTAATTTTTATACTAAGAGTTATAATGACTTTTATATGACATATATATATAGTTATTCCACTACTTTGTCATTAACAGTATTTCTATTTTAAATGAACAAATATCATTTAATATTTTACTTGTGATCATATATATATAATGTCAATTTTTCTTGTAAAAAAAAATTGAAATACTTTAGAATGTGTTCATATTATTTTCAAAATTACCGAATAGGTTTATATTAGAAATGTTTGAAAGTGTAACCGAAGTGTTCAAGAAGTGTCGAAAAAGTGTCCAAAATAATAAAAAATTATTTTTATTTACGAATACGTATATAAAATGTCGGACACGTATCTAATGAGTGTCCGACAAATGTCGATATCCAACACGAATGTGACACCTTAATAGAAATGTTCGTGCTATATTGACCGTCCACACAACGCGCCCAATATCTCAATTCCCAAGCTTGTACGTCTGTTCTCATTATAAAGGCCAGCGCTGCCATGCGGCATGTCTGGACAAATCCAAGTGCTCATAAAGTTGGAAGTTGGCAAAACCTTCCTTGGTAAACCAAGGAATCAGATAATATACCATGCCATTAAAGTATATCTTTCATGAACGTCCTATTCAAACCATTAAACAATCCTATCAATTAACCACATCAACATAAATTTGTTGTATATACCTAAAAATTGTTAATAAAATGAAGTTCATTTCTAAAACAAAAGTCCACCTGAAATTACCCTTTCCCTCTTCGTCAATTTGGGGGCAGAAGCATTGATTCAAAAGATGAAGTTATGAACTAGTGTGAGTCCCCCTCTCTTTTTCTATGTTGGTTCTTGTTTACTTTTTCATGGGGTTGGGTGGGTGCCAATTTTATTACTATTTTTCAATCGTTCGCACTCATCATCAACTATTACTCTTTCTTGCTTTCACAACCTATATCTATATGCTTTCACAACTAACTGTCTCTTTGTATCACTTGGTTTATTGCTAACCAATTGCCCCATTGTTGACCTAATTGTTACCTAGTCCAAGGAAGGAGCATGAGAAAATTGCATATTTTTAAATTTATTTGGATTATTTTCTTTTATTTATTTATTTATTTTTTTTTATTACGACGAGAGGAAAATCTCGGCCAAGATGAATAGTCTTCATAATAATTTTCTTGGACATTTTTATTTTTCTTACTACTACATGAAGTATAACGGATCATAAAGTTGACATTTGACCGAAAAAGAAGAACATGAATTATTTAACACTATTTTGTTCAAAGTGAAAAGATTTGTGAAATGTAATTTCATGTCAATTTTAAAGATTTTATAATAAAATTAGATTAGAGCAAAATTCATTACTATTTAAAAAATTACTCTTAGATAATCGGACTAGGGACTGTCCTAGTAGCAATTGCCCCCTGAATTTTTTATTTTTTATTAATATACCATGTTATTTTTTTTTTTAATATATACTCCTAAAATATTGTTAATGCCCCCTTAAAATTATTACAAAATTTCAATCTTGCCCCTTCTTACCTAAAATTTTAAGTCCGCCCTTGATCGGACTGCTGATTAAAATTTTCACATTCATATTACTTTTTCTTTTCCAATTTTTTTTTTTTTAGTTCAAATAAAGTAAAAAAGATTATCCGCCATCATCATTATCCTCTAATCCCATGATTATTTTAAAAAAATTATATGACTAAAACTTTTTTAAAATATTACTTTTTCACTAACAAAAAAAAAAAAAAAAACTGATTATTTATTTATTATTATTATTATTTTTATTTATTTATTTATTTATTTTTTGATCACATTCACATCCATACGTATATATCCATTCGTATTTCGTACTCTGATGTCTTTTTCCGTTTCAGTCTCACACAGCACTTGGCGTTCACTGTGTCAGAAGGAACTCAGGTTCACTTACACCAGTCGTTTCCAACTGCTTCACATCCAAGAAAGCTCTGGTTTCCTTCTCGCCCTTTTCTATAATCCAAACTCACAAATCTTCTTCTACTTCTTCTCCGAAAACCCACTATAACCCTCTCCAAAATTCAATGCAAGTACTCGATTTCCCTCTGTTTTAATCAAATCTCTCGCTAGATCTTTGTGGATCACTAAATTTTCAATTTGGGTCTCTTCCATTTTGTTCAAATTTGAGGTTTCTTTGAAGAATACCGAATTTCGGCAATGGTGGCTTCCTCTGTTGCCTCTCCGCTCTGTACATGGCTCGTCGCTGCTTGCATGTCGGTCGTTTGTGAAAAAGACATCACTCTGAAATCAAAATCTATGTCTCAATCTCAGAAGAGGCTTGCTTGTTTTGCGAGACGAAGGAAGGCCGTGACTCATTGTGGCAATGGTGGTGGTGTAGATAACCTCTCTGTTGGTTTGGTTTCGTCATTGTGTGGAACTGGTATTCAAAATGCGATGCGCTCTTGTCTCGCTTTCGAACCATGTCAGGAGTACTACAGCTCCAAAGGCCTGTCATCTTCTTTGGCCTTCTTTGGTGATAATGGATTCTCACTTTTCGGGTCGAAGACGGTGCCGGCAACTCGCAGGCAGAGACGGATGAACCGGGATGCCCATTCTGGTATTAACCTATGAATTTGATGTTGGAATTGAATTATTTTTGGTTCAATATTGTTAATTATATGTGTGCTTGTTTGTCATAATATTAATTACAGAGCATGCTATAATTTTTTTAATGGTAACTTCTATTTTATATGCAAAACAGCAAAAAGAAAAAGAAAGAAGAATGCTATTTTTTATATGATTTATTTTTTAACATTTTTCTGTGAATTATGTTTGTGAAGGATACTTTGGTTCATGATATTTGATACATAATCTAATTCCATTTATGTAAGTTGTAGTTTTGAATATTGGTCGCTGGACAAATATGTTGTTCATCTCTGTTTTTGAGTGTGTGTGTGTGTGTGTGTGAAGGGGGTGGTAAGGAAGACACTTGCACTCATCTGCAGTTACCCTTTCGGGAAATTGAACACGCAATCTTTCACATGGAAAGCAAGGGAGATACCATTAGAGCTAACAGCTTAGCACAGTTTGACTGACTGTTTAGTATTGAAATGCATGTAACGATAGAAAAGTAGTAGCGAAATTTTCAGTATCATTAAATTTTTTGGTTTTAGGTTTCAATTTAATTTTACCGGGTTTGCTGATTAGTAGGAGTTATTGGGAGGGATTATGATTTTAGGTGGTGTACTTTTTCATCTGTCCTCGAAGAGATGATGATAGATACCATGGACCTGTAATTGTGCAACATTTAATCTCATTAATTAGCCGGAAATATATGCAAGTTATGACAGCTAAGCTTTTGGAATTTAATTAATTTTGATGAACTTGTTGCCATGTTACTATGTTGTCATGAGACATACTTCTGCCCAATTAGTAATCTTCACTATATAATATATATTGCTGATGGAATCTGTTAAGAAATGCTTTATACATTTCATACCTATGAAATGGTAGCTTAGAGATTAATTTATGAGTTGTGATTTTGGGCGCTTTATTTTGTCATTTCGGCTTGAAGAGAAAATGATTGATATACCAGTAATTGTGCACTATCGTAAACCATTGGATTTGGTTGGAAACGGGCGCAAGTTATGATGCTCAAATGTTCAGAAGTAAATTGATTGGTGATGTAGGTGCCACAATACCAATGCAACCATGGGACATTCTTTGCCCCCATTATTGATTTGTTCCATATGGTGCTGATGGAAGCCATGGATTGATGCTTAGTAAATGTAATACCTACCATATGGTGAGCATATAGACTAAATTTATCATTTTTCTAGGAAAAACCATGGCTGTGGCAGTGCAACCTGCAAAGGAAGCCACATTAAAGAAGAAACATCCTACGAAGAAAAGGCGGGTTGTTGCGACAGGAGTAGGTGTCGTAACCCCAATTGGTGATGATGCAGATGTATTCTATAATAATCTTCTTGAAGGTGTTAGTGGCATAAGTGAGATCGAGGCATTTGACTGTGCTCAGTTTCCAACGGTAAATTTTTTTTTTACTTTCTTTTTTTGTGCTAACTAGCTCTGTGGAGATGTTGATTCTAGCCTTTTTTATTACAGAGGATTGCAGGGGAAATCAAGTCTTTCTCAGCAAATGCATGGGTTGCACCAAAACTTTGTAAGAGGGCAGACAAGTTCATGCTTTACATGCTCACAGCTGGCAAAAAAGCATTGGCAGATGGTGGGATTGCAGAAGGTGACATGGGCGAGCAAGACAAAGCTAAATGTGGCATTTTGATTGGGTCTGCTCTAGGAGGCATGAAGGTAAGTTTAGCTTACCTTGTATGATAATACAGTATTTCGCAGACAGAAACTGACAGTAAAAACTTAATAAGCCAAAGCTCTTTTCATTAGCTGTTGCTTAGATCTCCTGCACAAAATGGGATGATGCAATGCCTATAAACCAGTACCATGTGAACCACAGATGGGGAATGAATTGTGGAATTGATTCCAAACTGATCAATTAATTCAAATTTCTCCAGGAACTAACGACTATTTTCATTGTCAAATGCTTCAACTTCTTGTGTTTCTAAGATATATTGGGTACACTTTGATCAGGTTTTTCATGATGCAATAGAAGCTTTACGAGTTTCTTACAGGAAGATGAATCCCTTTTGTATACCTTTCGCTACTACCAACATGGGTTCTGCTATACTTGCAATGGATTTGGTAAGTCTAAGGTCAATGCTAGTAGCAGATTAGGATAAAATCTCAACAGATCGTGAAATTGTTGTTGAAACCCTGTAGCTGTTTGCTAATTGCCAAACTGCAGGGATGGATGGGCCCGAACTACTCTATCTCTACAGCTTGTGCAACGAGCAACTTCTGTATACTAAATGCAGCCAATCATATTATCAGAGGTGAAACGGTATTTGCCTAAATTTACTCATTACGTTCTGTTAATTTCTGAGCTGTAGTTATTTCTAGAATCTTTTCATAGCTTGTTTAATACTTTTTTATTTAATTTCTTCTAGTAAAGCATCTATACTTCCACATTGTTCTCAATGCACAGAAACTTGCAGGATATGATGCTTTGTGGTGGCTCCGATTCAGCAATTATTCCTATAGGTATTAGTTCTTATCTCATACTGGATGTGTCCTAATTATTTATCTTCATGATGAATGAACTTGACATTTTTATATGATGAGCTTAAAATTGCAGGATTGGGAGGCTTCATAGCATGCAGAGCTCTTTCACAAAGGAATAGTGATCCAACTAAGGCTTCGCGCCCTTGGGATATTGTATTGCATCAAACTTTCTTCTTCATCTTAGTTCAAGCATGTTAATAAAGTGAATTTCAGTAACTCTGTTCTGCAAGTTGAATTAGTCAACTTACTATCAATATATTTTGTGAGTCTTTTGTAGTATAACATGTGCCAAATTAGTAGAGAACTAGAGATATAATCATATTATGGCTTCTTATATTCACTTGATGCAATTATCTTTGTCAAAAAGCTTTATCTAACCGGCTGCAAGTCAAAGTCACTTTAACCACGTACTTCTGGAAAACTCAAGAAAGATCAAAAGGAAAAATAATATCTATGAAATATTGCATTCAACCTCTTATTGATTTGGAAAGTATCGAATTTATGGCAGGGTATATTTGAAAAAATGTTGGGGACATTTGCTGACACTTCTGAAATTCAGGATTGTAGGTTTTACATTACCGTATCTGATTTTCTTCTTGGTCCTAATCCTTATTAGATTTGATTTTCAATTGGCAGAATCGTGATGGATTTGTTATGGGAGAAGGAGCTGGTGTTTTGCTTTTAGAAGAACTAGAACATGCTAAGGTATTTCCAAGCATGCTTTATAATTCACTGAAAACACATTGAAATTTGGACTCAGACTAGGCCGCTGGATTGGAAGTAGAGAAACATTTGGATGAAAAATTTTGGGCAGAAAGTCAGATTATCTGGCCAAATTTTGGCCCCAAAGTCCTATCAGCTTTAATTCCTTTTATCTTATTAATATGACAGAAAAGAGGTGCAACTATCTATGCGGAGTTTCTGGGTGGAAGCTTTACTTGTGATGCTTATCACATGACTGAACCTCATCCAGATGGTAAGCTCTTTATCCTTTATTTGTTGCTAATTGACAAATAATCTGAAATATTTGTTGACACTCATGTTTGGACCTTAGGATCTTTTCAGTATCATCTTTGCAGACTAATTTTTCTTTCAGAAATGGGGTTACAAATTGTGATGCTGTTGAAAAGAAGTTTGAGGACCATGCTGGATAACTTGTTTGTGACAATTTTCCTTAAAATGCGCCTTTGCAGGAGGCACTGAATTTTTTTTTTTTTTTTTTTCCCATGTTTTATGAAACTCAGGTCTGTTTGCAAATCGAAAACAACCAAGAATGCCCACATTTTCAAGGGGGAAAAGAAAAAACAAAATTTGCTTTCACTTTTGAAAGCCTTTAGTTCTCCTATTTCTTTTCCATCTTCATTGCTATTATTTATACCTTTTCTCCCTTTCTGTTGATTTAAGCCGTTCTTCCATGAAGCATTATTTCAATTTATCTTAACATTATAATTAGTGGATAAAATCAACCAAAGGGGTGTAAGACCATAAGGTTTCTGCCGCAAAAGTCATGCACCGTGTAGGTAGGAAACATTTGATTCACTAATGAAAACTTGAACTGATGGCGCTTATTTGCCTTCCTGAAATCAGGAACAGGAATTGTTCTTTGCATAGAAAAGGCTTTAGCTCAATCTGGAGTAGCCAGAGAAGATGTCAATTATGTGAATGCGCATGCTACATCAACGCAGGCTGGAGATCTAAAAGAGTACGAAGCCATTGTTCGGTGTTTTGGGCAGAATCCAGTGGTAAATTGGATGCATAATGTTCTCTAAAGCCCCTATATTTTTCACAATTTCTTTCTGGAATGCTTAATTCTATATCATGTTCTTGCAGCTAAGAATGAACTCTACAAAATCCATGATTGGTCACCTGCTTGGGGCTGCAGGTGCTGTGGAAGCTGTTGCAACCATTAAGGTAATTAGCTCCTGGATTTTGCTACACGGGTTGTTTAAAGTAACTAATATAATTTGAACTTATCATGCTTTGGGAGATCAGTTGTTTCCGGTAAAATAATTCTTTATATCTGGATTGATTTTAATTCTGCCAAGGACTACTGATAGATCTATTTCCATGATATCCTTGAGCTTGCAAACTTATATACTGTGAGGATAATCTGTTTGTGTCATACCTTGTAATTGATGAAATTTTCATATTATGCAAAATTACATAGTTGATATGATAAAAGGTAATTACCAGCATGGTCCCTATTAATCAAGGATGCAGAGAAGGTGGACTGGTAATAAATCTAACCTTTGACATTATCTGCCCTGAGACATGAAACTGTATTCACATGTTTAGCACTCCTAGCGTATTTATCATAGCACCTAGCAATGGCCACTTAACCTAGCTTATATATAAAAAGTTATAAAAATGGGCTTCCTAGGACGTATTACTTGGCTGGTTATATGCACTTCCATGGTTCTCTGCACGGAAGTGTCTGGAAATAGGAATTAGAAACAGAACTGGCTTGAGAAGTTGTCAGGCTGTCATGATTTTCATGTTTTGACGTATTCCTGTTTTTGTTGATCCTATTATCTGCAATAACTTCCTTTCCAATGTTGTTTGAGAATTAATTACCTAAAGGTATGATTTTGGGTTTCCAGATTGAGCTTTAGCAACTCGAATAGCGCTATGCCCCATGCCCTACTTTATTTTGTTCACATAGTAGCAAAAGTAGTTCTGCAAGGAAGTTGTTAGGGACTCGGTCCTTTAATGCATGCTTCTATGTATGTCAAACATGCCCCTGAAGCACTTAAATCTTAAAATAGAGCTTTCAAAGTTGGAAAATGCTTTTGGGGCCGAGGAAAATAACCAAAGAGGCCCGCCGAAGACCTCTTGTCCCCACTTCTAACAATCAAAGGGGCCAGAGGTTTTCAGCTGGCCTCCTTGGCCCAATAGCACTGCTCTTCAAAGTTTTGACATTTGGCTAACATGCAGTTAATGCAGGCGGAAAACACACTGAACGGTTTGGGACACAGTGTTAGCATTGAAAGAAAAATATCACCGTAAAAAGAGAGAATATATAAAAGAGGGCCTTTGTAGAACTTCTTTGAAATTGGACCATATCTCAAATCAGAAACGTGATAGGAGAATTATAAGAGTAGAAGGACGAGAGGAGGATATAGTTGATATATGAATCTGTGTTTGTGCAAGTTGTATAAAAGTTTGAATTGGTTTATTAAAATTTCCTATCGTGTCCATGTTAATTTTTTAATATTTTGCATATCAAATTTTTGCCTTCTGTCTTTGTCATTGCAACATAACTCTTTAATTTTTAAAATGGATTCAGATTGTTTGTATATTGTCTGATTTCTCATCAACTCGGGCGCAATGGTTTAGATTTTGTTCACAATTAAGTCCACATAATAGCATGGTTGTTATCAATTTGTTTTTTTTTTTGATAAGTAGCATGGTTGTTATCATTGAACAAGAACTAGAGGCCTTTTGGACATAAGTTAAAAGGTTGGTTTGGAAAAGTGGAAATTAAAGTGGATTGTTGACTGAACTATACACTATAACTTCAGAAGAATAATGATCATGTCTTACAAGTTAGCTAAGACTATATGACAAGATTGATTGTTGATGAGCATACGCAATCTTTTTGATGTAAAAAATGAGAAAATTCTAGAAAGAAAGAGGTAGAGAAAAGGGAAGAGATCTTCTCTGAGGAAAAGTACAAGCTTTTAGCAAATAATGGTTCTTTTTATCTTCTTCTTCTTTTTTTTTTTTTGAAAGGTAAATAATAGATCAGAGAAGTAGCAAGACTTTGGCGTCGCCGGGACTCCAACCGGAAATGGATCCATGATTGCCTGATCACTGGAGCAGAGCATTTTATGTTGAAATAATCACGACTTCTACGTAGTGATTAGATTTGTGTCTTGTGTAGAAGACATAAGTGTATTATTGGGTGGAAATTATTTCCATCACATTGATTTAGGAGCATTAATAAGAATGATCAGCTCAGATGAAATGTTTGAAAGGATACTTTCGATATGATTGTTTCATCAATTCTGGGAACAAAATATGCAGCTGAATTTAGATAGTGATGGTGGATCTTGAATTATAGCTGTGAGGCACAACATGTGGTTCTTTTGAATGAGAAATAATAAATATAAGGAAAAAAAAACCTAGGATGTATTGAGAAGCTAATGAGAATCATTGAAGCCTCACATTCTATTCCAACCTATATTATATTTTGATTCCTAAATTTTGAAAACTGAAATATGTCTGAACTCTTTTTTATGGGACCAAACCCTTTTATGAAATTATATGGCATTCATAAAATTGTTTCAGGTTTAACATTTCCCTAATGTACATTACAGTGCAATTTGGGTTTATTCGAAGTCAGTTTTAGTTGGACAAGCAGAGTTTGTCACTGCTGCTATTCTTATATGTTACCACTTGTCAGAGAAGTCAGTTGCTATTATCTTCCTTTACAAATCAATCCCTTCTAGATGGTCTACTAAGGGAGCATTTGGATGTCTGCTGAAAATAAAACCATTACGTATATTTTACCCAGCATTTTAGTGACTCATCTGTACATTTTGCTTGTAATAGTAAATAATTTGTTGTACTTGCATGTTTAATAAATCCTTTCTTACGATTTATGAATTAATGTGTCTGGTGACAAAGTTCATCTTCTATGATGGCTTTATCTCTTCAGATATAAAAGAAAAAAGTGGATTACTAGTTGTGCCTCAACTCCTTCTTGATTTTTAAATTCATATCCTACAAGTTGCAACAGAAGTTTCGTATAATGACAAAAAGTATAGTCTATCAATGGTGCTCTGGCGGTTGCTGACCCTGTTTTCATAAATCTTGAAGTCATAAGGTACCGACCAAAGAGGAAAACCTTTTGGATTCGTTTGGCTGCTTCCAGTCACATGCTGACATTTGTTTTGCATGAGTTAAGAACATCCAAGTTCAAGATCTATGGAGATAGGTGTTTCTTTTAAAAAACATAATTTGGATTTTAGAATACAGTTTTGAATCTTTTGACGCTGAAAACGATAATGATGAGGAAATGACGAAGGGTAGTGAATGCTGGACGGAATTTGATATGGTGGAGTGCCCTTTTAGGCTTCTGCTTCTTGCAACTATAAACTATTTTGTCTGCTGGTAAAGACTGTTCCACACAAATATGTCGGATGCCTGTAATTCCTCTTCTGATGGGATAGTGCTTATGAACATTACCCACAAGCTTTTACTTACCAGGGGTACAGATTTATTCTTAAAGGGATGAAAACCATGTTTGTTAGGCTGTTATGAACATGTTCATTTATAAGGTATTGTGAAGGAACAGTTTTGATCAGAAAAGAATTTTGTTTCCATCTTCTATTTTGTATGTTCAGTATATGAGTGTGATTGTGCACTCAGACTTGATTGTTGTTTTCTTACTTTCTCTGTGTTACTGCTGATTCTGAACTGTGTTTCCTTTTAAATATAGGCTATACAGACTGGATGGGTCCATCCAAACATCAATCTTGAAAAACCTGATGAAGGCGTGGTATGTTTATATTAACTGCCCCTAATCTCCTGATTTATTTGTGTTATATAGCAATATTCATTCCCAGGGCTTGCAATGCTTATTCTATCTGACTAGTTTAATCTGCATCAAGATAGGTCTTCAATTGTTAAAATTTCGATATGTTTCTTCAAAATTATCATATATGGTATATGCTAATGCTAAAAACATACCAAATTTAGGACACAAACGTGCTGGTGGGCCCAAAGAAGGAACGTCTGGACATAAAGGTTGCACTATCTAACTCATTTGGCTTTGGAGGACACAACTCATCCATTGTGTTTGCCCCTTACAAGGATGAGTAACTTCAACCATGTGTTTGTATGAATGAAAGAATGTTTTTAGCATGACTTGTACTGCTTACATACAAATTTGATAAAAGGAGCCATGGCAAGGTTTGGTATTTTCCCCCTACTTTTTCATTTTTAGATATAGATGTGATATTGGAAAAGAGAATGCGGGATTGTTTACATTTCATGCCCATGAAAGCGAAGGGTGGGATAATAGAAAAAAATAGTACAAAAGTATCTTGTAGGAATTATAACTTATGCAGAAGGCTAAACCTCTAAACATTGCAGTTTCCTCGATGAACATTCAATGAGCGAGTCATCATCATTTTGAATGATGTGCTTGATATCGCTGATACCCACTAAAAATGTGGTTTTCTTTGAATTCTCCTAATAGGTCTGAAAATTTATCAGAGCATGTTAAGTGCATTTAATTGGACATCAACATTCAGTCGATATTGATTAGTAATATTAAGTGGTCACTAGCACAACAAACGGAAATGCTAGTCATCAGCTTACTTTGGCTTGTTGAAGGCTCTTTCACTATTGAAAGCAAGGTAAGCTTGAGCTTGAGTGGAACATTTTTCCAAATTATATTGTGTCTGCCAATGGAAGTCCTTGGTTAATCAAGTGGTTTTCTTCTTGGTACTCTTTGCCAAACTCGTTGACGTAGTTGGGTGAACTGAAATCCTCTCCATCGAAACAGTGTCATGCCCCCTCTAGTTAATGAAAATGTTGCATCACAACATTTTCGTAACGTGCATCACTAGCTGGAGAGGACACATCTACTGTTTCGCAGAAAATGATTTTGATCCATGGTGGCTTTAGTATTTTTGAAGTTACAAAACATCAAAACAGTAATTAAGTAAAGTTTGAACAGTTTGCAAGTTCAAATTTTTAGCCGGCTCAAGATTGCAGAAGGCTGCTGGTATCCTATTGTTACTTGTGGGTAGACCCTAAGAGGTATACCTATAACAAGGAGACTTGCATACCCTGAAGACACCATTGCAATGAACCTAGTGATTTACCTTCCTGCAATGAAATGGATGGCAAAAATTTAGTTGCCTTGATGTGTGTGCTCGCGCGCGGCGCCTGCCCGCCTGTGCTTCTGAAGTTTTTGTCATGACAATCACCAAACATTCTAATGTGCATCCATATGCCTTCTTTTAAGTACTCATTGTGGTAGACTGATGGTAAATGCTAAAGCCATATATACCTGCTAATGCCAAGAAACAGCAGCAAGGAGTCTGTTATAATCAAACCATACTATGATGCCATTGAAGTATTGAACCTTTGATTGTTTTGTACATGATTATTAACTTGAATCATTTCCTATAAATGAACGCAACACTTGTGAAGTATAGAGCTTGAATTAATTCTCCAATAGTTGATCAATATAAAATTCATTCTGGTGATAATAAAACCACAACATGAACATGAAAGGATTCTTCTTGAGATAATGAAGATACGCTGGTGAGCCTGTTCTGCTGAGTAGTAGTTGTGTATGGGAGGAAAAATTATAGATAATAATAAACATTTTTTTGTTGCACTTGATATTTCCAACAAAGACCAACTATTTACATGCACACACATAGCATGTTGTCGTTTAACATCTTACGCTAAAGGATGTAAGTTACAGCATCCAAGCTCATCCAATAGACACGAGTTTTATGGGCAAGGGCAATTCAGGCTCAGTCGTGCCCCCAAATCCATACTTTTATTCATTCTGGAATCGGTGAGTAGGTAAGTCTATTGTCCTTTGAAATCAAGTTTTTCCCATACGCTGCTATTACAAGTTTTTTACCAAAGACCAACGGGCCAACAACCTAGCCGTATTAGACTCTTACTTTCCAAAGGGTGGTCAAGGATTTAAACCTCCACGAGGCATGTGTGTGCGAATACCAATTATGAAAAAAATAAAGAATCAGTACTGTCAGCTTAACCGGTAGGGGAAAGGGCAAAAAAAAAAAAAAAACGAAACAAGATTCCTCCCAGTCAACCAGTACCACATACTTCTACCGAACTTTCCAAAGCCATCATATCTCCTCATTTCAAAGCAGAACACTGCTATCATTGTTACCTTGTATAGATCTAGATTAAAGTTAATAACAGCGGTCCTTTTACAAACAAATAGCTAAACTGTCATTATCGTCCCCTCTGCAAATATAAATTCGAACAAAACTCAATCAAGTCCAATTATACTTTTATGCAAGCAACCAGCTTACATTAATCATGACCAGGAAAAAAAAAAAAAAAAGATATAACCAGGAAAAAAAAAAATATATATATATATATATATATACTTCCATTCTGCTCATGGTATACCCATGGATTGGCCAGTTCCTAACATTGTAACTTAATGTCTCGACTTATTTCTTGGCAGGTTTCACACATCCAACTGCATCCCAGTAGTACAAGGTAACCCTCATCCAGACGCCAACCAATATCAATTCTTTGAACCTTAGCATGACTTTATTTTAAATGAGCCATAAAAGCAGCCTCCTTATTAATCTCCATACCATCACTTAGCAACAACATTAGTTTGCAACCTCTTTAAGAAACTGCTGAAGGGCTTAGAACCAGTGCAGCTAAACCATCAACATGAGGAATTTGAACCAATCGTTTTAATCTTGACTATGCATTACCAACAGAGCTACTTTTGTTCACACCTTGCAGCTCCATAGGAGAATTTGTAATACTACCAACTGAACCAAGGGTCTGTGAACTCAACTGAGGGCTTGCTGGACAAGCTTCTGGATTACCAGCACTCATGGCATGGATAGCTCCCGAGCTCAGTTGCGGGCTCATTGGAGTTCGCTGGCTCATTTGTTGTGGGCTAGCCTGCTGCTGCAGGGCCTGTTGGTTCAGTTGCTGTGGAATTCCCATGGTTGATGGTGAGCCCACTTGCGGAGGCGAAACAACAGCCTGTAGTGGTGAGCTAGTTTCTTGCTGCTGCTGCTGTTGTTGTTGTTGCTGCAGCTGTAGTTGCTGTTGCTGTTGCTGTTGCTGCTGCTGCTGAAACTGTTGCAACTGTTGTTGTTGTTGTAACTGCAACTGTTGTTGTTGTTGCTGCTGTTGCTGCTGATGTTGGTTCATGTAAAGATTCATTCCCGGCATCAATTTTGGTGGACCCATTGGTGCCATTGTTGCTCGCTGCATTGGGTTCATGTTAGCTCGACTTAAAGTATGACCTAGCATTGAAAGACCAGTAGAGCCAGGGTGCATCTGTCTAGCTCCAGACATCCCACTTATACTTGATTGAGGCCCCCCCAACATGTTTGTTCTGTTCTGTGTCATCCTAAGCTTTGTTGCAATGATAGCAGTTTGTGCCGGCGTTAGTGTTCCAGAACGCAATTGCTGGGTTAATGCATTGCTTATATTTGAAGCCTGGATTTGATTCATTGGGTTCTGACCCACATTGCCAATGCCTGAAATAGACCCCATTGGTGCCGAAATTCCAGTTCCTCCTTTCCCCCTTGCAGCCCCCATGCCCATGACATTGCCAAGGCCTCCAAGCCCAACCATGTTATTACCGAGGCTTCCAAGTCCCACCATCATTTTCCTCTGCATTTGTTGTGGTTGTTGTTGTTGTTGTTGTTGTTGTTGTTGTTGTTGCTGCTGCTGTTGCTGCTGTAACAGCTGAAGTTGAAGAGGCGAAGGTTTATTAACCATATGATTACCCGACTGCATGCTTGAGTTCTGACCCATTGTGTTCAATTGTGAAAGTGGATTTGATGCAAGCATAAGAGGTGATCTTTGGAACTGGGGATGCTGCTGATGCTGCTGTTGCATCAAGGAGTTCTGATTTTGGGACTGCTGCTGCTGCTGCTGCTGCTGCTGCTGTTGTTGCAGTGATGGTTGTGGGTCAGGCTGTTGAGGCCTAGCAGGCATTGAAACCCCAGGCAAGAGTCCTTGAGAGATCTGTAAGGCCTGAGCATTTCCAGGTGGTAGCATCCTTGTGCCTGATGGATTTTGAGACGGGTTTATAGATGCGTTACCACTGTTACTTGGCTTTGCAATTTCATTGGATGGCTGACCAGAAACTGCCTCTGAATATTGCTGCATCTCGACTGCTGCATTGTTTTGAGGGATTCCAGGAGCATTAGATTGACTGCTTGAGGCACGATTCATGCGGATTGGTTTAGGTTGGACATGATCTTCTGCATGATGTCCTTCGACTATCATCTGTTTAAGCAGATCATTTTACCTTATCATATCATATAGAAGGGAATCAAAACTTCAAATCATGATTTCTAACTTCAAAGGGAACGGGTTTAAAAAAATAAAAATAAAATCTTCAAAGGGAACATACCCGTGAAAGGAACTGTGCTGCCAGTAAGTCCGCAGAGTGCTGTTTTACAGGGATAGCCAGCTATGTAAGTCAAAGCAATAGAAGATGCATACTTGCAAAAACTATCCTTATGAAGTAAAAAGGCTTTCTTGGTTCAGTTTTCTAAGAATAATTTGTTGTTCTCAAAAAACAAAAAAACAAAGAACTAAAAATTTGTTCAATCAACAGTTTCATGAAAACAATTATCTAAGAATTGAGTTAAAGGAAGGCCTAATTTCATAAAGTTATTTTCTGTTTTCAGAATATTGAACCAAACAGGCACGAACATTCTAAATGGAGTACAAGAACTTGAGGCTTCTGAAGAACTTGAGGCTCATCCTAACACGTCATGTCACCCTGTCTATCTATGAAACTGGCTACCGTAGATCACTAGTTGCAAGTGCACAATAGGATATTGAAAACAGAAAAGCAAATCTTTTCTAGAACATAGATGAAATTTTCCCCATGTCATGGGCTTTCTGAAAGATCGTAATCCAATAAAGACCACTGCGATTTCTTCTCCCATACTTTATGGGGTAGAATGTTTGCACCACCAATACAATGACATGAGCACTAGACAATTGTAGTGGAGGTAAAGACATTGAGGGCTGGGAAGTTTAGGATAGATTACAAAAACAGAAACATGCATGAAATCCAAGAAGTACATATCCTCAGAAGGTATTTAAGGAAGCACCAACCGGAGGACCTTCAAAGAAGACTAACCGCACATTCATTATTTACCCTTTATAATATGTAAACTCAACTCGACAAAGCATTGCCTCAACTAGGGGCCAGCTCGTGAATCCTGTTTAGTCACTTTACTATTTCTAAGCCATAACTTCAATTAGGCTAAACGCTGCTATATCTTTCCTTGCTATCCTATCTAGCTCAATTTTAACCTTCACCTTCACCTTCACCTTCACCTTCCCCTCAATGTGAATAATGTCACTCTTTCTTAATAGTGCAGTTACTGGTCTTTGCCACACATAGTAAAGTCATCTTATCAATTCCAGGCAACTTTTCTCTAATGGGTGTCACTTCTACCCTCCAACATGTTTATTCATTTCTAATTTTATACTATATCATCTTACAGCATATACGTATCAACATACAACCATGGTCATTTCATAAAGATGTTATTTCGAACATCATGATTGTTTTAATAGTTGTTTTACAAAATTTTCTGTTCAATTCCAGAGGCATGGTCAACCACACAATATGCCAAAAGCTATTCCACCTAACCATCCAACTTTATTTTTTTGATCTCCAATATCTCTCCCCTTGTGATATATTAAAGCCTATGTAAACTTTCCCTCCCAAGCAAAGTTAGTTTATTCCTAGTAAGTAAATATAAGCATAGAAGAGAAAAAATAAATAAATAAATAACAGACCATTCTGGACTCTTTTTTTTTGTTGATAAATAATAATCGATTAAGAAGCGTTCAAAAGGGGAACGGGGACCTAAGGACCCAAAGAATCCAGAAAATTAACTAAGTCATCGGAAGAGGAGCAAGAACTCCTCTTCACGTAACTAAAGATAGATCATTCTGGACTATTATTGTAGTGCAATACCAGTTATGATTTCTGAACTATCCAAAGTTAAAAAATAGTAAAACTACGAAAAGAAGAAAAAAAATGTGTTTTATATTCTCTCTTTCTTTCTTTCTTTTTTGCATATAAATGTGAATTTCCAAAAATAAAGCTTAAAAGATTCCAATTGAGATTATCTATTAACTTTGTGGGGCTTTCTTGTTAATAATATTTTTTTGGTAAGTAAATCTTATTAATATATTTTAATTTCAACTATTCCTAGAGCTCAATTAAATACTCCCTCTGTCCCACAAATTTTGGGCTTCTTTGGAATTCCAACGTTTTACAGCGACAAGCATTTAATGCATTGTCCCCTTCCAAAACTACAAGACTACCCATTTAAAATAGTGTTAGTTGGGATAAGTTTTTAAAAAATAGGGGATATTTTGGGAAGTAAATTACTTTTTTACACGAGGGACAAGAATTTTGGGACATGAAAAAAAAAGAAAAAAGAAAGATGATCGAGAATTTTGGGACGGAGGGAGTAGGGCTTTTCAAAATTTTGTGGGGGCTTAATATTTTCATGGTAATTAAATCTTCATAGATATGTCTATTTCACCAAGCCTCTCTTAGAAATCGATATGTAATAAAATATATATAAATGTAATAAAAGAATCAAATGTCATTTGATTCAAAAACGAAAAATTCAAATTTTACAATCTAATAATATACTCCCCTGCCAAATTTAAGTTTGAAACTCATGTAATTAACATCTTTCTAAAAAATGGGATAGACGTGAGAAATCTCATTCAATTAGATGTGGTAGATTAAAATGGGACACTATACAAGAATTGACTGCTGAGTCGTATGGGGTAGGAAACACTCAAGTACAGTTCTAAGGGAATGAATTGACCTGCCTATTCCGACCGGGGAAAACAAGCCATTCGACGGGGAGATTTTGTGGAGGCTTGGTTCGATCGAGCCGCTGAGTATCAAAATCAAGCTATAACACTTGCCCCCGATAATTTATATTGAAGCACATAATTGGTTGGAGATCATGAGGCGTTTCAAATAAAAGAACACTCTGCTTATCTATTATCTATATTTAGAATTTTTATATTTGTTATGTTATAATTTATTGTTTGTTGGTCCCACTCGTCAAATTAAATGGATCATTCTTCTGGAAGAACAATCAAAGAATTTCATTATATCCCTTCTAAGATCATTAGTTGAAGTGCACTTAACACTCCTTTACTATCCTTACAGTGTAAATCAACCCTCTCTTGTGCACTAAAACCCCCACACCCCCACCCCCCCCCCCCCCCCCCCCCAAAAAAAAAAAAATTGAAAACACATTAAAGTAAGACATTGACCAAATTACCCTTCTTGCATAAACATTTCTCACATTATTTTTAAAAATATCGTTTCGTGAAATGACCAAAAAATACACCCCTCTAATATGATTATATGACATGGTTTGGGTCTATGTACTTATCCTAACCCACACTTAAAAAATTCTTTTGACAGCTAATACTTTTTATTGATAAATATGGCATCTTTTTCTAAGTTGGAGTTTTTATTGATGTGATTGGAAGTTGGGCTTGATCTTTGCATAAGTCGTCCAATTCTTTTGGCTTAGAAGTATTATTTTGCATAATATTTTTAGTGATTGTCTACGCCTTGAACTTGAGATTTTATTAATTTTCTAATTATATCCTAAATGTTCAAATAATAGAATTGGAAATTTAAGATTTTAGTCAGCTTTGTTAATAACATCCCAGTGTTCCCACTAACAACAATTCTTTTGCCTTTAATGAAAGTCATAATGAATTTACATAATTGAAAGCGAAGAGGTTAGTTTCTCCTATTATTTGTGCATGTATATTACAATCAATCATTAAAAAAACTAATTGTAATAGTATGATATATCAAATATCTATGTTACTTGTATTTTCCTCTTTCTTTTTGGCCTACCCACAATAATTATTTTATCCAATTGCTAAGCATAATTAACATCGTCACTTTGTCCAAGTCAGCACAAAAGTGGGTTATAGTTAAGTACATGATTGAATGATGTCTCCATGTGAGATTATTGTAGGGAGTGAGAGCTGAAAGAGAGAGAGAGCTCCTCAAAATACACTGCTGTAGAGGAAATATGTAGGGAGAGTTGATAACCTCAAAAGTGGGTTAAATAAAGGTTGAAGTGCACTTAACACCCCTACATAAAGCAAATATATATAACAAACAAGCCAAAGGCATTTTCGGAAAGGTAAAAGAGCAAAACAGGCATATTACAATTACTTTGTCACTTTTCGCAGAAAAGTGATTTGAGTGGTGTTTTCGATATTTTTTTCAGAAATAAGGGGTGACATAGCACATTTTAAAAAGTAAGGGGTGAAAGTGTTATGCAGAGTATACTACAGGGTGTCGGGGGGGGGGGGGGGGTGGTGGTTAAAGCACTTAACCCAAGATTAGTCTATATCGGTTGGTATTTCGTAGAGATGGTATAAGGATACATGGATAGAGCACAAAAATTGAATTTTTTTTGTAATGGAAACTACTAAAAGAGACCTTCGAATGACAAAATATAGATACCAGGATGTCTCTTAGTAATGACTATTGCTTGCTCAGCTCTAGCAGATGGGACAAAATTACTTTCCAAAGAGAATCTTCTTCCATCTAGAGGAGATCCCCGTTTTTTCAGTATCAGACCATCCACAGCAGTTATCTCTCGATAATTGACTCTTAAGTTAGAAAGAAGGGGGGGAAAAAATCAGTTTTTTAATACAATATCCTATTGATATTCAATATATCCGCAATAGAATATGTACATTGATACAAATTAAACCGCTAAGTATAGGAAGAGAAGAACCTCAAAACAAGACTAGTAAGAGAAAACTATTTTCAATCTATTTTTGATTGGGGGATTGGTGAAGAAGGAATTGGGTTGCTGACTCAAAAGTGTATGGACCATTCAATCAATTTTAGATGAGAATCCTCGTTAGTGTGCAAATGCGTGAATTAGTTGTTTATGCAGTACCATGAATCATAAGAACATCCAAATGTAATAACACTCACAGTATTGGGCAATGTAGGAAGATAATCCTCTGCAGTCAAAAAATCACCATCTTCTATGTCTCCATAATGCATTGCTACAGTACCATCTGGCTTCTCTGACATGATCATTCTAGTTCGTGCCCTGGGAACAATAGGAAAACCATTTCCTGACAGTAAAAATGGAACTGTTAGCAAAGGAAAGAATGAAAAATTAATTAGATCTTACTGAGTGCCAGAAATCTAACTATTTGAATCTGGTAAACCTTGAAGTATGCGCTCTGACTGCACGAAATTCAAGACTCTTATCTTGCAAATATTCATGCTGCCACCTACAATTGACTTTGATAATGGCATTGCACATGTTTCATCTCTGAAATTCTCGTTATTGGAATCACTGGAGAGTTGAAGCAACAGCTGCTGCACAGGATATGTATTGGCTTTCCTGATGTGGCACTCATCCACCTTATTCTTTTTGCCAATAAGTTGATACCTAAAAGCAGAATGGTTATTCTGTTGCCATTCATGTAACTTTTTAATAGGAACATCCAAGGAGATTAAGAGGATGCGAAAAACGGCTATTAATTATGTGAATCAAATAATAAGTGACATTATTTTATTATATCTTTTATTGACTGCTCCAAGCAAGAATATTGCCTGATTAAAGATCCCACGATCTGACTTTATAAAGTTCGGAACAAAGGAACACGGAGATTTATATATAACCCATTAGTCAGACATGAACCTGGGTAGAGGTTCATTTTGACCAAGACAATAGTTACATTTACATACTTGTCTTAAGAGTCAAACACCAAGACGCTAAAAGAATAATATTTATTTACAATATTAACTGCATTAAATGATGTTAATTTACAATATTTACAACATGAGCAAAAAAAGAAATTTGTGAATTGCTGTAATATCACTGCAGTTTGATTGACATTATACCTCATAGCCACTTTTTCAATGTTTGAGAACCTTTCAAGCATGACTGGATCAGCCAAAGGTTGAGTTCCAACTGGAGGACTGCTTGTGTTAAATGGAACACTCATATTACCAACACTAACAGGTGACCCAACTCCACTCATTGCTGGGGTCTTGGGGAGGGAATTTGATCTCCATTTGTGTTGCCGCTGCATGGAATCATTAGATGTCAAAGATGTCATGCCGCCAACTGCAGGAACTGAGGTGACTACTGACTTCTCCTTTTGTGATGATCCAAGTACAGATGATGTTGCAACTGGTCCGAATTGGGGTCCTATTGAACCACTAGAAAATTCTCCAGATTTGGATGACAAGGGAGATTGAGGTAAACCACCAGCAGAAACCCTGGGACTTTGCACTAATTTCCTTTTCTGAAACTGGTCCTCCTTCCTAGAACTATTCTCAATAGGCTGACCAAGATTATTCCAGGGAGACTGAGATCTCATAAATGCATGCTGAGGTAACCTTTGCTGCATCTGTGACTGCTGAGGATCCATATGGTTCGTACCTGTTTCAGCCATGTGCATTTCATTTTTATTTCGATTGAGCTCTGGCTTGTCCAATCTGTCTAACTCGACTGGCTCTTCCTTTGCACTAAATCTCATCCCTTGCTGTCCCACAGTGAACGACATCGCGCCAACCTCCCGATTTAAACCCCCTTCAAACATCTGCTGGGGATACTTCTGCATGCCAGTAGTTGCATACTGAAGTCCTCTAGCAAATGATTGCTGCTGCTGTAACAGTGTATTCTTCCAGTGTGAATCCGATGCAAGGAAGCTGTCCACACGTGGCCCTATATGCTGCTGTTGACTACCATCGGGACCTACAGGAGTGGGCCTAGCTCTCTTATTCAAACTGGATAAAGGCGACAACTGCCCATCTTGAGTTTCCCTCTTATCATGAACAGAAAAGGCATTAGAGTTTAGATTGTCAGTGTAGGATGAGATCATCATGTCCTGACCAGCAGTAGCCCCAGGTGCATTCAAAACAGGTCCTGACCCTTGATCCTGCATAATTCTTGGGTTCCCGACCCCAGTTTGATATTTTGATTGGTGAGACGCTAAAGGCAATGCTGGAACAGACGCATCTGGAACAAAGCTTTTAGGTCTTGAGGTCAGCATATTGCTTGGACCAACATTTTGAGTAGAGAAATTCTCATGGACAGGCTGCGGCAAAAAATTGCCAGATACAGGTCCTGATTCTCCCAACCTGCAGTTTGAGCTTTCCGGCACTCTATCTATGCAAACTTTCTTCCCATGGATTTTATTATTTGATGTAACAGTAATTTCTGGCATCTGCCTCAGTCTTTTCCTCCGCAAACTGCACATAGCCAAATTTAGCTGCAAATAAAGTTCAACAACGTTCAGTTATGAGAAACCCATTTCTCCAGTCAAAGAAAAAATAATCAAGTTCAGAATTTGTTACCTTAGCAGGAACTGGGTTATCGGAGAGTCTATCTAACTTAGGAGCAGGGTCTAGACATAGTTTAGGTTGCAGAGCTTTTAATATCCGGGACTCCACTTCCTACAGCCAAGAGAAAATATCAATAAAATGGTGCTATATCCTTTTAACCAGGGAAAAAGAGTGGATCAATCTTACCATCAGATCACCATATGTCCAAGTATTATCTGAAATCAATGGGATATCCTTCACTACATTCTCTAACGACATCCTAAGACGAAGTTTATTTACTGTAGGAGAACCATCCACAGAAGGAATATTAAGCCCTGATTCAGAAGCACACTTCCGATAATCTCGCACCTACAATAATTCCAATATTACAGATTAAAACTTCTTAAACCAATCCATTTAAGATGATTACATCCTCTATGCACTCTTAATGAAAAAAGTATTTTTGAATGGTTAGTCTTAAAAGATATGTACAATCAAATATAACCAGACAGAAGAGGTAATCACAACAACCTAGGCAGGTTAGCTTTTGCTCAGGCCAGATCTTTAATGTATGACTGTAAGCTGTAAGCCCCATCATCTTGTTTTTTTGATCACATGTAATGCAGAAAACTAGTGACGGACCTAGAAAATTATGTGAGTGGGGGCAAACTTATATAGTGGGGTTTTACTGACATTTCAGTGGGGACGATTTCAAAATTTTATAGGTATATAATACAATAAATTTTTAATTCAGGGGTATATAATATATATATATAATAAATAAATAAAAATCCGGGGGGGGGGGGGGGGGGGGGGGGCCGGCGGATGCCCCCTCCACAGTAGATCCGTGCCTGATACAACTTTTCCTCGTGTATGCACACGCCTTCATTCATGTCCTTCCTTTAAATCTTACATACACTAAGAGATGGTTGAGAACAGAGTGGTGCTGGTGGCAATAGTACAAACTTGGCCCGCTACACCACGCAACTTTGAAGTAGCAGTGGTGATGTGACAGTCTAAGCAGTGAAGGTGATTCGTCGTGGTATGGTTAGGATAATAGAGCATTGTTGACAGATAAAGCATGGGTTGCCGGTGGTGCAATGACAACAACTCAGTGATAGTAAGGAGGGGGTGTGAGCAAAAATACAGATTAGGATCTATTAAAATTATAATTGAAAATGTCAAAACCTTTTAGTGTATTAAATGCTAACCACTATTCTGTCAATTAATTGCTTATTAAGAATAAAAAGCAATCCTATACCATGGAGGTATTGTTCAAAAGAAAGTTTCAACCAGCTTTATAACTTCGCAACTTTATAAATCTATATAGTTAGCGGGGATTGGTTATTATACTTACATATATAGCACGAAACTCCAGCAGCAGGGCTGCATTTTCTTGCGTTATATGCACATCGCATATGCAATTTTGAGTTTCATAAACAGGTATTATCAAGTCACTAATGTTCATGCCATACATATTATAAAATTATCTAAAAGCTTTAAACCTGAGTTTAGATAACTTACCTCACACACAAGTGTTCCATCAACATATTTGCAGGGTATGTCATCCAGAATATTTCCAGGCAACCAGCCAGACTCAATTGCCTCCAAATGCATGAATACACAGATTAAAAAAAAGTAAGACACAGAGAAGTAAAAAAGACACAATAAACACTAGCATGTGTGTGTGTGTGTGTGTGTGAGCATTATTATCATGCATATTTCAACGAGGAAGTAGAAATAGGAAGTAAAACAGGGACCTCTATTTTAATAGAATTATCTCCTGATTACAAAAGAAGAAGTCAACGGACATTCACATTAGAAGGGGAAAAAAAATAATTAACGCTTGGCAAAGTCAGTTTAATCCCTTTTTCTCCATTCACATTGCGTAATCAAAACATTCTACATGTAAACAGGCCAACACAAGCAGTAAATAGATATTTAAAACTACATTAAATTTCAACTTTCTCGTGGAAATATATAGCCCCAATGGTAAAACTATTATGCAACCACTCAATTGATGGATTAAGAAATTAGGATGAGAAAAATATATCTACCACAGGACTAGTAAATAAAGAATTGCATGCTGCAATGGTAAAATTTCAGGTAAAATTTCAGGCTGCCAAACCTTAAAATCAAGTTCAAGACAAAAGGGAACCATTTTTTAATTAATATCAACAATTTTGAGGTCTTCACCTCCCTCCCAACACCCCCAATTATTGGGGACCAACAATGGGCAATGACCTTAACATATAGGCTCACGTAATCAGAAGGTTCAAGAATGGAACATAAGGAACCAATCACCGAGAATAAATTTTATACATTAACTAGATACTCACGGAGAAGAGAGTTTCAGATGTCCTATCATATGGATGTAAAAACTTTGGAACGTCTTGAAGGGTAGCCAGATGCCCGATTTCATTCTGAAAATTGAAAAAATTCAAAACAAAATTAGAAGCCACAATAGTAATGGCTGGGGAAGAAAAAAGACAAATTCTCATTCTAGTGACTTTATTGTTTATGCCGATGCAGTAAATATATTTTATAACAAACCTCTGAGGATTTTCCAATGGAATATCCATCTGGGAAGAGATTTAAAGTGAATGAAACTTCATTCTCTGACAAAAACAGGAAGAACCAACATACTCAGAATGCCAAAGAAACAGGGATAACAACTAAAAACAAATTCTCGCATCCTAGTAGATATAAGAACTCCTTTAGAAGAAATAGACAAACCGGAGATTCCAGCAACATCCTTGTTGCATTCAGTGACGTTAGCCTATATCACAAAATAATTGAAATTGTTAGAGGAAAAAAGGAAAAAAGATAAGAGCAACCATATCAACTAGCCAAATCTACATGTTTCCAATAAGATCTCCAAACTAATTATATTCTGCCCAAACTCCAATGTTCTGCAAAATTCAAGGGTTGCAATCAAGTAATACATTCACTAGTCACCCTATAAGGATATGCAACATTGTTTCTTCAGCGGGGAAAAAATATCTTAACCCTCTTTGCTTAGAAAATTAAATAACTTATGCACCTTCTTTTCTCTATTGATTCATTTCCATATGTTCAGTGAGGTCCAAAATAACAGTGACAGGAAATAAAAATAAAAATAAAAAAAGAGAAAAAAACTAACTAAATAAAAATAAAAAAAGAGAAAAAAACAAACTGCCCTGAAAAGAGTTAATTCATTGATTTTTCTGATTTCCTCAACAACCAACTAGAGCTTAACCTAAAGATCTAATTTCTTTCCCCTGATAAGTTACCAAAAAATCTGACTATGGACTGCATAATACACACACAGTATCTTCAAAGTTTCCTGAAGTAACAAATGAGTTTCTCCAGATTAACACAATTTTTTGAAAAGCTAAAAGCAAAGTGAATAGCTTTCAAGCTTGTGCAATTCAAACTATCAACACCAGAAATAAATAAATAAATAAAATTCAATCAATAAAAAGCCTATATTTTAGAAACAAAAATCAATGAAATTGACAAATTTCGCAGGAAAATTATTCAATGACGAATAGAAATTACCTCGAGCTTCCGGGTAGATGCTGAAGTAGAATTAGTCTTGCCGAGAATTCGACTACTAGTTTTGGAACTCTGGACGACGTCGTCTTCTACAGCAGCCTCGGACTGGAATGGTTTGGGGCGAAACCTTTTACCGGTCTTTGAGACCTTAAACGAAATCCCCATCTCTCGTGTCTGAAATTCACGATTCTGTTGGTTCGGGGCTTTTGAAGATTGACATGAATCGAATGCACGAAAATGCCTATAATGAGTGTTTTTGTAGAGAAAAACCCTAGTATGTGGTCGAGCGGTGTAGATAGATAGACAGGCAGTGTGTTTGATCTACGAGATTAATATAATCTCAGATACAACTACATAAATGTAGAGAGCGAGAAGCTACTTGGGACAACAGCTTGGATTCGGACCAACGGTGAGTAACGAGGAGTTGTGTGTCCGATTTGGCTATGGACGCTAAGAAGCCTCCGTTTTTCCTAATTCGATCGGCTCCGGATGGATACAAATTTTACCTTGCCACCCATCTGTTTGGATGGAATCCGTTTAATAACCCATCAAATTGAATTCGCGAATTAAATTGTATGAATTAAATTTTATCTAAATTATTTATTTTTATTTTTATAATTAATATTATATATCATTTATTTATTTTTTAACTATAACTCAATAGATAAAATTTTAATTTATTAATATTAATTTATATATTTCAATTATTATTAACTAATACATTTTTAGAGTCCATGAAATTATCATTAACTAATATATTTTTTGAAAAAATATATATAAATTTCACAGATCGGATCGGATCAGTCTTATGAATTGGATCGAATTTTTAACGGTCCAATTCGTAGTCCGATTCGTGAGTTACGGATTCAATTTTTTTGAATCTGTTACCAATTCGTGGGTGTATCAATTCGATTCAATCCGAACGGATTGCACCGATTCGAATCGAATTCGCAGATTCAAGAATAATTTGCTCACCCTAGTTTTGAATGTGTGGGGGACTGCTAGAACTTTTCACTAATTTTGGAAACACCGATAAAATATAAAAAATATTCATTGCAGCATCTCCAGTTGTATGTTAAAATATCATTTTGTGTAAAATATACACTGTCACCTATAATGTGTAAATTTTTTCCATCTCCAACAGTATGTTTATATATTTTTATTTTATTTTGGTAAACATTAAATATTCCTAAAATTAAACTTATGTACCAGAAGGAGGGGCTGTGGTGAGTCTATGAAATGTGTTGACCGGCTCGTATATAACAATATAATAATATTTCATTAACTCCTTTTATGTTAATTTCAATCATTCTTTTCCTTTGTATGCAATTTAAAGTGAGAATGGATATTCTATTAGAATGAAAATTCATTCCACAACTAAACATATAGAATGACCATTCTATTCCCAATAATCTTTTTTTTTTTTTTTTTTTAAATCAAATTCTTAAAAAATTCACATGTTTCAAGTTCAAAAACTACAAATACTGCCTTCCACCACCACTACTGTCTTCACCGCCGCCACCACCGCCACCACCGCCTTCCAACGCCACCACTGTCTTCCACCACCACTATTACTTTCCACCACCACCATCTTCTACCACCCAGCACTGCCATTGTTACCATTGTTGTCACCTTCAACCACCACCTCCATTGCCTTGCACCACCGTTATCACTCACCACTATCACCACCACCACCACCACCACCTTTTACCTACACCAATATTGCCTTCCACCACTTCCACTTTTGTCACCTTCCACCACCCCCACATCGCCACCACCATCTCCACCATATATCGCCACCTCTATCGCCACTGTCTTCCACATCCAATGCCTTCCGCCACTACCACCACCATCATCACCTCTATTGCCTTCTATCACCACCACTTACACCAATGCCGCCTTCCACCACTACCATTGCCACTGACACTGCCTTCCACCATCATCACCCACACCATGGACGTCTTCCACCACCGCGACTGCCTTCCACCAACACCACTATTGCCTTTTGCAACCACCATCATCACCACCATCTACCACCACGGTAATTTCTTTTAAAAATTTATAAAAGAATATTATTCTGTTAATATAGTTTATTTGTTAATAATAGGATATTTTGAAAAATTCAATTTAAAATTTATTTCATTCTAAATTTTAAATTTGTCCAACTAAAAAATAAAATGATTATTATTACTCTATTCCTACGTATTTTATATTTTTATATTTGTAACCAAATAATAGAATATGAATGGACATTTCATTTCATTCCCATTCTTAAAAGCTTATGCCATTTTATTTTACCTGGTCTGATCGAAAGAATCAAGGCAGGATGCTATCTATCCATTTTTTTTTTTTTTTTGGTCTGCTAGGTATATTCATTTTTTTTTTGGGAACACCGATTTGACTATATTCAATTTTGTTTTGTTAGCCATTTGGCACCTTTTCTATATGAGATTATTGGAACTTATGTATTGCCATTTCAATGGACTTATTTATCACTAACCGATTAATGATCTGGCATTATGTTTTTAGTGCCCGTTAATGACATATAACTTTTAGAATTAAAATATTTTCAAATTTTCAGGCTCTACCATTTCGTTCCCAACCAATTATCATCATTCCTCTTTCTATCCAAACTCATCTTAAACCAATCTTCACCTTCTCCAACTCATCCTCAGATCAACCGTCACCTTTTTTAACAAATTTCAAAATACCTTTAAATGGTGGTCGGAAAATCCAGTCTAAAGATAACGCCATCAATGTTTTTTCGAAACAATGACTTGCCAAAGCATATTTTCATAATAAGTACTTCATCCTTATTTTCTCTCTTAAATTCATTTGAAACCTACTACCATAAATTTACCTTCCTTAAAAACTCCATATATAAAACCCATCTTCAAAATGTTATATTATATTTTATTTATCTATTTATTTATTTGGAGATGAAAAACATATAAAATTGTAGTTGAAGAGAATAGAGAGAAAATTTTGGTTGACCGAAACTTTTTTATTGACGGGAAAAAACCTAAAGATATATAAAACTCATTTTCAAAATGTTCCATTTTTCTTTATTTATTTATTTTTTTTCTTGGAGATGAAAAACATATAAAATTGTAGTAGAAGAGAATAGTGAGAAAAAAGTTTGGTTGACTGAAACTTTTTTACTGACAGGAATTTTTTTTTTAATGGAGAATGACAAATATACAAGGAGAAAAGGTAAAAACTGAAAAATTCTGTGTTTAATACACTACAAGAGATTTGAGAGTGCAAATAGGTTGCCATGTAACACTAAATTTTTTATAGGTGTTGGTGTTATATAGTCATCAAATATATCATTTTCTTAGAACTTTCTATTAATTTTGATAATATTAAGAAAATACCAATTTTTTTATATTTTTATTTTGGTAACATTAAAATTCCTAAAATTAAACTTCGGGTGTAGGAGTGACTATTATTCTATGAAATGTGATGCTTATTCGTGACAATGTCAATATAATAACTGTCAATGAACTTCTTTATATGTAAAAATCTAGGTGGAAGGGGAAACATAGCTTTGTGGCTTTAAACATTGACATTGAAAAATCTAAAGAGTTTTGGGTTACTTTCAACTCAAATGATAAATCTGGTGCCTTCTTTGATCATAATTTCTTCATTCAAATCTAGATACAGTTTTAGAAGAATTATCGGTATTCATGATCAAAATAGTTGGAGTCATGGGTATTTAGGTCAAGGCCATCTTAGCTAGATATAGAATGGAGTTATCAAGCCGACTTGCCATTTAAGCAATGCGACTAAATAAAGTCTAATCCGAAGAAAATAAAAAAGAGTACTGCTATTTCTACCCTACTTAAAAAAAATAATATATGTTTTAAAATCTAAATATATCAATACAGCTGTTAACAAAAATCGGAAGATCTTTTTTTCCTCTCTATTCAAATAAATAGATAATGTCCATTATTTCTCCAATTAGACATGACCGAGACTGTGAATATCTATCGCCGGCGCAATCGAGCACCAATTTGACGGCCCAGTTTGCAAAATTTGTTCAATTACGATCAAATTGAATCTTTAAAGATTTTTTAAAGATTTGGGTTTGTGGGATTTCTGTTAATTATTCTCTCTCATCTTGTTTTACCCTTCTTTCTCAATGTGTGTATATATGAGGGATGAGAGAAAAAAAATTAACAGAAATTCTACAAACTCAAATCTTAATTGCTTTAAAGTTGGAAGTGGAAGAAAATTGAAAATCTTCCATCGAAAATCTTCTCTCTTTTATTTTCTGTGTGTTTTTTCTTGGGTGTAAATCTTATATGATATTAAGACAACATATTAGGATAAAAAATCTCATTCACTGTAACAAGTCTTTTAGTGGATAAAATATTTTATAAAGAACAAAATTTCAAAGAAAAATATAAAGAGGATTAACAGACACAGAGAAAAAAGATGAAGATGATAAAAAAGGAAATGAATTAATTATACGGAGAGAAAAAGGTGAAGAAGACATGAAAGAAAATTGCTGCAATTGTATTTTTGTCCAAAGAAACTTATTATATTTAATATGGTGTGGGGGCACTTGAGAGAACCATTTATTTATTGTCACGTTGAAATTGGTATTTTTCAATTTTTTATTTTTTGTCGCCTAAAATATCATTTTTCAATAAAAAATATATATATTTCTGATTTAGACTCATCAATTGGATGTGTTGTTTGACTACTAAACTCGGCAACCGAGAGAGAAGAATTGGGCATAAACCAGACCTTGTGTAGGATAGTAGTATACTCATATACAAACGTGAAATAAAGCCAAACCAATCCGTTCGAGTTGGGGAGAGAGAGGAATTGGGTATAAACCAGTCTTTGTGTAGGATAGTAGTATACTAGTAACCAAACGTGCTCGTAAACTATCCCGTTATTGATAAAACCATAAAACGCAACCGAGTATCACTCCCAAAGTCTTATCTGAAACAATGGCGGTGGTCATACGTTCCTCCTGCATTCTTCCCCGACCAAACGCTGCCAGACTTGTCCGGCGAACATGGACGCCCGTCAAATTTCGTGTGTCCGGTTAGGGACTCTCTTCTCTCTCTCTCTATATATATATACACACGTGATGAGAAATCTCTTTTAATCTCTGATTTTAGCACACAATTTCTTTGAGGTCAATTGAAGTAGTTCCATTTCAAAAGATCTTTGTTTCTGCTTTTATTTTCTGTTGGATTTCAGTTCTTGTAAGCTAAGGATGTTGTAAATTGGCTGAAGCTATCTGCGTTTTTCTGAACCTTTTGAGAACAGTGTCGTTACTTCATGTTTGTTTGCCAAGAAAGCCTAGGAAAATTATAGATAAGGAAATTAGGAGTTTTACAATTTAGTTTTCAGTCAAATGAATAATTAACTCAATGTGCAGCTGATCTGGAAAAAAGAAGTGTCTTGCAAAGCAAATGTATTATTTGTGTGGAATGTATTGAACTTGGAGGAGGAATTGAATTTCTTTGTATTTGACTTTTGATAGATAATGGCATTTGTGTGCCCCTTTGGCTGTGCAAGGAAATCACCGTGAATTATTAAGGTTAGTCAACCAATTGTAAAAAATGGAAGATAAGAAAGGGGGAAAAGAAGGCGGCGAAGGAAAAATTGTGCTATGCAAAAGGGTCATTGCTTATGTGTTGAAATGCCCCATGAGGTGGGGTTTAATTCTTTCAAGTATGCATGAATGGTATAATTATGAGGAAAAGATCCATGAACAGAATTGGGAGTAATTAGGGAGGGTTTTGGTCAAAGGAGGAAGTACTGGGAAGAGTAGAAGACTTGTCGTCTTGGTGTACACACATCAGACGCACAAGAAATACAGCACAGAGGATTGCACACACTGGTGCACACAGATATGCTCTTATGTTTGTATGGAAGTATGCATGTGCCAGACATGTAAATGCAGTTGATCTGTTAGCCGATTGAAATGTCAGCCATTTTTTTTATTAGATCACATTTATGCATTACTTTATCTCATATTTTAGGCTTCTATGTTATGATTGGTCATCTAAATAACCACACAAATTCATTATTGTAAGACACATTGAATGTTTTGCAAACCTCTCAATCAGAGAACTTTGGAATTTTCTTGGGGTAGAGTAGTTTCTAGTAAATTAAGCGCTTTAATTTTTCGGCTCTAACTATTGACTAAACAATTATAAGGATTTTGATTATTTTTTATCACAAGAAGCCTCATAAATCCGCCATGCTAAAATGAATTCAACGTGATTAAAACTTGTCATTGAACTCGGATATGTGTATTGGGTGTGTATATGTATCCAAGCATCGGATGTGTCAAAGATGCTAAATTTTCATATTATTTAATATTTTTATTTTTATTTTTAGAGGAGAGTCATTTTTTTTTTATGTAAAATATTGTTCAATATAGACATTTCATTTGTTTTGAAGCAATAAAATAATTAAATTGAATAAATAAATATGTTTTTTAGGTGCATGTCCAACTAGAAGTGTCAAACACATATCCCATACCAATGTCTAAGTGTTGTGTGTCCAACATGGGTACTTCACTTACTTTTGAAGAGTCCACGTAACATAGCCTATAACTATGGGTTCTTGGGTGTAGATTGGTTCTCTTCTTTGTTTCTATTTCCTTCCCTTCTCTCTTCCTTTCTTTCCTCTTCAATCTCTCTTATATTATCTCTTTCTTATCTTCTTTTGTTCCCTTTTCAATCTCCTCTCTTGTGTCTTTAGTCTCTCTTATATCCTCTATATATTTTCTTATGTTATTTCCCTTTTCAGGATCTTCAAAATTGTCCCAGTAAACAGAATTGGTTTATTTTTCTTGTAGAGATGATGGGACTCTTCCATGCATATCAACTGCTTTATATTAGAATTGCATGAGGAAAAGGAGTTTGCATTGTTTTTGGGTGAATCTCTTGAGTAATTTGTGATGGAAGGTTCAGTAAATGGTGAAACATTACACTGATCTCATTAAATACTTCCCAAAATAAAATTACCAAAAATAAAAAATAATAAAGATTTGCATGAGCATATGTATATAATAAAGAGTTCTCAAAATATCCCCTCAAATGAACTAGATGGGGGAGGACTATTCTGATGGTTTATGTTGTGAAGAATAATAAAGCAGTTTTAATGAAAAAGAGTCAATTTTGTTCAATCCTTTTGTTCCCTGGAGATATTTAAAATGTTGTCTTAATAAGGTATGACTGTGAATTTAGAGTTGCAAATTATGCATTGTGCTTGTTTTATGGTGTAGTGGTGGTATGCAACGAGAATGGCTACAAAGAAAATGATGTCTAATGTTTATTACATCTATATCCTCCAAGTATTCTGCTTGACATCTTCATCGTAACTGCATTTCTGTATTTTCAATTGGTCATGTTTAGTGCATAAATTCTTGCTGACTTCAGATATTAAAAAATCTCCCATCCCCAAGAAAGTAACATGTTCGGTGTCATATGTTGATACTGATTGTAGTTTTGAGGCTATAATTGCATATATTCCTTCAGGCATCCTTTAGATTACTGGAAATCCGTGTGTTGATTATGTGTATCATGTCATTGTGCATAACATATAATAGCAATGCATCTGAAGTAAAAAAAACATTTTTAAAATCAGGAAAGTTGGTTTCTCTTCCACTCATAGTAAAGAAGTTCACATCATCCTCTGGAGACCCATTCAGCGGACCCTATGAAACTCAACAGCCATTGCTGGGCAGCCAGTCTATGCGTCTGGGGCTGGATGTTATTAAGATTTCACGATCAGATGAAATTTGTGATAATGGCCATTTGCTGCCAGTTTATGACACCATTGTAGAACACTTTGCTGCTCATGAGGTATGATGGTGAGTCATCCCATATCAGTTGTCAATTTTTTCTTGTTTTGAAGTGTCATTTAATATTTTGTTGTTTTCTTGCTTAGAAGCAGCAATCAATCCTACACTAACAATTAGAGAAGTCCATTTTCTCAATGTTGATATACAAAATTTCATATATGAAGCATCATTACGTTGGCTTTAAGCTTTCAAATTAGCTTTGGAATTGGTTGCATGTATTTGATGGCTTGTGTTAAAGCCCAAGAAACATGCACATTTTTTTTATTCCTCCGAGTTTTACCATTTTTAATTCATTCAACTATCGCAGTTCAGCTCTATTGTTATTGTTTAAAATCATCATATGAGCTGAAAAAACTAAGTTAATCAGCTTCTGATTTCAATGTTGAGAATTGTACGGATTGGTTGTATTTGAATGTCATGGCTAGAATGTGAGTGGGGGACATGACAATTGACAAGTTAAATGGTTCTGTTGAATTGTTTGAATACCAAGAAACATTCATATGATCCAAATTGCTCCTCCATTTTTCAGTTACATCAGTTTTGATTCAAGACCACTATCTGTTGTCGTTGAATACTGCCATCTAATTGGAATTCATTATTTGGGCAGGGAATGGCACTCATCAGATTCCCTACAATGGCTCTTATTATCACTAATGCCTTGATGTTGGCTACACCTTTTCAAGCTCTGGCAGAAACATGTGAGGCTGATAATACTGTTTTAAATATGCCCCTACTGCTATTTGTATCCCTTATAGGGGCCACTGTTGGCGGTAAGTTCAAATTCATGGTGAACTTCAGTTCCTTTCCTCATTAGAACACCGAAGTTGATACATATAAATTTAGAATATATATATGAGATTTTGATTTTCATCCCTTCATTTTGCTACCCGGGGGCCATTGGTTTGTGCAATGGTAAAAGGCTTGGGCTGTCAAGCGTGAGAATGTTAATTGGAGTACGAGTCCAGTCATTTTGTGCAAATTATTCCAATGGTTATGCAGCCAAATTATCCCTTTCAGCAGCCATCATAAGCGGGGCAGCTTTAGAAAATAGCCCTTTATATTATAAGCAGACTTAATGCATCAACATTCTTCAATTTTTTTGAGTGCATCATTTCAGCTAGTCAAGAAATGTCACATTTAAAATGAGCTAAGGCTCATGGTTTAGGACATGTGACTTTGTTATACTGCTGAGATAAATTGCATGCTAACTGCTCAGTATCTGTGGCTTGGTACATGTGTATCAGCACTACTACCCAAGTGATGACAATCAGTTGGGGACACTTTCAGTGTTCAAAAGCAATTATGTTAAAGCCAAGGTTGTCTGTCTGATATATTCGTTTTTCTTAGCCCATATCAGAAAGTTCAAGTTCAGGAGTGGCAACATTAGTTTTAGGAGAAGATAAAGCCTTGCATTCCCTCCATGCTTGATATCTTATTTGTTATTCAAGACATTCATGCCTGATATATTATTTATTATTCAAGATACTTACTCTCTCCTTAAAAAATGTGATATCGTGCACATTGCATAACATGATTGTAGCTGTGTTCCTTCGCATCATTATATCTCTTGTGGATTTAAATGTTTCTGTTACAGGATTGCTTGCACGACAGAGGAGAGGAGAATTGCAGCGGTTGAATGAACAGCTTCGCCAGATCAATGCAGCTCTAAGAAGGCAAGCTAAGATCGAGTCTTATGCGCCTACTTTGAGTTATGCTCCTATTGGTGGTAAAATAGCAGAGAATGAAGTAATTGTTGATCCAAGGAAGCAGGAGTTGATTTCTCATTTGAGAACTGGTAAGAATTTTTTAAGGAATCAAGTCCCGGACAACGCATTTGAGGAGTTTAAGGCAGCTCTTGAGCTTGCACAGAGTTTGAAGGATCCAATTGAGGAGAAGAAGGCTGCTAGAGGCTTAGGTTTGTTATCTTTCCACCATCTTCAGTTTTTGCCTCCTATTTGTGTTCAGTTTGTTTTGTTTTAAGGGAGCATGAAAGTAGTTAAAAGGTAGAATGTGCTTTGGTATATGATTTCTTACTTGGGTCTTCTATTTTATTGAAAGATAAGTTGTATGGACATGAATATAATTATATAATACAGAACATACATATAAACTCTTTAAATACTTAAAAAACTAAAAATGGACACTGAGGGTACTGTGGTGCCATGTGCATGCATGAATATGACTACTCTCGTCTGCTCTTCCCTTCTCTTTAGCTCTGGCTAAAAACCTTATCAATTGTCATATGCACTCTTGCACTTACTAAACCGGTTCAAATATTTTTACTTAAATGCTTATCACACATTTTCTTCAGAAAAATTAGGAACCTAGGTATTCCCAACTCAGGCATGCTGGACATAGGTCTCCAAGTGCTGCGTTAGTGTCAACTCTGTGTCCTAACATGGTCAGGATACCGCGAGACATGATGAATAGTATTCAAGGAGTATCAATATCTCACGCGTGCCTGATAACGATATGATTCTTTCATAGATTTATCCATGGTACTCTGTCTGAAAATTGTAAAACGGGCACTGTTATTTCCATTATATGTTGAATTTCTTTTTGCACAAGAAACAAATGTACCCCATATGTGTGTCTCTCTCTATATATATTTGTCCTGGCAAAGAACTCACGTATCCACTGTGCCTTTATGAAGACTTGAACCTTCAACCTTTTGGTTTGGACACCTGGTCTTCATACTTATATTCGAAGGTTCATATACAGAGCAACTGTTTTATCATCATGTGAGCATGTCCTGCTAATTTCCTCGTATGTAGTATATACACGATGTTATATTGGGAAGTTTCTTAATTGATACCTAACATGTGATTGAATTCAATATCTTGAGATTGTCTTAAGTTTGATACACCAACATATATGATCTTTCACACATCTGAGGAAGCCACATTATGGTACGGTGCGATTGAATGAAATCCATTCTTCAATTAATTAAACTTGATTACATGAATCCCCATTTGTTATTCCTCTACATTGAGCTGAATACTCTGTGGACGACTTTTAATGCTCTGCTCAGCAAAATTTCCTTGCAGCTTCTAATTTTACTTCTCCATTACTAGCTTCTTTTCACTTGCAAAATAATACCGTGTCGCCCGTCGGTGACTTTAATTAACTTCATGATGCGACACATGGAACATATTTTGGACACTTTCTTTTCTTTTCTTTTTTTTTTTCAATGTTCAAGCCTGTCTTTTTCAGGAGCCTCATTGCAGCGCCTGGGTAAATACCGGGAAGCCATCAAGTACCATTCTACGGTTTTGGCCATATCAGAAAGAGAAGGTGAGGATTCTGGGAATACGGAAGCTTATGGAGCAATAGCCGACTGTTATACTGAACTTGGAGATCTTGAGCAAGCGGGCAAGTTTTACGACAAGTACATTTCAAGGTTGGAAACAGATTGATCTTTGGTTGTGGCAGTTTTCTTCATTAATGATGTAACGAGGGTGGAGTATTTAGTAGAGCTCGCGACTGACAGCTCTGTGCGAGATAATATCCTCTTTTGTATCAATATATAGAGTCACTCCTTGTAGCTGGCCATTTTAAGGCCCTTCTGCGATCGTCATACCATTTCTTTTTGTAGTATGCACCTAAAACCGTTTATTGCTCTTCATGTATGCTGCCAGTTGAGAACAACTTTTGTTGGAACTTAAAACTCCAATTATTTTAAAAATTCCAAACAAGGGCATAAAGTCTCGCGTGAAGCAAAACCGCAGAACACTTGTTTCTTACTTGAATTTTGTCTTGTTGAGTAATTTCAATGGAGGCGAGGGTAACAGGGAAACAATGATAGAAGTACACACTCCATTCAAAATTGGTGGTTAAATTATTACATGGTCTTCTGTTGGTCCCGGCCAATCAACGTGACACATCAACAATAATATATTAAGTGACACATCAATAATAATATATTAAGTGACACGTCACTTGGTGATTAGACTCATGTAATAATTTCTTCCATAGACATTATTTAATTAGGTGAGTACTACTTTTTCTGTTATTAAGAAACTCAGCACAGCTAACAAATGAGGTCATACCATTTTTAATAACAAGACCACAACGAATCATATAATACTCTAGCGTTAAGAGATCGCAAAGTAGAAATTGTGTTAAGAAACCCCAAATTATAAATATTTTTTTGTTCGGTTCAAACTTGCTTTAGCCTGGTTCAAGTAGATCTTGGACACGTTCAATTGCACTATCAGGAGACTTGCATACCACAGAATCCGACATAAAATTCTCATTTAAAAAGTAGATGTAAAGATATTAACTACTAGAAAACAAGCCATTGTCTGAACTAATCAGCCATTTCCCGCTAATAATTATATTCCCTCACCCCTACATAATAGCAATCAAAATAACATACATGCTACGTGTCCATATAAATTGCAAAGGATGGGTAACCCCTCCTCCACTCAAGAAAAGAGAAACAACAGAAAGCTCCCTAGAAGTTTAAAACTCAAATCTGTGAAAGCCAGCAAATAAAGGTTTCACGACATAATGGCACTCTGTTAATATTACTGGTAGTACATGAGCTGCTGGGCAGCAGCAACATTCTGGAAACCGCCATCATAAATAGCCTGGCTGGCTCCGGCGGCACCCATTCCCATAGCTGCCTGCTTGAGGGGATGCTGCCCTTGGGGTTGCATGAGGGCATGCACGGCACCCATCTTGCTCATTGCTATCTGCCGCTCATAGGCCAAAAGGTCAGTGGCTGAAAAACCAGGCAAAGGTGCAGGTGCAGGAGGGGGAAGTGGATTTGAACTTGTTCCTGGTGGAGTGGGCTTGCTGCCCCATGAGCACTGCAAACATAAAAAAGAGTCAAGTCAGAACGAATAATTTACTTGATCAAGTGGGTTTGAACTCCACTAGGTGAATTGAAGTCAAAAGTGAATAAAATAAGCAACAATTTCAGCAGCCAGCAGCAGAAACTGAACAATGAGTCAGATTAGAATTCTGCAAAAGTGAATATAACAAGCAACAATTCAGTGAATACAACTACTTAATTCTTCAAAAGTGAATAAAAACTGAGCAACAATTTCAGTAGCAACAGAAACTGAGCAATGAGTCAGATTCGCCTAGGAATTATTAGCTTGCATTGTTTAGTATTGGCCCAAAATGAAAGCTAAGATTATCAACACAACTACTAAATTCTTTCAAATTAATTTATCCACACCCATTAAGCTATCAGATAGATAATGTCATCCCGATGAACCAATGACATTAACATGTGAAGGAGAAAAAAAAAAGAGGAATTACCAACCTGTAAATTCCCCATAACATGCACTGAAATATTCATTTATTTGGCAGTAAAAGTGCTTACAATGAATGAGAGCAAGGACCCAACATGTTAAATATGTGAAGATCCATAAAATTTAATAATTTCAGGAATGTTAAAGAGGGCAAGGACAACAACCAGTCCAGCATGCACAATTTCCAAAATAGGCAAATGAATTGATGCTTGCAAGCCCACAAATAATTGCCGAGCTCATAAACTGAAACTTGAGGAAATCACATTGTCCGTCAGTAAACAGCGAAGAAAAGGGCAAACCTTAATTTGTTTGCCACAGAGAAGCGACTGTGTATTTCCCATCTGAATGGCCAGAGCTGCCTCTGCATGGGTACTGTATCTAACAAAACCAAATCCTTTATCACGCTGGACCCTGACTTCCTCAATGACTCCAGCACCAAGAGCATGGAAGTGGCGATGGAGATCAAGCTGAGTGACCTGCAAAGTAGACAAACAAGAAAAGAGTTCAAGAAATTATTATAACTGGGATATATACGCTTTCACAATTCCTATTTCCATATGAATGAAGGACATGGGAAAAGAGTACATTTTCTCTTTAAAAGGAAGAGAGAAAGAGAGGCCTCTACAATAGTGGAAATTTCTACATTCTACCCTCTTAACCACCACGAGAGATGACTCCTTCCACAAGCTACAAGGATCTGCTGCAAGTGGAAGAATCCACCTGATCTCGTGCCCAGAATTGCAGTACCTTTGCATGGCCGAAGTAGACAGAGAAACATAATGACAATACTTACAATACATGAACAATAGTAGTGATGACATGAAAAACAACAAAAAGTGACAGGTGGTTTCTTGCCTCTTGAGCAAGATTGCCCACATATACGGTTGTGTATTGGGGGTTATTCTCAGGAGCATCATTATTTGCCGTCTCTTTGCCATCTTCTGCAAAGGCAAACCAATAAATATAATTACATTGGTCATCAGCAAAAACTTTAAAGCTTCACTTCCCAGAAAAGCATCATCATCTAACATGGGTATCCACATAACATTCCAGGTATTGGACTATTAAACCATTTACAAAGCTAACATTCTAATTAACAATTTAAGACATTTAAAAAATCAGTTAAAAAAACCGAACAATTTGAAAACAAAATCAAGATAGTGCCATTTAGAATTATTTTTCTGGACATCTTCCACTACTTATGATCTAATATTCTTCCTGATTGACTCACCTGAAGAACCATTTGTTAATTCCACCACACTTTTGGCATCTGAACTCTGTTTGTCATCATTAAGACCAGCACCCTTTGTAGCCCAGTTACAACGTATCTGCCTACTTCCAAGCCACTTACCTGAACAATACCACCGAACAAAGCATCCAACAAAGAGCAGGAGCAAGTTAAGAACTTGTTTGCATCCAACAGAATAATTTAAATGCAAAAATGAAATCTTTCCAATTTTTAAGAACTTTGTGCATGAACCATGATCTAAATTCTTTAAGAGGCTGAAAATTGATACAACAATTGTACAGAGAGAAGTTCTCTTCACACATTTGTGTTGGTTTCTTGGGACAATTACAAGACACTCAATGATGTAAGAACAAAAAGAGCTGGATTGCAGTAAAACTGTGCAAGGTCATAAGATATTGAAGCCAACATCCTAGAGCTAATTCCCACGTCTTCTAACATGCTGGTATATTTAAATTACAACGAAAATAAGCAGATGCAAGATAAGTCCACATCAATCTCACCAGTCAAGTCATTTATCGCACTCTGAGCATCCTGGACAAATTATTAAAAAGGGTCAAAATTATGATATAAAAACCATTCAACATATAAACAGAACTCAAATCATTAGAAAAGAAGCACCTGTTGATTCCGGAAGGAAACAAATCCAAACCCTCTTGAACGCCCAGTCTTCTGATCCCACATAACCCTTGCATCACTTAAACCAGCACAAATGTCAACTATTAGGCCCCATTTTTAACACCAAGTGAGTAGCATGGTAAGCACCATGTAATCACCAATTACATTTTGCTAAATAATTTCTAACTTTAATAAGTTGCAAGAATGAAATTAGATCCATTTTTCAAAAAGGAAAAAAAAGAATTTAGTAATATAGAGAAGCTTACGAGCAACTAGGATAAACAGAGAAGCACGCAAATAGCATAGCATCAGTAACCTCAGGGCTGAGATCACCAACGAAAATGTTGTAATGACCTGCACAGCAAGGGGAAATATCATAAATACTCCCAAAAGAAAAGATGCCAAGACAATTAAGCATCAACTTGAAAACATTGGTATGCAATAATAGGAAGTGGACCCACTTGATGTGTCCTCCCTTTGTCCACTAGCATATGCCCAATTAACTTTGATAGGCTGCCCAAACCTGCATGCAACAGAATAAGATACAAAAGGAGAACCAAGCCAGAATGTAATACAGAATCACTTAGAATTTTCTACATACAAGTGCCTTCCATTAAGTGACATTATAGCTAGCACAGCTGATCTACGATCAAAATAGTGAATGAACCCATAGGATGACTGCATATAGGATAAAATAAAAGTGTCAATGATATATAAAAAGAGTACAACAACTTGAAAGAAGGAATAAAAAGAGACAAGAAAAACACATTAATTTGAAACTGCACATTCCAGATAAATTCTATAGCAGCTTACAACCAAGAATTGTGAACTAAAGATATAAGGAAGACAGTACCTTGTCCTTTCTTATAAGCTTGCAGCCTTCTACAGGACCAGTACTCGAGAATACCTCCTGAATAAGCGGTTCTGTCACCTGTGTATGGATGTTTCCCACATACCTGCATTTTCTCAAAAATAAAACTAGAAGTTTTAAAAAAGAAGAAAACAAAGAAATAAATTTAGCTATAAGAATTTCTCCCAGTTGTCAAAGCGTGGAATAACAAAAGAGTAAGCATTACATAACTCAAACCAAGTGAACAAGACTGATTTTTCAGAACTTATAGAACAAAGAAAGAGATTACCAAAGATATTAAACAATTTTAAAGGAATTCAAAAAAGAAAAAAGAAAAAAGGAGAACCAACTATGATGTTCCGTAGATAACAAAGACTTGTGACTCGCTGATTATATACAGAGGTGAATGATACAGCGTAAAAGCCCAAAAAAAAAAAAAAATTAAATAAAATAAAATCAAGAAAGAAATAAAAGAAAAGAAAAAAAATGCCTGGACAACACTCACACACTGCGGCATGTACTTGGATCAAACCCAGGAGGCAGATTTCCACTTGGGATTGGCTCAATCTGCAAAATGAAAAAATGAAAAAAGAAAAAAATAAAGAAAAATAAAATAAAACTAAAAGAAAAAAGCTCCCTACTTTATCTACCTACATCCACAGTAATTTTAACCCCAAAATTTGAGAAAAATAATCTCAGAAGGCATCCAAAACTAAACCAGCTAACCATCAAAACTAACACCCAGAAAGCAGAAAAAAGTAAATTTAAACTAAACAAAGGCACTAAAAATGAATTAAAAAAATTCTCTCACAGTGAACCTATAAAGTGAATATTTCCTTATGTACTCTATATGACCTTAAGAAATGGTCATTTTGTCATTTTTTTTCCTTAATCAACTTAGTTACCAACTCATCCCAAAACTTACTAGATCACCGACAGAGTTATGAAGCAAAAAGTACGAAAGCATAGAATGCTATACCGGAACAATTTCATCAAATGTACTTTGACTGATCAGTGTCATTTCCATTTATCATACACTGTGTTTATCATGATAAACTAAATTGTTTGAGGAAATGAGAAGTATAATATAAAAATGACCCCTTAAGATTAGACCGTTTCTGATGCAAATCTGACTTCTGAACATCTTCTTAGACTGTCATGTAATACCAAAAATAGATAAAACACCCAAAACAAGTGTCAAAAATGTTTTTTTTAGCATATTGTTTTTGCCAAAAAAAAAAAGGTTTTACCGAAAATGGAAATCATGTACTCACACAGTGTCCGCTTGCCCAGAGAAGATTTCAAGGAAAAGGGCCTCATTAAGCTTGCAAAATCATGGGCAAGTTCATGCTATTTATGTGTATAAAAACTGTCATATCACGAAAAATTTAGTCCTCCAAAACTCTCGGCCTAATCAAACAGTCTAAAAGAACCTCTAAAGTCACAAGCTACACATAACCTTTTGTCTTTGTTTTTTTATTCCAAAAGTCAAAAACTACCCATAACCTTTTGTCTTCTTTGTTTTTTGTTTTTTATTCCAAGAATATTAGAAGAGAAAGAGCAGAAAAGTCTCCAGAATTGCAAAGAAACACTGACCAAACATAATAATGCAGTTGCCCAGAGAAAAATAACCACAGGAATTTTTTTTAAATGTGCCTAACGTTGTTATGAAGTTGGATGTTTCACTACATTTAATTAGGAGAAAATCCAAAAATATACTAAAGACATAATAACAAGTAGAAAGCAAAAACCCATTTCGCTCAAAATAAAAGCACCAATTAAAATCTAGCTAAAAGAGAACATAATTAAAACCAGAAAACTAATTGCGGCATCGAAATCTGAAGTACCCAAAAGTTCCATTTCCAAATCTGAATCCCATACAATCAAAATGCCAAATATGACATAATCACAAACAATCCAATGCCCTACCTACCAAAAATCAAAATTTCTAAGAACAAAACTACAAAACCCTAAATTTCCTAATAAAAAAATCCTAACACAAACACGATCCAAAACCATATCATTCAAACAACCACTAATCCTAAACAAATAAAAAAACGCCAAAGCATACATCGAGCATAAAAAATAAAAACTTTAAATCTTAAGAGAATCAAGGTTCCGCAACGCGTTGAAAACTGGATGATCAAATAAACAACCAAACAAATCTTGAAAATCTCAGTCCCGTGATTTAACAAAATCAAAGCACACATACACGATATACAAATACAAATGTATATATATAAAAAGCCGAACCTGAGGAGCAGCCAAGAGGCCAGGATGGTACATGGACTGTTGCTGAAGTAGAGCTGCTTGTTGCATCAAGGCCTGTTGTTGCTTCAGCCTCTGATGCTGCATTTCTCGGTGATCTATCTTTGCGGTTCCCTCGAAGATGCTTTCAAAATTCTAGGGTTTCTACTGTGAGAGAGAAAGCCCCGAAGAAATGTAATGACGAATGCGAAAGAGGAGAGAGAGGCCTCTAGAGAGAGAGTGGTTTATTACTCTGACGAGGGTATTTATAGAATGTTTTTTACCCAGTCGTTTGACTGTAACATTTCTCGGATGTTTTTTGGAGGGCAGTGGTGGCATAATGTACGAAATAGAGTCACGCGTACGTGCAGAGCACGGGCCGATATTCGATTAGTTATTAGGTGGTGTTTTTAGTACTATATTAAGATAAGAATTGGGCTAGGGGTAAAGAGTGGGCTGCACGGAACAATTTGAACTCCGTTTGTCCACGGCTCGTTTCGGCTAGTTCATTTGTTTAAATGAATTGAGTTCGAGTTCAAATTCAAATTCGATTAGTAAACGAGTTGATCATAGGTAATATTTTATTCGATTTGTTTATACTCGTAAACATAAATTTATAACATAAACATGCTAATGAACATAATTATTTGTAAGATCATATAAATTTATAAACAATACAAAGCAATCTTATACACCGGTTCAAATTAATATTGAAGAACTTTTATTATTAAATGAGTCGAGTCTGAACTTATCAAAATAATAACGAGTTAGTTCCGAGCTCGACTATAATGAATGAGCCAAGTCCAAACAAATTCAAGCTCGGCTTGATTCATTTGTAGTTATAGAATTAAAAAAGTTTGTTAAACTAATATAAATATGAGTGTTTGTACTTTTTTTTCCTCAAAAATTTAAACACACGTCCACGATATTGCTAACAAAACGAGATTATACCATTTGAACTAATGTCAATTAGTAATTAAAAATCAATAGTAAACTTATAACTTATTGTTGGATGCCAAAAAAGGAAAATGATAAGAAAAAAATATTAAACTTGGAAATTAGTTGAATTGAACAAGTTTAAGACCAATTTGAATTTGAATTATCATTACATTTTTTTCCCGTGAGTTCTAGGCTGGGAACCGAATCATTAGTACATTACTCTTAATAATAAGAAGTGATTACAAACCCTTATCTTCAAATAAAAGGTCAGACATCCAAGTCTCTGCTTAAAGACATGAGTGTGTGTTTGCTTGACTTCGCAAAAAAACAAAAAATCACGGGACTCAACTAATTTGATTTAAACCCTCATATCAATAAAGAATTTAAAAGGCTCTAGTCCAATGATGCCACTTTTTTCCTCTTTGGTGTTAACATATTAGTGAATACGAGTGACGTTATTTGATTTCGACGGTTAGGGCCAACCAAAGCCATAATGCTTGAAGACCTAATCTCTTTAAATTGAAGTCTCTCAACGGGCACCACTATGCTCATGAGTCATAATCAACATATAAATTGGTAGTTGGGTCTGTATGAAAAAACAAAAAAAATGAAACACTCTTTATCTATATGTTCCTTCTTATCGGGGCAGTTCTAGAAAGCTAAGCCATATTCTTCAATCTTCCTATAACTTGTCCTTATGATATAGAAGGATAACAATGTTGGCCGTTTTAAACTACTCTCACAATTCTTTTCTTTTACAAGTAACTAGTTTACTTGAGTTCTATAGTTTAAAAGCTTTATAGCTTATATGGTAGACAAGAAGTTTTCCTTTGTTATTTTTTTCCCTTACATTTTAACGTTTTCAAAAATACTTCCCAGTTATGAAATTTTTTTTTTTTTCCGGTCAAATCACGCCCCGAGTCATGCCGGAAATTTATTCAGAACATCCAATCTCATTTTCGTTACATTGGCCTAGAGTGAGAGCAGGCAATCCCTTTATAATCAAGCCTTAATGGGGTCTGAGAAGAAGATACTGAAGAGAAAGTGAGACATCAGATGTGTGTGCATCGTGCGTGTGAGATCTGAGGCTTAGTTGATGATATTCAGTATTCACACGTGGATGGCTTGATTAGGTTTCAGTACAATTTGTAAAAAAAAAGCGCCAAATGAAGTTACACTTGATGGTAAATGATACAGTATATTCGTGTGAAATAACAGTACAGATCTGTTTTCTCAGCCAACTATTAGTGGACATAGAATCCAATTTCCTACGGAAACTGAGACAAATGGAAAGAGAAAATAGAAACAAGAACATGAAAAGCAGAGAGCACACTGCTCTATTCGATAAATGAACATTCCCCGGCTGGGAGAGCAACCAGATGATTCTCTGTGCCATCACTAGGGCCTCGGAGCTTCTAAAAACCAAACCAATTTAAATTGCCTCAGCTAGGTTTTACATTACTCTGTCTTGTCTTCTTCCAAATCACCGTTTGATACATCATTCCCGCCATGCGCTGGTCTGACTTCAGGTGGACTACGGACATCCTTTGAAGGAATAGGGGATGGTTTTATTAGTGTTAAAGTATCATCCCTGTCAAACTCTTCACCATCGTCAGAGTAAGCATATCTGTGAAATGTGAAGATAGTCAAAGTCAGTACAGAGAGAAGAAAAATCAGTGAATGTTTTTTGCTACATAAAACAGAACCTAACTGGACTTGGAAGATAATTTCCATAATTGTGTTCAAACTACCATTAGATTGGCTGAGAAAGTGTTAATCATTCAGGAGATTAATACAGTAATACACTGTCTCAAACTCATTAAACTCGCTTGTTTACCTCTTTTACATCAATTAACATGATAAATGACAATAATGCAGTATAATCATGACCACATCAAGTTGTGATCAGACTACCGATCCTATAAATTATGGTCTGATGATTACTACAACAACGCCATGATTGAATTAAAATTTGTGATAAAATGTTACAGATTCATAACCGTGATAAATAGACATGATGACAATATTACTATAGTGAATGACGATGAAAATGGTGCTGGTGCATGGCAAGGTGACAGTAATGACAGGATGGTGACATCTTCTCCTGTAAGATTATAGGATGCTAACATGCTGAAAATAATGTAATAGTGTCATAATAACAAAGTTGATAATGTCGATGGAGTACCAATTGTCATAAAAATAACAAAATATGATGCAGACCAGCAGAAACAAAATATTATATGCACTCTCTTCTGCAAATATCATTTCGTTTCTTAATTATATTTCCCCTTGAAACAGAGTTACCGAATATTTGCAATCAGGAAAGATATGATGGATTAAGAGGTTCGTATTTTTGCCCGGGGCATCATTTGTATGCTACTGTCAAAAGGAAAGGGAATTGGGTTGGCAAAACAGTGTGTTCATCCAAGTGCTCCTTTTGCAACAGGTTTGACCTGATCTGCTGGACTAGGAACAACTGCATTCTATGGTGGTCTCTGTGTGAATGATTAGATCATTAGAAAGTGGAAAAAAAATTGTTCAAGTGCTAGGCTGCCTCAATCCAACAAATACTGCTATATAAATACATATATGCATTCTGAAGTTAGGAGCTCAGTTTTTTACCGCGTTGAGTTCTGAGATGGCGCCCAAAGAGCACAGATGACACAGAGGAGAGAGAAAGATAGGACTTGCCAGAAGGCAGTGATGATCCATGCATTCTGCCATTGCTCATTGTACACATCAGTTGACTTGAAATAGAGCTGCAGAAACAAAGTTATGCAATATATGCAAGAGATTAGTTACCAACACTGGAAGAAAGGAAAACAAGTAACATTGCTTTAGAAACTCGGCACTAACTGAGAACTAGTGGATTTAGAATTAGTGTTTCTTATGAGATATTAGCATTAGCAATCCATCATTTACTGACAATTTAATGTGACCTGAAAACTTGAAAACTTTAAGCTAAAGCAATTTAATAATACTCTCTGTGGCAAATTGTAAGAAGTGGTTAATTGGAAATGGAAAAAAGACAGATAAATTAGCCTTATTTTCTATACTAAATCATTACCTCATAGCATATCCAGCCCACGGACACAATAACAGCTACTGCCAAGGCATTTGTGAACTTTCTGTAAATATCAAGTTTGGCCATCATCCGTCTAGCCTGTCATAGCACACAAGTAAACGAAGGTTATTATGCTAATTTACTCTACTAAACCTAAGGCACCACCACTTACCACTAAAACACATCAAACAAATGTCATTTCAAAACACAGTATAAATTAAATACACGAATCCCAAGTTCAAAGGTTCATCATAACCACAACCCTCACAATGTTTAGTTGTTGGGCCTTTATGGTGTTGACTGGGATTCAGAACATAAACCATGAGCATGCATCACGCCAGAACCCATGAGAGACTACCAAAATGAGAAAAGGGAAAGAAATGGATGATGGACAGTCTCATCCTTTTCACTTTGCTCTGGATTTTTCACAAATGAAAATGGGTCAAAAGTTGATTTGTTTTCCAGTGGGCAAAGTTTTCTCTTAAGTCTTATCTTATCCCCAAATGATTTGAGAACAAACCAGAGAATCTGGAATTGTTAGCTTTCTAATTTTTACAATATATATTATTTTAGAAGATTTTCTCTTATCTTATCCCCAAATGTGCTATACATCCATCATCTTAAAATGTTCATTTTTAATTTTACTCTTTCCTGTCTTACCACATCCATTACAATATCTGCATCACAAAAATGTTGTAGTTATTAATAAAAAGCAAAAATAAATCTATCTATTAAACTTGTATTGTCAAAAAGAAAATACAGATCTAAACAAAGAGTTTATTAGCTGGATGTTGCACTGCATGAAGGTCAAATGTGAAAATAACTTAAAAGATTGGCTAAACGGAAAAGCACAATTCTATCTTTCCAACTATTAATCATTAACTTAAATGATGGATCTCAAAAGGGGAGGTGCAGGTATAGGGTTTAACACCGACTAGAACGTGATGTGCACCGTAGTAATCAACTTAAACTCACCATTATCACAACTATTTAGGACCAGCTAAATTTATCATGTTTCACCACTACTTTGTCTAGGACATTAATTAAACCAAATGTTGCATCTATTTTCTTTCTAACCCACTCCACGTAAAATTTATGTTACTAATAATGCGACCCATACCACTCTCCCTTAATTTATTTATTGGTCTTCACTATGCATGTACATAAAAACTTCTAAGAAAGAGTTGCATCCTTGTGGACATATTGGAGATCGACATTTCTTGATCACTCAAAACACACGTCCAACACATTTTTGGACATGTTCATAATAGAAATGACATGAGATTTATAATTTCAACAACACTTCTTGACCAACATGTGATTTAAAAACCTTAGACATTTGAGATATGACCTCTCTTTAGCATGGAAAAAAGTATAACCGTACCGAGAATCAAATTAAAGAATTATATAAAACCTATTAAAAACTGAGCTTTTCTTTAAACAAGAAAATATTATTTTAAGAAGATCTAATTAAAGAGGTGGGCATGGGAAGAGGAAAGGAATCATCATTATCATCAATGTACACATCTAGAACACCTAAATATAGAGATACAAACATGAAATAAGCATGTCATGTCTTTATTGTCTTTGTCTATACAACAGTATGATTTACAAGTTACAACTAACAGTCATAGAATGTTACAAATACTTTTCATAAAGTAATTTGTGGCGACCTTGTGGACGGGTGTGTGTGAGCGTGTGCAAGGGACACCAGTAGGCTACCACACTGGGTGAGCTACAGGTGCACAATCCCACATCGTCTGGGTGTGGATGGGGCAAGTGCTATATGTAGATTCAACACCCTTCTATGACACAGCGCGTTTTAAAGCCGTGATGGCCGTGAACCCATCAGAACTCTGTAGTTAAGCGCGCTTAACTTGGAGTAGTACCAGGATGGGTGACCCCCTGGGAAGTCTCTGGTCTGGGTTAGCCAAAAGCGGACAATATTGTGTCTGGCCAGGGTGAGGGTCGTTACAAATGGTATCAGAGCCTGACCCAGCCGGAAGTGTGGCCAACGAGGACGTTGGGCCCCAAAGGGGGGGTGATTGTGGCGACCTTGTGGGCGGGTGTGTGTAAGCGTGTGCAGGGGGCACCAGTAGGCTACCACACTGGGCGAGCTACAGGTGCACAATCCCACATCGTCTGGGTGTGGATGGGGCAAGTGCTATATGTAGATTCAACACCCTTCTATGACACAACGCGTTTTAAAGCCGTGATAGCCGTGAACCCATCAGAACTCTGTAGTTAAGCGTGCTTAACTTGGAGTAGTACCAGGATGGGTGACCCCTTGGGAAGTCTTTGGTCTGGGTGAGCCAAAAGCGGACAATATTGTGTCTGGCCAGGGTGAGGGTCGTTACATAATTTTTGTCAAATGTATTATGACTACATATAAAAATAAATTTCTATGTTATTGTATCCTTACAATGCCTTATCTTACTTTTCTAATATTTATAGTGTCAGCACACGTACATGTCAGGTCATGTCCATGTTGCATGCCCGTGACATGCTTCATAATAAGTCAAAACTAAAAGAAAAATATAATAAAAGGATTTCAAACCATCCAACTAAGTACCGTCCAAATATATAAATGTGGATCCTGTTCAAAAGGTTTTTACACAAAAGAAAAGTGATATGAATTACATAATCTTATAAATGCAGTTTCAATACCTGAAGCTTATTAAGAGTTGCAGAGAGAGATTTAAATATCCAGAGGATGAAGAAAGCATCCAAGATTGCCACAGGAAGAACCAAAAACAGTCTTGCATTTCCTGAAAGATCACTGACAGTACCAACATTTTCGACCAGTTCAAGCACTTCAGATGCGAGAAAGAAGGTAGCTCCAAGCATAATAACCTTTGACGTAAGACCGCCTAGGGTAGGTCTTACAACACCATAGCCCATAGAAACCATCAGGATGATCAAACGTGAAACTGTGCGCTTCACAGTGCCAAAGGTGACGGCCCATACAGTGATCCCAGTAGGTCTGACTCCATTCTCGTTAAATTCGGCGTAATCAAAATACCACAAGGCCATCTCAAGCATGCCCAGTGTTATTACTAGTGTTATGCAGTTCTGCAATGGAAGAACCTCTCTCCAAAATCGAGCATACTGAGAGAACCAAAAGATTCCAAGTATCACAAATGCAAGAGACATGAACCCATAAAAGTTCATAAGTGGTGCCATTCTGCCAGGCAGGTAACCAGTAGGATTTTTCCATATACTTTTTCCCTCCACTACCAACTCCTTTAGATTCGGATCACAGTGAATAAAGTACAGATTATACATCCCAGTTTTTGTGATCTGTATTGATTTTGGTTGCAACTTTGCAGTTAGCTCATCTGCATTGAATGAAACACCAAACACTTTGGGCCAACCTGGATTTTGGGAAGATGGTCGGTGAATGATTTCTCCTTGAGAACACACGCCCAGTTTTGCTAAATCTGCTGTGCAACACACAGCCCTTTGGCCCCCATAGGCTGAACCCCCAATTGTTTCTCTATCATCTACCTCAAAAATGAGGGCTTGAACCAACCTGGAGCTGAAGTTTGAATATTCTTTGGGCCTCCGGAATGTAATCTTTTCAAAACTGGTTTCCATATTTTAAAAAGAAGTCTCAGGCATAGGTTTTAATAGGAGAATTCCATAAGAACTTTGAAAGTAAGGGTTTTCTTTGGATACAAAGAACAACAAATCAGAAAAATATACAAATGTAACAGAAATCAAGCAGTTCTCATTTTGTAGAACAATTTGAAGGAATTGATTGGCATATATTGCTTAGAATGTGTAGGTTGTTCATTTAGTTGACACGCTTCACACTGCATCCTATCACAAGATGATTTGTTACATTGATTGCATTCCCCTGCTTTGTTATGTATGTTTCATATGGATTATGTATCAAATGTATGTTATCCTGCTTCTTCTTCTTCTTCTTCTTCTTCTTCTTCTTTTTTCCTGTTTATTATCTTTTTCCATTATCATTACAGTTGGGCCACCCAATTAATGGGATCAAACACATGAATTCTTCTTTTCCATTCTTTCCTATGCTATGTTTCTTCTTCTTCTTCTTTTATTTTTTAATTTTATGCTGTGAAGTGTAAAATCCCAAAAAAAAAAAAAAAAATCTTCTGCTCATAATTCATACAATAAGTGAATCTGGAAAGGAAAAGAAAAGAAAAAACAAAAACAAAACAAAAGCTTGATACAAAATGTAGCATGCCGAAGTGGTAAGTGTGAAAGTCAATACAGCTAATAATAAAGGAAAACAAGACTTTGTTCAACTATCATTGCTTGAAATACTTGGTCAGGGGAAGAGTTACTTCAAATTTTGTTTCCAAATGTAATAATGTTGTGTTCGGAAGCATTGAATCTATGCTTCGGAATAGAACTAGAGAAATAATTTATATTTCAAACTAACATGATCCAAAATTCCATTTCCAAGACGTGAATTTTATGCTTTCTTTTTTCATAAGCAGGTGAGTATATATTTCAATCAAAAATAGGAAGAATTATTACATGCTGTGAGGGTATTGCTCTCACAGTATCCCCAAAATACTAACAAATCAGTAACTGAAAAATGTTCACTAAATTGGCATGCTACTGTAACTTGTTGGCTCAGATCTCCACAAATCACAACAATTAGCCACAATCTTCTACAGTCAACATACAACTACTCCACATAAATGAAAGAGATCTAGCTGGAAACATCAAAATCAACGATCACAGAGTATAGATTAATAACGCGTTGTGTGTGTGTTTGAGAAAGAGAGAGATAGAGATAGAACGCACCGTATACAAGAATCGCAATTCGCCGCAGACTCGTTCTGGTTGGGGAGAGAAAAGTAGATTCCCTCACTTCCTCCATGGACCACGAATGCATTGCCCTTGCTAACGAATTTCTCTCCAGCGTAGTCATGTACCGACGCTTCGATACACAGAAACCAAACCGATAGAAGACTAATAGCTGCGAGCGAATCGAGCACAGACATTGTCGTAGCTGAGTGGAAGGGTTTAGAGAGAGAGCGACTCTGCCGGTTCCGATGCGAAAATGAGTTAAGAAGGGAGAGAGTGTGTGTGTGGGGTATATAAAGTCCGTAGGCCAAACCAGACGGTGTAGTTAAACAGTCTTAACTCTAGTTGTCATTCATTGGCTCAATCAGTGGGAAAAGATAGAATACGACGCACATAGAGATCCACTCAACGATCATGAAATCATGATGTGGGCGTGGTCTGGGAATAATCTATTAGGGTGCATTGATGTAAATTAAAATTCCAATCTAGGTTTATATTTAAATTGCATTTTTTAGTTGGGTACTATGTACAAAATCGATGTGGTTTATATGCAATCCATACCGATTAGAAATTGATTCAGACTTTCAATTAGGCAATTTTGAAAATTTTAAATTAATGTTACGAATTTGATACATCAGAATTTTAGAGAATAGTCCAAACTCCAAATAAATGAAATCAACCTAATATCAAATATGACGTTGACTGAAAGAACAATTCATTTCAACATCTGAAATGACAAACAAATTTTAGTCATGCCATTGATCATTTGCGTCAAAGTCAAATTTGGGGAGTGGTCTATAAATCTTGAGGTAGTAGGTGGGTATGCAAAATTATGTATCAAATTGATCGAGTTGACCCCCTACTAGCTTCGCTCTTTTTGTTTGTGTAAATTCACACACACATTCTTATTTGCTAAGTACATGATAAAAATTATACTAGTGTTGATGATCCATTTCTTATGTCTTGAGATAGAGAATATTGTGATAATATATGTCATATATTATATGATTTGGATCTGATAATTAAAGGCTACGGAGTATTTGATAAACTAATTAAGCACTTAAAAAGTAGAAGTATTTCAATGCATATCTAGTTAAAATGGGTTTGAAATCACACCTGAACGAACAAATATGTCAAATTAAGTTGTACAAGTGGTTATTCCTCATTTTTGTAGTACAATAATTTTGTAAGTAACCTAAAAGATTGGACTCCACCACATGCCATTGCTCAACGAGTCCAAAAGAATAAAGAACGCAAAAAGAAACTCTATATTCAAAATTGTTCCAAGTCCAACATTTCAGTTTAGTTAGGATGTGCCTTCTAGCTCAGGTGGTGGGCAAGCCTCACCGTTTGGTGCGGGCAAAAGTTCGAGCCATCCATCCTCTCCTTTCCCCACTAACTCCTAACCCCCACTAACCATTACCAGAAGAAAAAAATATTTATAAAAAGTTTAGTTACCCATAAATCACTTCAAAATGCATTCCAAGAACAGTTCAAGTAGAATAACTTCAATTGACAACTCATTACTTCATAAAACTAAAGGAAACAAAAAGACAAACAAGTTTATATACATCCGAATTCCATGAAATAATGAAACTAAAAGTGATGTCAAACTGGCCATCAAACAGTTGATACAAATTTTTACTACTGTGAAACATAGCTAAACTACCAACTATTTTAATTTTATTCTCTTTCTTGTAATTTCCAAACAGTGTCAAATGGCTTAACTTATACCGGGCTATATAAATGATTTGTGAGGGATTGCCAAAGATACCTCACAATACTTTCTACACTACTGGATTACATTCCAGTTTGCACCAACCAAAATACAAATTAATTGGCAAAGCTAGAAAGTTATTTCAAAAGGATCAACATGACTACTCATATCACCAGTCTCTTCAATTCGCCATCAATATTGAAACCCAAGTCCTCCTAGGAGAGAGAGAGAGAGAGAGAGAGAGAGAGAGAGAGAGAGATCCGAAGATCTTTTGAGTACAAATATAAAAGGAACCAAAGATCTGCCAATCACCCATGTAATCTTTCCAACTCCACTGCATTCAGATGTCACTAAGAAGATAAGAATCAACAATGTTGTATTTAAAACACTAAACAGAGAACTCAAAAATCCTGTTCTCAACACCTTGTGAAATAGATTTTTAGCAAATGTTACAGAAGTTGTGCACGCTGAGGGAGACAGAGAGAGAGAGAGAGGGGCAAATTGACCATCCAACCCCAATTATCTCCCTCAGCATCTACCAACCGCGATAATATTTGCGGAAGACATGGCACGAGCCCAAATGCAAAATGCAGGACTGGATGTCAGAAAGATATAAATCAGTCCATATCAAGAAACTCCATTCTCTTTCTCATGGAACCTTTAAGATCTGTGGCCTCCCTTTCTGCTTTTTGGGCCTGTTGCAAATATAATAGCACATAGCTGTTATAATACAAGTAGGAAACATGAAATGCATCTAGAGCAGAAAAAGAGGGAGGGAGACAAGAAATGGGGGAAAAAATGCATATGAAGTCCCCAGGAGAACTTGGTTAAAGGAAGAATGACTTGGAACAAGGACATCACACAAAGAGGTGATCTAAGATCCGATTCGCAAACCAATTTTCACAACACAATAATTTTCTATCACCATGCCATTAACAACTTTTTAGACATTGGAAGGGCGTCAAATATTTTCATAAAATAAATTTTCTTTATCCTTAAATTTCTCTAAGAAACTGACCAGGTAAGGCAAACTTATTCAAGAAACCGAGTCGGGACACGGTCATGTACTGACATTGCATGCGACACTGGCTCCCATCATTCTATTAAGAAATAAATAGCTCAAGACACAGCAAGACAAAATCAAAGGCAAGACAAAAGAAACAACAAATTAAAGTCACTCATATAACCACTGAGCCTGTGTAGCTTCTTAAATGAGCCTGACAAAGGTGCTCCTTTAGTGGAGTGACAAGACTGAATCAGAAAATATTTCAATACCACCCAGTCCTACCTTGGAAAAACCACCACCACCACCACCAAAGCCTTTTCCCAACTATTTGGGGTCGGCTACATAAATCCTATATCCTATGTTTCCATTCTGCTCTATCTAAGGCCATGACCTCAGTCAACCCATTCCTATCTCGGAAGAAGTATAAAATTTCCCTGGTACTAAATTTCAGATGTGGACAACTAGGGGGCAAAAAAAAAAAAAATCAGATATGAAAGAATAGGACATTCACAATAATGTACCACAGAATGCAGGACCACATATAATGCTCAAGTATCTGATAATTTAAATAATAAGAAGAAAACAAATAAACTTGAGTATGTCCATGTTTAATTACATTACTCTCTCAATCCCTGTGGCTGAATGTGTTACTGCCATATGCAAGCACATGCATGTACAAAATGGAGGCCAACAGATGTTTATTATACTCTTCGAAGCAGACCATGTTTTTGCTAGGGGAATTTTGAGCACATTTCACTAGTCAATTAGGACTTTAGGAGGATGGAAATCTAGGTCCATCCAAGATACTGAAAACGACAAGACACTAGCATATAAACGGTAGCCATTCCTGCATCGCTTCGTATATCCTTATGCTTTCTAATTTATTTTTTCATATGCCTGTGTCAGCTTAAGCTATAGAGATCATAAAAGGATACTGCACTAACATTTTTCTTAGAACTGAAATTTTCTGCATAGACTCGGGCTTTAAATACTCAAATTAGTAAATTTTTCTTTATCACCGAGTGATTGGGCTCAACGTGAACCTCCTCAATTTCTAAATGAATTTAAACTTTATTTGTTTTATTTTAGTAAAGAAAAAAAGAAAAGAAAAGAAAAGAAAAAGAAAACAGAGCTTGTGCATCGTTAGATGAAGTTGCATGAAACTTTGTTATGCATTATGATATATATCTCAGCCCCACATGTTAGGCCAATCTAACATCCAGGTTATGTATGATGAGATCATTGGCCTTGAATTTATGAATTAATAATCACAAACAACAATTTGGAAGCACTTTACTTTTCCCTTAATTATTACGTAAAATATGAATTAAATGAGTACTAAGAGCCCCAAGGGCACCCCACCAATAAAGAGAATAATAGGGTAGAAATCCAACAAAAAGTTCAAATCATATATACCTATTTATTAATTCTTATTTTTTAAAAAGCATAACTTAGTTAATACTTTATCCAACCAAATTTTTTTTTTGATAAGTAATACTTTATCCAACCAAAATATACTCAAAAGTTGAACTTCTCTACCTATTGCCAAGATACACTCAGGCTGCGTTTGGTAGGAGGTAAGAGAAGAGGAATGGAGCAAATCTATTTTGTACAAGGGAGAGCCTGATGAAAGAAATAGATAAATGGATGAGACACCCTAGTGGCTCACCTTTTTTATCCCCCAGCAGGAAAGAAGAGAAGTATAATTATTGTATAATATGTAAAGTAACATTATTACGATTTGTAATTTTTGCAAAAATATATAATAAGAGGTATGTTACATGGACTCTTCAAGAGTACATGAACTATTCGTATAGAACACACATTAATTGGACACGGATGGGATGTGCCTCCGCACTTTTTGTTGGACAGGCACTAAAAAAACATATCCAGTAATTCAATTTTATTATATTATTGCTTCAAAATGAATGAAATATCAATATTGGACACTATATTACATAAAGACATTATTTTACTCAAGAAAATAAATAAAATTATTAATTAATATGAACTTTTAGCAGTGTTCCATTTGTCTTGTTCGGGGAATGGACATGTCTGTCGCATCAATACATGCCCACACTCGACGCATGGACTTGCATCCAAACAATAGAACAAAACAATAGAATTAGAGTATAATGGTAAAAATAAAATATAACCTCTCCTTCTCTTCCATCGTACCAAACGATAGAGGCCTAGAAGGTGTCACATCCTTCTACTGCCCTCCACTCAACCAAACAAAAGGGAGAAGGACAATTTTCGTTACCAAGTGATTCCTCATCCATCCTTTCAACCATCCATTCCACCCACTTTTCCATCCTCCATGCCAAACAAGAGTTTATGGCCATTATGCCTTAAACACAAAACATCAAATCTTTTAACCCCTAAACTATAGAAACAATGCGAAAAGGGAAAAAGAGAAAAAGAGAGAGAGAAAGAGAACAAAGTCTAACCATGTAAAACAGAACACGACTCCTAAAATTAAGACACTCAAAAGTCCTAAACCTTAAATTATTAATAAAAAATATTGTAGTTTTTTATAAAAATAAAAAATAAAAAAAATTAAGGTGTTGATAAAATGATTAAACAATTTCCAAACATTTAAAAATTAATAGTCACGGTAGTCACCTGACTAAAAATGCTTCTAAAATCAACCAGAATCAATATTGACACTGTCATTTTGTCGTGCGAAAGAAGTGCATCACTGTGCATGTGTTCTAGAAGGACTTGCAATATATATGCATTAGAAACTACATGCGCATTTGGTATACCAATAATAAGTTCACCATAATTCTCATATTTCCCACCTTCACATCCATTTAATAATTTCTTAGAAATTTTTAAGAGGAATAACCTCTTAAACACTTAAAGCTATTGTAATATTATTAAAATTTTACCAACTTTACCACCAACGGCTGTAATCTAGTGGTATCTCCCATACTTGCTAAAATTGAAGGTTGAGGGTTCAAGTTCAATTAGGGGACAAGAAGAAGCAAGTGCGAGAGTTATATCTACGGAAAAAAATAAAAATAAAATTACAAACTTAATTAACTGAGAACTATTTTGCTTAGGATTAATGGTTTAATGTTTAGGAATTTTAGGTTATAAAAGGTTTAGGTTTTGAGAATTCTAGATTCTGTGTTTGTTCGGAATATGACTTAAGGTTATTTGTGAAACTATTTTTTTTTTTTTAATAATTTTTTGGGGGGGTCTAGAGTTAAGGGGTTTAAGGTTTAAGATTAGCAATAACTACCTAAGGGTGCTTTGGAAATTGATAGAAAAAGTTTAACCACTATTTTTTTTTCCGTTTCAGGTGAAAAAGTAAGAATGTGGTATGGTAATCGTACCCATTATTTAGTCGTAACTAGGGTGCCAATAGAGCTCTTGTTACATCCTACAACGCACAAGAGATATTATTAAAAAGATGAAAGAACCATTACATGGCACAAAGGGAGTTCCCTTCACGAAAGAACCAATTAACAATAAAAAACACAAAACACATACAAAAACTGGAACAAACAAAAAAGAATTCAAGTACATAAAGGCAAAACCATATAATAACAACAAAGCTGCATAACCTAGTTATTGTTGATACAAGTAAACCAAGACACTCATTTTTGTTTTTTTAATAAAGAAGAACAAGTTTAGAATATTTTAGACATAAGGAGATTTTTGTTGAACTATGTCAAAGTTATTGATGATAAAAGGAAAATCAATACTATATGTAAACCATGACTCCCTCAATAATCTTTCAGCCATAAAAAAAACAACATACATATCCCTGATATGTATCAATGTCTTGTGCTAATACAGGCTTATAAAGAAATAAATTAGGAAGCACGAATTTTAAGAAGCTTACAAAAGGAATGACTCTCCTCCTTCTATAAGAGTGGTGGTGGGCTCAAGGCCTGGGTGGGGAAGGAAAACAAAATTGGAGGTAGCAAGGCTCAACGCGACGTAGTCAACAAATGCTATGGTAAGAGGTGGAAGATGTAGAATCAGAAGTGAGGGTCTTTTCCAATATTCTCTCATTCCCAGATTGGTAGTTGACAAGCTATTCCACTACCCTCTACTATGTACTCCAAAATTGATTTTTGATTTCATCATCATTGATGACATACATATATGTAACGTATCTTACTCATAGTCCTCCAATGTTTGTATATTGTGTGAATTGGATTAGAGGGTTTTAAGAGAATTTAGAAGTTGAGATTTGAGTAGTGTACAGTAGAGAATTGAGGAGGAGAAAAAAAGAGAGAGATGAAGGGCAGAGTCCTTTTCTTGTTTTCTATAGTTACTAATTAAAACATAGGTAAGGGTGCAATTAGACTAATGTTTCTCATGAAGAATCAAACCTCAAATATCATAAGTAAATGCTAGGATAAAATAAGTCCATTAGAGTTCATACAAGGCTTTTGTTGCTCATGGGGAATCAAACCTTCAAAAACTTGAGCAACACTAGGATAGAAACCATGAAGATTTTTATTTTAGAATGCAAGGAAAGAGTTTTTGAATACATTGAAACAGTCAATATCACACAGGCCCTCAACCATCCTCTATGCCTTACATACTTGATACCAGTTTAGATCAAGACATTGTCAAACTCTCTCCCATCCCAGCATCTACATCTACTAAATTCTCTTTTTTAAGTCCACAAATGTGTTTCACACAAGAAGCAAACCTTGGAGAACTATGTGATATTGAAGTACATATACGCCGTCAAGATGATGATGATAGATACCAATAGCAAGAGTACATAATGACCATGACATCTTCAATCATGGAAGTGGAAAAGCAACTCTTGGGATAGGCCCTAACTTGATCTTCATACACTGATTCCGCCTCCTACCAATGTCCAATGATCGTCGGCGACGCCGCTTTGGGCCTTGCTATCTCCGATTTCGCTTTCCTTGCACACCTAAGTCTTAACCCTATCAATCTTATAAAGGTAGTCACTCCTCCAACACCTATTAAAATTTTTGCTTCCTGAATTACTTCTTTGTCAAAATGTATCACTGCAAGGCAATTTGCTAACATTTTAAGTATACAACATGTGTTCTCAAGGCTGAAATTTATTCAGGGCGTCATAGTCAAGAATCAAGATACACATTAGTGAAATTAATTTTACAAGTACATATTGCATAAATTCAACAAAAATCTCATTCGTTTCTAAATATTTTGAACTTGTCCAATTTCAATTAAACAAAATAAGGAAAACAGAACTTATGCTTAGGACATGGAGAAATGAACGCAAAAAACAAGAATAGTTGCACAAGTACATAGACATGTCCACTATATTTAAATACATTATATGTTATACAACGGAATAATAGAAGATGCTATTTTTCTTTGAGGATATACTCAAATAGAATTTAAAATATTGAGATATGGTGAATGAAGGTGCTTTCATCTATCTCAAAAGTAAAAGCTCTTCTATGCTCTCAAATTTGAAGTTTCTTTTACTCTTCCATCTTAACTTGTGGAGAAAGGTGTTTGATTTGGATTTCTGTTGGACACATATACTATATTCAATACCCATATTGAGTCGTACTAATACATGAATATGGATTATGGAATAGAATGGAGAAGTTCATTTAATAAATTGTGAAATTTTATTATAATGTCAGTGCGCTAGCAATGTCAATGGCAAATACAGACGGCATGCGATGAATAAGCCTTTCAAGTCGAGCAAAAAAAAAAAAAAATTGTATATATATCACAAGCCATCAACTTAAGATTCATTGATAGCATGACTAACAATTTGAAGCACCTTCTCTTCCTTAAACAGATTAGCAAATATGACTTCAGTCAAGCAGCCACGAGTGTTGGAGCTTTTGTCAGGCTCATTCTTAAACAATTTAAGCCGCTGAGGGAATTGGTAGTCTAATATGGTTTCTGGCAGGTTTTGGGTTCAAGTCTTTATCTTTGTATTTGCTCCTTGTCGTGCAAGTTTGTACTTATTGTCTTGGTTTGATTTGTTTGCCTTGCCACTTGGGGTTGGAGCTTGATATAGTCCATTCTTTCGCGCCTTAAGCTGTTGGGGCAATTGGCAATCTAACAAGAAGACCCAAATTTTGGGTAGGGCTTTCCTTCATGGTGCACTTAAGATATCAATGAAAACCAAACAAGAATATCACAGATAATAGAATGCCATTCAGCAATTATGAGCCTTAAGTCGCCCCAAGAAAGAGTAGAGAACAGGATATAACTCTTACTTGGAGTAAAATTATAAATATCCAAATTCTTATCTTTTTAAATAGGTCCTAACCAATACTTTGTTTACCAAAAGAAAAAAATGAACTTAAACTTCTCCTTGCAATGACAAAAACACCCCTAAGTTATAACTATGACCACGTAAAACTTAAACTATTATGTCTACCCATATGAACAAAAAAAATACAAAAAACCCTAAAGTGACATGTCCCACAAGCCACAAAAACTTATCCTAGAAAACTCATTAACCCAAAAGAAGCCTAGACAATAAATCATTAACCCTAGTCATTATAGTTCTCTATAAAGTTGGTAGGATTTTGATAATAAACAATAACTTTCAAATGTTTAAAGGTCAAATGTTTAATTTTCTTGTGAAAGAAGTGTCGTAATATGCACAAGTTCCCTAGAGGCACTCATAATATATCTATAAGAAACTACACGTGCATTAGGTATTACGATAATGATAAAGATAACGATGATAAAAATGATAAATTTATTAAATTCCCCCTGCTTTTCACTTTCACACCCTCCAATTTATACTTATTTTATCAATTATAACTTTAAATAATCCACCCAAAACAAATCACGGGTGATAATCTGTAGTATATATTTCATCACATGTTCAACCAGAGAACTTGACATGTTTCCATCTAATCAATGCGCTGGAAAACCCAAAATTCAAAGTGACTGCCTAAGTCCACACGTGCATTAGGTATTACGATAATGATAAAGATAACGATGAAAAAAATTATAAATTTATTAATTTATTAAATTCCCCCTGCTTTCCACTTTCACACCCTCCAATTTATACTTGTCACATTAAATAATCCACCCAAAACAAATCACAGGTTATAATCTGTAGTATATATTTCATCACATGTTCAACCAGAGAACTTGACGTGTTTCCTTCTAATCAATGCGCTGGACAACCCAAAATTCAAAGTACCTGCCTAAGTCAGTTCGCCAATTTAATAGCTATAATTTATAAAACTAAAGACCCCCTATTCTATGCTGGTTCTTCATCATGTCTTTCCTCCAAATTGTAGCAATATGAATTTGGGCTCTCATCCATAAGAATAAACAAAAGAATGCCTATAACATTTTCAAGACAAACCAAAACATCAAATATGACTCTTCGCAACTTCTTTTTCCTTTTTCCTTTTTCTTTTTCTTTTTTTATTTATTTAAGAATACAACTTACAATACAGTTATATGGTTTGCCGCATCTTCATACTCTGATACCAGAGAAAATATGGAGTATGGGATATATAAACAAAAGTGGAAATATCTTACCATGAGTAGAGAGATTATGTACAATGAAATTTTGTAAAGGAGAGCAAGGTAGCCCCTCAATGAAGAACATGATATTGTATATTGGAATGACTGCATCTTCACCATACTATATATGCATTTCCAAAATACCACAATACTAGCACTTACCCTTTTTATCTCAGCTGCTGAAACACGAGTCATATGTGGGGGGAGTTCCTCCTTCTCCAAGTCCTAGCATATGAGATGCAAAATTTAAGAAAATAAAAAATATATACATTATTAAAAGTAATTTTTTGCAAATATAGAAGGCAACAAATAAGACCATACCAGCTCGCCAATTAAAACGACATTTTCTCCACGTATTACATATAGACCTAAAGGGATGTCACAATAGAGGTCACCAACAATTACTCGCTCACATGCACCTTCAATGACAGCATTAGCTGCAAATAAGATGTCAAACTTTTGTCAGTTAACTGGGCACTATAAACTAGTGAGACAAATTCAACAACAATGAAAAATGGTACCAAATTGATCAAAGGAACGAAGTATGCCCAACAGCTTTCGACCATCTCTCAGCAACACAAGCAGCTTTTCTGTGACCCCCCACAATAAAAATAAAAATAAAAACTTAATTAAATATAAAAACAAGAATGAGAGCCAAGGAACAGTGAAGTGAAAAATAGTAGCAGCGCAAATTTTAAAGACGATTAACTAGGAAGAAAAAATAATAAAACTTTTGAAGACGATTCATATCTACATTCCACCTGAACAATTTAAAACTCGCATAATACTATTTGATAGCAAATTTCTTCAGAAAAGCCATATATGCAGTTGCATATGCAAAACATTACTATCAAGATTTTTGTTTACCAAAGCCTCAACTTCATCTAAACAAGCACACAAGTTGGAATTCATCTCACAATCAGACATCTCCAGCTCGTTGCCAGTATCAAAATACAAGGCACACAGGCAACGAACACATAGAGTAATTTTAGGCTTCAACAAGAAAAGAAACACCACAGGAGGGAGAAGCACCATACCCTAGATGCTCTCAAAGGAATATCTAATATACCCAACATCATATTCAACCAGCTGGTATATCTCCCGAAAAATGATGTTCCACTGAAAATGACACTAATAAAGAAGTGTGCGTCCTTGAAAGGAAATTATCCATCAGAAGCAGGAATCATAACAAGAACCTTTATGTTCCTCTACTGTAAAAAATCAACATAATCAACAAAACAAGCCTCCCCATGTTGAACAAACATAGAAACTTGAGACCAAGTCCATGGTATTCCATGGTATTGGCATGCTAACAAGCGAATATATAAAAAATTGTCCAAGTTAATGCTTTATAATTTCTTTATAAAGCAAAAAATTAAAAATAAAAATAAAATAAAATTGGGCAAACAAGATTTTCAGCTTAAAACACGGACATTACTTGGTGCAGTGTGAAAGCTCATACTATCTAGGGCTACACGTTGGTAGGGCTAAACCCAACCCAACCTGAGTTTTGATCAGGCTTGGGCTGGATCTATTGTTGTTTGGCTTGGGCTCAAATTTTCTAACCCAACCTCAATCTGGCTTGGGCTTTGGTAGATGTTTCAGGCAACCCGGCCGACCTTTCTTACTCTAATATAATTTTTTTAATTTTTACTATTGCTAAAATACTAGAAAATATATACCAACCACTAATATTAAATCTAATGGCTTAAAATAAGACATGTATAAGATTCGTTTTGATCTTATATTTTAAGTAAATTAAACATTGCAAATCTATCAAAAAAAATACACTAGATAAGGTTGACAAAGATTAGAGAGAATAGACTGAGACACCAAAACCCTAGCCGTTGTCATGACTCATGGGCCATCACGCAACCTCACAGCTCTCCCCAGTCCCCACCACCTGGCCGTTGTCCCTTGCCACCAAAACAAGCCACCATAGGCATCTTGCAAAGATTTTCAGAGTTACTTGATCTGCCATCTCTTGGTCGCACCAATAACTCTTCTTCATGTCATAATATTGAATCTCTCATAATCAAGCCTCACCAATCACCGTGACATAGTTGTGTTCATGCTTCTGCCATCCCTGATCTTGAAAGATTTGAGAGGCAAGTGGGATGAGCCTTTTTGCAATGTTTGATGCCTTTAAGAATAAAAGGTGGGTTCTCCTTTATTCTATCTTCTTGTGATTGAATTGACTTTGGAATTTTCTACAAGCATACAACCAATAATTGTGTTCTTAATTCTTGTCCGTGGAAAAACTTATTTGATCTAATTTCAGTTCTGAATTTGATGAATTTTACGTTTTTATTATTCTCTAATGTTACTTAACCAAACCTCAAGAAAACAACCACAACCAGATGTGTTGAGCTCGGGTTAGTGAAGCATTGAAGCATGCACCTAATGAACAATTTTTCAAAAGTGAAACAATTTTTTTGCAAAAATATTCAATTCCCTCCATCCTTTTGTAAGCATATCTCCAATTTACCTAACCCAAGCACAACCGTTACCTAAGTCAAATGATCATCTATAAAGAAAATAACATATATAATGTGGAAATGTGAAGATAAAATTGTTAACAGTAAGTTATCATCCAAATTCAAGGTAATGAAAAAGGTCTGCCCTTCTTTTCCTACCACCTATATTACTAAAAAAAAAAACTTTTTTGGAGAATCTATTGGTGTTACTCCTTTTTAGTCTTTCACTAATTTTTTTCCGTCAAAATGGCGCCACAGGCCAAGTCCTCCGTCTCAAAACATATCCGTATCAAAACCGAACGAAGCGGCGCCGGAACAGTGCATCCAGCAGTTATTTCCTCATGACCTGTTTGTTTCTTCCAAAAGCTCTCATGGGCCTTCATCCCGCAGCCATTTTTGGAGACGCCAGAACTTACCATCCAAAAGCATTTGCATCCCTTTTGTCAGGACTAAATTCACCTTAAGGCACCATGTTGAGTAGGGATTTGAATAGAAAGGTTATTATTATTTTTTTAAATAGAAAGACTATTTTGGGGCTTATTGATTAAATTTATTCTAAATCTCACTATTACCTGCTAGATACTTTCTGATTCAACAAAATACATACGAAGCATACTCGTCTAAGAGTCCGATTCAACAAAATACATGTGAAGCATACTCGTCTAAGAGTTGTAGGGATTAGAATCCGTAGAATAATCTAACCAATTTTATTCTCTTATCTTTGTTAGCTAAATTCAGTCTTAATCAATCATTGACAAAGTATTTTCCCATTTTCAAGATATTTGGTATATTTAGGTGTTGTCGATTTCCAATATATTAGGTGCTTCTTTGATTTCCAAATATACATTCTATATTTAATAGTGGTAAGAGACAAATGCTCAACTCTTGTCACGCATAGAAAAAAGTGATTAAACAATATTGTAGAGCCTTAGAAAATTTTCATTTATTACTCTAGCACTCGTGACATTATCTATATACAGCTTGTAAGTAAAGTGAGCCAAATTTCCAAAATAAAATCCCAAGAAAGGTTTGACATTTAAAAGGAAAAAAAAAAAAAAAAAAAGAAGACAGAAGTCAGGGTAGTTACATAATAGACAATTCTCTTCTGCAATACAAAACCAAATGCACCTACAACACGTATCGCCTTTAAAAGGATCCCAAGTTTAATTGGCTAAAGAGACTATATGCGCAACAAAGCTAAAAACTTTTGACATACTACGGTAAGATTTAGAGAAAAATTGCAAAGTCAAAACAATGAAATACCAAAACTTCGTCAAAATACCTTTCTAAAATAGCTCACATCATGCCAGCAATAACAATTGTAAGAACAATGAAAAGAGAAGCAAAGCAAGAAAGAGCTTACTGTCAAGATAGCTTGCAAGAGAAGTAGATAGAAATATATCTTCCGGTCCTGCCCAAGACATTGTGCTCAAACTTTTTCGGTATCTGAAAAATCACCGAAAAATCCTCCAAAAACGAAACAAATGGCATTGGCAACTCAGATTCTCTCTGATGCCACACCAACACTCCCCTACAATCCAAATCTCTCCAAAAACAATAAACCCTAAATTCAAAACGACACAAAACCTCGAATAAACCCAAAACCTACTTCAATCACTACCTCGCCAATAACTTTCCTGAGCTCTTTCACTTGCTCTTCAGATCTAAAAGGCCTTACCTGTCTAATCCCGAACCCCTAGAAATCAAGACTGAAGACTTTGACTTTGCTTTCTCCTCCGGATTGATGGAACTAAAATGGTTTGAAAAAGAACACTCAGATCCAATCGCACTGCAAGAGTTGAAGAGAAAATAGAAGGGAAAGCGCGAGAAAGGGAGAGAAAATGCAGGAAATTTATTTAAGTGATTGGATTGGGAGATTTCTAGGGTTTGGACCTCCCAGGAGATTGCGCCTGCAATTTCTTATTCGGAGAGATATTTGCTTTCTCGCTATCCAGTATCTACTACTCTACTTATTTTAAATTTAATAATAAGATTTTTTACTCGATGTAGTTCGAGAAGTGACTAGGAGAAAAGTGAGGAACATACGTGTAAATTGTCGACAAATTTTGAGGTTCTGTGCTGCGTCAAAATTATATAGCCTTTCGAGGTGTGACATTACCCTTACTATAACCTTCTAAAAATAAAAAAATTTACCATTATTATATTTTTTTCAACTCCAACAATTATATGTGTATTTTTATATAAATCTGACGAAGTATTACTTATTTTTAATTTCACGGATTGTTTTATATCTTTTGTGTAAAATTTTTTTTAATAACAACCAATCATGTATCATACCAGTAGAGATGTCAATTTTTACCGCCCCGTCGGGGTCCCGCCCTGTCCCACCCTGTTAATAACGGATATGGGAACACTTTTTATACCGTTGGGGCGGGCATGGATACAAATTTTATACCCGTCGCGAGTCACGGGGCGGGTAAGGGTTCGGTATACATATCCTAGGGGCCCCGCCCCGCTAAGCATATAACTATATTTAATATATATAATTAATAACTTATTTTAGTGGCTTACCCAGTTACCCATCTTTTACAATCCTAATTTGGGATGTAAACTTGGTATTAAATTTACTTTTGTTTTGGTTATGGTGGAAGTTGAAGCTTAGAATTTCTTGTGATTTGGTTGAATTAAACTTTTATTTTTGTTTATTATGTTTCACTGAATTATGTTATGTGCATGTTATTTTTTTATTTTTATTGGGATACATAATTTCATTTATGTTGTGCCATTCCCAAGCTTTCCACATTTAAATAGCAGGAGGTTACGCTCCAAAAAATGGGAGAAAAAAATTTGTTAGTGGGACGGGCATGGGGGCACAGTATTTCCCAACGGGGCGGGGCTGGACATGAAAATCCAACCCATCGCGGGTCTCGGGGCGGGTATGGACTTGACAAAAATTAAAAGGGGTGGGGTGGGATTTAGGAAAACCCGCTCCAAACCGGCCCCGTTGCCATCCCTACATACCAGGCTCTACATAACTTTTACAAACCAACTTGATTCACCTTACTTTTTCAAATCTCACGTCCCAATCCTCCTCAATTAGAAAAAAATTAATAATTTCCCCCTATATTTCATTTTCTCGTCTCGTTAATAGCAAATCTTTCCCACCACCAGAATTCTAACTTAATAACAAATAATAAAATAAAATTCAAATAGGTTAAAGCTACATAATCAAAGGTTTTATATCAACAATTATATATAAACGTGATAAAAATATATATATATCTAATATTTGGCGACGTAGTACATATTTATCTCATTATAATAAAATGTAAAATAATAAAAAATCTAAAAAAAACCCTAAAATCTAACAAACAAAAGTGAGGATTACAGAAGATATCAAACAAAAGTGATGAATCAAACTATGTTTATAAATATATATATATATATATATATATATATATTAATAATATTAATAAAAGATGGTCGAACAGTTCTTACCTTAGTACCAGTTGCAAAGTCTTCCTCATAGCGCTTTATAAAAGTAGAAAACAAATAGGCGTAAAGGAATAACAGAGAAGAAAGAGAACCGCGAGTGAGAAAGGGGGAGAAGAGAGGAAACATGTTTATGTGGTTGTATAGAAAGGCAGTGTAAAATATATAACCATTTTACATATTGTTAATGTGACAGTGTATCTTAACCGACTGTTAGAGATGAAAAAAAATATACAAATCATATGTGGTCGTATATATTTTACACAAAATAATTTTTTAACGCGTTGAAAATGCTCTAACATGGCCATCTCCACCTTTTACACGTCCACCCTCTAACAATAACCATCAACCCTCCCTCTCATATTTATAGACAGCATATATCTTGGTAATGTTATGTACCTAAACTCGTGTGTATAAATCTAATTTGAACAAAATTAATATATCCACACGAATATACTTGTGAATCAATATATATATATACATATTCACATATTGTTCTTCTCTGTTTAAATCATTTAATTTTTTTCAATTAATTTTCATTACGTTAATTTTTAAGGACCAATTAATGTTCAAAAAATTCACGGTATAGTACTTTGCAGCTAACCTTTGCAAACTAAATTTTATGCCAAATGATCCTCTTAATTATATAAAATTTACAAACCGTTCCCTAGCTATTAAATAGAAAAATGTAGTATTACTATTAAATATGGTGATGGACGATTACTTAGATATCTTATTTTTCAATAAAAGTTGCAAATGTAAAATCGGTATTTTCAAAAATTTCAGACACTCCACTTTTAAAATTTAAATATTAATGGAAGTGGAGTGACCAATATTTTTTAAGTGTTAATATAATATATTTTAAGAAATAAAATTAATAATAATTTTATAAAATATATATAATAAAAAAACATTAATTAGTTAGGTAAATAATCACACACACCTGAATTTTTCACTTCTTTTATAAAGAAACAAATATGACCTCAACTGAGTTGATATTCCAAGATTGTGTAAAACAAATACTAAGTTTCGAATACAATACGAGGATAAGAGAACTGTTACAATTGCAAAAATCAAATATAGAGTACTAGAGTGTTTTTTATGGAGTACTCCACTACTCCGTAATAATTTAGCCGATTAGGCCGGTTCGAACTCACTAAGATTAGATACGTGTCAAAATCGTATTGATTCAAGACAAAGAAAGTCGTAACGGGGAACAGGATAAGAACATGGATCTGTCTAGCGTTGACTTTTGGTCTCTGTCATATAAACAAAGATCAATAGTCAGTACCATATCCTTCCGTTAGAAAAGGTTACTAGAAGGCATTATTAAATTTTGCGAAAAATTAAGCGTACATTTGTACTAATTGTTTGTACTATATATTTTATTTTTAACAATATACGAGTGACGTGAATAAAGATAATATATAACATATTACACAATGTTATAAAAATATTTTTCTTGCAAAATATTTTATATTAACACTTTTTTATTTAAAATATATATATTTTTATTTTTCTTTCACAAATGTTACAAAAATATGTCTAACTAATAAAAGTATTTTAAAATTAAATTAAAATACTTATTTTAATCATTGATTATTTAATTTTTCTCTCACTATCAATTGGTCCAATTATTTTTATATCAACAATAATAATAATTTGACAAAAGAATAATCAATTGATTTTGAAGAAAAGATAAAGAAACCGAAACAAGTCTCGAATGTAAACAAGTGAGGTTTTTTTTTTAAGTCAATAATAATGAAAAAATTATAATAGTAAAAACAAATTAAAGAAACAAAAAAAAAAAAAAAAAAAAAAAATTATATAATTGCTGTTAAAAAATAGATTGACCTGTTTTTGATCACAATAACATACGTAGATTCACTTATTTCTTCTCTATAAAACCTTATTCTACTATGTAACTCTTCCATTTCCATGCACTTGATTGACGGACATTTTCAATACCAAAGGCAATGAAATTGGTTGGTTGAAAAATAAATTTTTGAGAATTAATTGGTAAGTTATTTTAATTAAATTTATAAAAAAATATTTTTCTCAGTAAAATATTTTCTTTGAATTTACCATAACACCGGAAAATACAGAAAATATTTGAGCCTAAATTAAAAATACAACTCACAAATAAGAATTTCAATAATTGAGTAATCCTCGTTTTAATGGTTCTATCTGCTTGATTGCATACATGTAAAATGAATTCGCACTACAGAATCAAGAACATCTGCAAATGATCTCATGCATAACATATAAAGGACTTTGGTTTTTTTTTTGGCATGTCCAATTACCACCACAAAATATAAGGGACTGATAATTTTCATAAAATGTCAGAACCGACTCCAAATGAGTAATCTGATCCAAAGCCTTAAACCTATTATCATATTCAATCAATCTACTTCAACCCTCAAATTGACAAGAAAGCAATATATATCAGACTCAGTAATAATTGTACGCACAGGTAAACTAGTGATAAATCAAAACATCAACAATATATTTTAAATATTTTAAATGGTTGAACAATCAAAACATCAATTTGTTCAAATTGTTGCACAATCAAAACATCAACATCCACCAAAACTGAAGATATTAGAGTGCTAGAGGGTTGATCAGGTTATGACAGCTCCAGCTAATTCTAACTGAAATGAGACAAATAGTAAAAATAACAATTTCTTGATTCAACTCCAATGATTGCGAACTGAGAACCAGATGTGAATCTATCCTTAACGGTACTGAAAAATGGGAAAAAAAAACATAATAAGAACATCATACATCTATCAAAAAGCAAGTAAAAAATTATGTCAAGTGCATAACTGCAAATCTGTATGGCTCATCACTGTTTTAAAACAGACTCCCAAAACAAACTATCAAAATTAAAGGGAAAAAAAACAAATGTATAACATAAAAATATATATAAATATGATTGATCATCATAAGAAGCACAAAGAATAAAATGAAAATTATGATGTGCAGAACAAATAAATGTGAACATATGATATGCAAAACAAATAAAGTGGGTGGTCCTAAAAATCCTGGCACTACTATAGCCTTAAAGCAATAAACTTTACAGTGAAAGTTCAAACAAATAAGATTTTGTGGTTGGCTATTTGACTGTGTAAGAATTAACAATGCCCACATTAAATTGACAAAGCTCATAACACCCAACAGATTTAAATCACCTATAGAAATTACACAATGATAAAAATACCCATATTATAACAAATTTTAATTATTAGAACTTTAAAAAAAAAAAAATGCAATTACTTCATACTAATCAGAGAATGGTGTGAGATCAGCATGGTTGTGGAAGGAACTCTAACCAATCAAAAATTTAAATATATTTGACATTTTCAAGTAGTAAGGGTGAAAAAGATGATAGAACATCATCTATTTTAATGTCACCTGGATTTAGGTACATGTGTATCAAGTGTGTGTACATAATAAGCCCCATATGGATCAAATTTTGAAACCTAATTACAAGGGATCACACCCACCTAGGTTTGTATGTCAAATGTGGGTATGTGTTTGAGCCACAGATTTATTACCTCCCCAAACCAAAATACAAAAGAAAATGACTAAATATTCATATTTTTCATGTTATCTTTGGTTGTCTACAGTAAAATGTTCTTTTTATGTAGAGAGGGAAACGTGGACACTTCACTCATTTTGAAAACATAAATTTAATAAAAATATCATAAGATAGTCTTATATACAACTATCTAAAACTCGAACATTGGATCTGTTTTCTAGGTGTGTTTCTAAGTTCTAAGTTTCAACCCAAATCCACAACCATGTCTCGTATCTCCGATGCATGTACTTCACCCAGTAGAAGTTTTCATGCAATATAAGAGATCCCATTAAATACTCTCTGATATTCTTCTTTTGTTCTCGAAGATAATACGATATATCTTACAAGTAATAACAGGAACATAGTAAGGTACATATACAAAATCATAAGCTTGAAATACAGCATGTTACACCAAAAGATTTACAAGAGTACATAACACCACAAAACTATAGTTATATACAACTATCTAACACCTAAACATTGGATCTGTTTTCTAGGTGTGTTTCTAAGTTCTAAGTTTCAACCCAAATCCACAACCATGTCTCGTATCTCCAATCATGTACTTCACCCAGTAGAAGTTTTCATGCAATATAAGAGATCCCATTAAATACTCTTTATTATTCTTCTTTTGTTCTCGAAGATAAAACGATATATCTTACAAGTAATAACAGGAACATAGTAAGGTACATATACAAAATCATAAGCTTGAAATACAGTATGTTACACCAAAAGATTTACAAGAGTACATAACACCACAAAACTATAGTTGGTTGTTATGTGTTTTGTTTGTATACATCACTTACTTGAAAACATCGATGTAATAATATAGCTCAACACCAGAGCATGCTATGAGCTGAAAAACACTCCCTTTCTCTCACACACACCAATTCATGCATGCAATTGCATAACAAGGCAGATTAGTCAGACAACTAAATTACATTTTTAGTGGCTACCAAAATGAAACTACATGGCTTATACAGACCATTACAAAAGCAAGTTGATAACGTAAAACTTCAAAAGCTTAAAAAGAAACAATTAAACCTACCTTGATGAAGCCAATCTGCTTGGCATTGCTGTGGAAGCACTGCCTGCAACACATAAGCCCATACTTCCTGATCAACCCATGCGGGTTCCCACAAACACGGCTGGGAAGAAAGCAAACAAAAAAAATAATAAATAAAATTGATCATCAGAATAGGCACAAAGAAGAAAATGAAAATATGATGTGCATATAGTGAACATATGAAAAAAAAAGTACGTACTCCTAAAAAATCCTGCACTACTATAGACTTAAAGCAATAAAGTTTACACTGAAGGTTCAAAGCTATTTGAATGTATGATATGCAAAACAAATAAAATTTTGCAATTGGCTATTTGACTGTGTAAAGATTCATAAACCCCACAATAAATTGACAACACTCTTAACACCCAATTGATTAAAATAACCTATAGAAAATACAGAATGATCAATTAATAAAGTTAATAGACAAAATTTGCATTTGTAAGAGGGAGCACAGTGAAAAGAAAACTCAGCCCCTTAGATGTTCATAAAGAATTGCGATCATATTCGCAAATCATTACAGGTCTGTATGGCTCATCACTGTTTTAAAACAGACTCCCAAAACAAACTATCAAAATAAAAGGGAAAAAAGACAAACGTATGACATAAAAATATATATACGTAGATAATGTGAAAATATGATATGCAAAACAAATAAAGTGGGTGGTCCTAAAAATACTGGCACTACTATAGCCTTAAAGCAATAAACTTTAGAGTGAAAGTTCAAACAAATAAGATTTTGTGGTTGGCTATTTGACTGTGTAAGAATTAACAATGCCCACATTAAATTGACAAAGCTCATAACACACAACAGATTTAAATCACCTATAGAAATTACACAATGATAAAAATACCCATATTATAACAAATTTTAATGATTAGAAGTTGAAAAAAAAAAAAAAAACAAACAAACAAACATATTTACATTTGTAAGAGGAGTACCATAAAAAGAAACACTCAGTCCCTTAGATGTTCATAAAGAATTGCGATCATATTCGCAAATCACTACAGGTCTGTATGGCTCATCACTGTTTTAAAACAGACTCCCAAAACAAACAATCAAAATAAAATGGAAAAATAAACAAATGTATAACATAAAAATATATATAAATATGATTGATCATCATAAGAAGCAAACAGAATAAAATGAAAAATATGATGTGCAGAACAAATAAAGTTGATAATCCTAGTGACCATATGATATGCACAACAAATAAAAAGTGGGTGGTCCTAAAAATCCTGCACTACTATAGACTTGAAGCAATAAACTTTACAGTGAAAATTCAAACAAGTAAGATTTTGAGGTTGGCTATTTGACCGTGTAAGAATTAACAATGCCCACATTAAATTTGCAAAGCTCATAACACCCAATAGATTTAAATCACCTATAGAAATTACAGAATGATCAAAATACCCATATTATAACAATTTTTAATGATCAGAAGTTGAAAAAAAAACCAAATTTACATTTGTAAGAGGGAGTACCATAAAAAGAAAACTCTGTCCCTTAGATGTTCATGAATTGCGATCATATTCGCAAATCATTACAGGACTGTATGGCTCATAGCTGTTTTAAAACAGACTCCCAAAACAAACTATCAAAATAAAAGGGAAAAAAAAAAATGTATAACATAACAATATATATAAATATGATTGATCAGCATAAGAAGCACAGAGAATAAAATGAAAAATATGATGTGCAGAACAAATAACGTACATGCAAAACATATAAAGTGGGTGGTCCTAAAAATCCCGCACTACTATAGACTTAAAGCAATAAACTTTACAGTGAAAGTTCAAACAAGTAAGATTTTGTGATTGGCTATTTGACTGTGTAAGAATTAACAATGCCCACATTAAATTGACAAAGCTCATAACGCCCAATTGATTTAAATCACCTATAGAAATTACATAATGATCAAAATACCCATATTATAACAATTTTCAATTTTTAATGATTACAAGTTTAAAAAAAAAAAATTAAATTTGTAGGAGGGAGTGCCATAAAAATAAAAACTCAGTCCCTTAGATGTTCATAAAGAATTGCGATCATATTCGCAAATCATTACAGGTCTGTATGGCTCATCACAGTTTTAAAACAGACTCCCATAAAACACTATCAAAATAATAAGGAAAAAAAAAAAAAAACAAATGTATTACATAAAAATATATATGAATATGTACGTAGATATATGTGTATAAATAGATAAATATGGTTGCCAATTGGTCTCCAAACACAAAAAAAAAAAATACAGGTGTCATGGGGAGCTATTAAATGGGCAACACAATCCCTTTTGCTTCAAGGGAAGGAGTCGATCAGGAACCAAATTAATCCCGCCGCCCAGATTAAGAAGCTCTCATTCATATATATACACACAACACGCACATATATAATATACACATATTTACACAGATCTATGGAGTTGTAATTGGTTGGATCTAAAAGTAGAAAATAAATAAAATTTACATTAAAACAGAAAGGAAATCATTGAAAATGGTACATATATAACTTTGTTTCATCATAGCTGATATATATATGTATATTGAAATAGAAGTACATAAACACCCACAGTAGCATATGCAGATATCAAAATGGAAGATTGTTCAACTCAATAAACAAAAGTATCAAAGGTGATAATCGATCAACAAGAACTGGGTTGAGCTATATATTGAGCGACCAATCGGATCGATTATCTAAAGATGAAGGAGATAGGTCTCACCAGGCACGCGACCCAGGGCCGTAGTTCTTGGGATGAGAGTTCCAAACGTTGGAGTGACCCATGCTTCTTCGCTTACGACTTAAACCTAGCTACGGAGGCGGAATAGCACAGAGAAACGTCGAGACGAAGATGAATGCTAACTTGTGGCGCTCACAAAATGCAAAACCCTAGATTTGTTATATAAAGGGCGGAATATTCTGGGAGTCGGTTTAGCCTAGAGACTGTGGCGGACCCGCACCACGGACGGAGTCAAATTAACCGACTCGGCTCGGATTTATCCTCAACGACTCGGCGAGAAAAAGATGATGGTTTGTGTCATTGGACATTTGGACTCGGGTGAGTTAGGTAATTGAGTTGTTGATGACACTTTTTTACGTACCATTATTATTATTTTTAATTTTTTTTTAATATTTTTTTTCCTTCTTTTTCTTATAAGATAAAATAAAGGGTTAAGTGTATTAACTATAAATTCATCATAAAAGACTATTTTACTCTTTCTTATTAAAATTTTCATTTCTTATTAAATTATTTGTATTATCTTTTTTTTTTATGTAAATATTAATTATACTATTTATCTTAATTTTATTATTAGTATCAATTTATCATAAAAATAAAAAATAAATAAATAAATAGATTTATAACTACCATTTTCTAAATTGATTAAATTATTATTAAAACTTTATTATTTATAATAAAACGTATTATAACCAATTTAAATATTTTTATCTTAAAAAAATATCATTTTTTTCATACAATATATTGATGCAAAATTAATAAAATACTTTTGAAAAAAATACATTATTTTCATGTAATATATGAATTAAAAATAAAAAATTAATTAATTTTTTAAAAAAATGTCTTCTGAAATTTTTTATTTAAATAATTAATTTAAAACTTAAAGGTAAATTTATGCAAATTTAATGAAAAATATCTCATCAAATTAGTATGAATTTTTTTTATAATTTATTTAGATAAGAAAAATATATTAAATATAATTAAATGAAGGGGCATTATGGTCATTTAATAAAATATAGTATAGTCATTGGGGTATGTTGCAACAAAATGAGATAGTTTAGAGGGGTTATACATAAAATATAGCTAAAGGGGGTTATTTGCAAATTTAAACATAGTTCAAAATAGTTTTTTTTATACTTTACCCTAAAATAAATAAGGTGTAGTAGACCTAGATAACAATTTTTTTTATAGAGAGAGACTAATTTTACCGTATTGTGCATTTTGATTGAGTATTTTATACAGAGGAGATTAATTTTATTAGATTGTGCATTTTGATTTTTTTTTTTCCTGGCAACTACAACAACAGAAAAAAGGAAGAACAACAAACACTACCAACAACATCAAGCTCCAGAAGTCGAAAAATTGACAACAGCAACAAAGCAAGAACGATGTTCGATTCCATATCAGTCCGTGAGAGTCTTGCAAGAGCATTGGCCACTCTATTGCCAATGAAGTCTATGAAAAATTCTTCAAAGTTGTCCGGATGTCATATATCATAGACGCAATCGCAACATTTCCAAAACTTACCCCTTCTATGGCTTCTGCCACGAATTTAGCATTCAATTCAAAACAACACAATAAAGTTAAATTATCGAGCCCAATAGATAGCACGTCTAAAGCAAAGTATTTCTGCCTTTAACACCGACAAAGAAGAAAAAAGTTTAAAATTTATTGCTTGAAGAACAGATCCAGAAAAATCCTGAAACACTGCACCTCCACCTCCTAACTTAAAAATTATCAAAAAAAACTAACATCAACATTATATTTAATAGCTTCATTCAAAGGACTAACCCAATGAGTAAAGGACTCAAACCTTGGATTGTAATGTCATGCTAATTTTTCTATCTATTAGAGCTATTAATAAAAAATGTGTCTTAGACCTACATAACAATTTTTATACGGATTGTGTATTTTGATTGATGGGACGGTGCGGTAACGAGGTTTTTTTTGTTAACAACTCAAAAGCTTAGAGTAGGTGTCCAACAGTCCATATATACCCAGTTTACCTCATTTGTTTTTCCATTTGGATCTGACGACTAGATTTGACTTAGATATCAAGAGTCGGTGGAACTGTTATAACATAGTATTTGTTTCGTATGTTATTAGAAAAATTATATTATTGATGACTTTAATACTTAAAATGGAGATAAAATATTTCAACTTAAATATGTATTATTATTATTATTGTTTGTTTTCAAAAAATAGGTCTCTTTTCCTTCCTTATTTTTTAGTTTTTCATAGCCCCTTTTCTTATTTTTTAGTTTTCCATTTATGATTGTATATTTTTACTTTTATTTTTTATTTTATTTCTCTTTTTCACATCAATTGTCAAAGTATAATAATTTGATTTGTACAAAATCTATAACAAAAATTACAATGTTTTTTTTTATACAATTTTTCAATACTTTGTAAATTTTTTTTTTTTTAAATTCCTTTTCTTATTTTTGTTTATGGGAGTAATCATTAACTTTGATTGTTATAGCAATTAAGAAATGTCTATCAAAAAAACTGATGTATATTAATGATCAGAAACTTTAATTACCAAAAAATAAACTACAACTTTTGATAAAATTTATTACAAGTTTTATTATATTTGACACATAAATAATCACATATACTTGATGAAATAGTAGTAAGGGCCCGTTTGGCATGCGTTTTACTTTAGGCATTTTGTTTTTGGCTAAAACCGAAATAGCGTTTTTACTATTAGAGTGTTTTGGCAAAAATCGGAAGCACGTTTGGGAACGATGTTTTACTGTAAAAATGTCGGAAACAAAAATATGCAAAACACGTTTGGTAAGTCATGCGTTTCAAGAATTTTAAAAACAAAACATGTTTGGTAACTCCAACTGTTATAAACAAAATAAAACAGAAATAAAAAATATGTTTGGTTATCATTGTTTTTAATTTATTTTTATAAATTTTAAATTTATTTATAAATTTATTTCTATATAAATAGTCTATATATTTTTAATAAATTTATTGAAATTTGAACACACAAACATATATATATAACCAAAGTGTAATTACAGAAGCAACTGCTTTAGCGAAAATGTAGAATGTTAGTTCTAATAATTGAACCAATAATTTCAACAATTTTGCATGTTATCTTGATCTGAAACTACTCTTCAAGTTATTTGAAATTTCTTGGTATAGTTTGTTCCTTTGGTGATGATTGTCCATAGGTTTGTATTTCATTCATTTTGCTCATTTTTCGCATTAGCGAAAGAAGAAAAAAAAATACTACACAGCTCTGATAATAATTTTCGACTCTTGTAAGCCTGCACTGGTGGGAATTTAACTCAAAAATACAGATTCTTGCCTTCTCTTTTGTAAAAAAATTTAAACCCCCACCAAATTATATATATATTGATTTTTGCAATAACCTATTTACAAGTTATTTGCAATAACCTACTTCAAATTTATTATCATTATACCTGTATAGTCCAATTCAATATTAAAAATAAATAATCTATAGTCACATTTTACTATACTACATGAGAGTCAACATTTGTAAAAAAATTTGCAATAACCTATTTACAAGTTCTTTGCAATAACCTGTTTCAATTTTATTATCATTATACCTGTATAGTCCAACTCATTATTAAAAATAAATAATCTCTAGTCACATTTTATAATACTACATGAGAGTCAACATTTGTAAAAAAAAATTGCAATAACCTATTTACAAGTTCTTTGCAATAACCTGCTTCAATTTTATTATCCTGATACCTGTATAGTCCAACACAACATTAAAATAAAAACAAACTCAATTGAAAGTATAATTGAAATAGAGTGTATAACATTTGCAAGTCCTGAAATATTCAACCAACAAATTAAACACGTTTAAGTTGTACATAAAATGTTTGGAACAAAGCATTAACAATACGTAGTTGTCATTAAAAATTAATAAGAAGTTCATAAAGTGGATAACAATGGCAACGACACATCATCTTCATAACAGCACATGTGGCCTTCAAGAGAGCATCAACACACTTCATATCTGCAATAATAGCATTTAAGTTGAATTATATATCTGCAAAAAATATTTATATTACATATATATATTGCAAGCTCACAATAGCAACAAATATATTACATGTAAAAGAAAAAATATACCATCACCTTCAGAAGGATCAAGAATGCTGAAGAGAATTCCAAATCTGATCAGCAATAGTATTACGCAATTGATCCATTTCTCGAAGCTGAGCCGAAGGCACATGCTCAACAATCTCATCATCTTCACTATCACTTTGAGGAGGATCATTACCATCAAATATGTCATCAGGCTGATGCTGATTTTTGATAAAATTATGTAATGTGCAACAAGCCATTACAATCAATACTTGTGTTGAAAACTTATAAGGAGGCATTGCCCTCAAAATAGCGAATCTCATCTTCAATAACCCAAAGCATCGCTCAATTATATTTCTCAAAGATGAATGCCTATGATTGAACACTTCCTCCCGACCATGAGGTTGTCTAGTCCTACGGTATTCCTGAAAGTGGTAAGTATGACCTCGAAATGGGGCCAAATAACCAGGCTTATTGGCATACCCCGAGTCCACCAAATAATACTTACCTGCCATGTTTAGAATACATAAAGATATATACAGTATGATAAACTAACCATATATTAAGTGAATTTATAAAAAAATATTACATGCTGGTGGAGCTGGAAAGTTCATTGCCTCATTTTCAGTACACTCATTTAGGATTCTCGAATCATTAGCTGAGCCTTCCCACCCAGCTAGCACATATGTGAACCTCATGTCAAAGTCACATAGAGCCATTACATTTTGTGTGGTATAACCCTTTGTACCACGAAATGGAAGTTGTGTACTTGCTGGCAGAGTTGCAGGAATGTGGGTTCCATCTATAGCTCCCACACAATGCCTGAAGTAAGGGTAAAACCTAGAAGACTCTCTAATCTTATTCGGAATCACAGAAAAATTAGGAAGGGTAATGATATGGGTGCCCAACTGACATACTGCATGCAACACAGCATGGAAATGTCTAGAAATGGTTTCAGTGGAGTGTTGAAATCTCTCTGCTACAACACGATTCCTTTGATTATGAGATAAAGTGAGCAAAAAGATTGCCACTTGTTCATAAACAGTTAAAAATTTAGAATCCTTCAGCCCTATACCTTTCAGGGTACTACACAATATTCTAAAAACTTCAGGGTACATCCTAAAATTTTCATAACATCTTTCTCTATGGCCGTTTAAAATCTCTATAACATATATTTCCCCTTGTAAAATGGAATCCCTACAACGCCTCTTTTGATAGAAGTTCTGCTCTTCTAAAAGAGCAGCAAATATTAAGACACTCTCATTATCCTCCTCATCGTCAGATAATTGAATTATTCTTCTTATATTGTTCCACACATCCATTGCCCTATTTAAAGATTTAATACAAGCAAAGCATTTAAGTTAATAAGCAAATCAATTAAATAATAAACAAAACATTTAAATAATAAAATAAATATTCAAATAATGGTATTAAAGTATTTGAGTACTAACAGGCATCCAAGAAATAAAAGTATTTAAGTTATTATAGCCATCCAAATGTGAGATAATAAAAGTATTTAAGTTATTATAGCAATCCAGATGTGAGATAATAAAAATATTTAAGTTATTACAGTAATCCAAATGTGAGATAATAAAAGTATTTAAGTTATTACAGTTATCCAGATGTGAGATAATAAAAATATTTAAGTTATTACAGTCATCCAAATGTGAGATAATAAAAGTATTTAAGTTATTACAGTTATCCAAATGTGAGATAGTAATAAGTTAAACGATGACACAAAACACAATCATCCATAAAGAAAAACTCAAACATTCAGTGCCCATCCAATTCTTACATCCTCAGGTGCCGAAAGAAAAAATTTCTGCCACTTCTCAGAATCATATAATAACTTCGATACCTTAGCGAATTGGGCCATCTCAATTCCAGGTATTTTTTGTAAAAAGAGCATGGAGGCGTCAAACATTTCATAATCTCTATCCTTTTTTGAGGGAGAGAGAACTTCATCATCTCCTTTCTCACATGAAGATACACGAGTAGAAGTAGAAGATGCTTTAGCTGCTTTCTCTATTGCAGCTTCCATTCTCTCAGCTCTCCTTTCAGAATTCTCATTCATGTTTGACAAGAGTGCAGCTATACCAGGAGATAAAGCATCTCTTTTGGCTTTCTTACCTTTACATAAAGGTGGGGGACTGACCTCACAACCCTCTTCCTTATCATCGTCATCATTGGGAGTGGGCAAAATGATTGTGGATGGTGCTGTAGTGGATGGGTGGGCATGCATCCCTCTTGCATATGTGTCCCCAAATATAGTCGACATCTTATCAAAATGCTTACATCCATACTTTTTATACTTATTTGCATTCGTAACAACCTACAAATTTTGTTACAATATTAACCACATAACCAATAGTATACAAGATTTTAATATTTATTTATGACTAATAATTAAATTACTAACCTTGCACAACCTGTCCCATCTCTCTTCCTCAACTATAACCATGCCCGTCTCATGGTTATATCCCACGCCAGTCTCCGATAATAATTTCTTAAACTCAGTATAAATTTTCCTCAAACCATTAAACTTATTCCGAAGTTGGGTTAAACCAAATTTTCTCCCCGTGTGAACATTCATTTGTTTGACTAAATTACTCCAACCACTTTTACTAAATGTTGTGCCACTACGATTATTAGCCTTAACTTCTTCCACCATAATATTCACGAATTTTTCAATGAGTGACTCATCCCATAACAATTTTCCATCGTTCGTAACTTCAGCCACTTTTTCAATTGTGAGAGAATCACAGCATTGTTCCACATTCTCAACATCATATCCATCTAACATATTAATAACAACACAATAATTAATAACAAAAAAAAAATAATAGTACACATACGTGAGAGGAGAAAGGAAGCACTCTTACTCACAAAATTTCACTAATAATTTTGGGTGAGATTTGTCCAAACTCAAAGGAGTTTCAATGATATTGTAATCCAAACTTAGGGGTGTATGTGAAATTCGCCCTAAAATGTTAGTACTTTGACATTTGAGACAGGTTTGTCATGCATGTCACTGTGGTAAACAAACAAGTAGTATTAAAGAATGATCAATTGATAGGTTAAACCACAGAGGCCTCTGCTTTCTTTGGAGATTGGTATTTCCCAAAATAATATGTTCTTCCAAACTACAGGGAATTATATAAATTATGTGTGTTGCATTCAACCATTTTATGAAATATAGGTCAAACAAAAGAATGAAATTGACATTTCAAAGAACCTCTTTCTAATAGAAGAAAAGTAACTTTGTCCAAGTCAAAAACAAGTCTGTTATTCTACCACAGACACTATTACCCACAATATAATCATTTGTACATGTTAAAATTTGTATATAAAGGTTAGGGAGTACAAGTCTGTTCAAACTCTTTTCCTTCATTGCATGGGAATTAATTGGATGTTTCTAAGGAACAAGACACCTAGTGAGAGTAATATTAAAACAGTCAGTTTCCACTTCATAGGAAACTTAAAGGATGTTTCCCCTTCCAACGAATTGACTGAGATTCTTCTGAGTAAAAAAGTTTGTTCCTAGCACAAGTAGGTACGCTCACTAATCTGCACACCACATTTTGGCATTATAACTAATCTCACATTTCTATGTTCACCATTTACCACATCCATATGTGCACATTTCTGTCAATAGCAAATTCAAAGTGTACATTGACATATAGAGCAGAATTTGGGGAATTTCGTATTAGATTCTTTCAACAAGGTACCTCTTACCTAATGTTGAGAGAGAATTTTCTGATTCAACAAATCATGGTGGTCTTTTCATTCAAATTTAGTAAAAAATGTAGCATAAATATATAATCTGATTCAACATGTGATGTTTTATTACACTTCCTTGCATTAGATATTTTTTTGTTTTGTCCTCGTCTTAAATTAAAATTTTTTTGTTACGTCCACATTGTGAAACCAGCTCACTTAATTTTTTTTTTTTTTTTTTGTCACTAGTCACTTCAAGAGAGCAGTTACAAAATGATGAAAGGGCAAATACCCTGATTCAGATAAATTAATAGCATATATATGAATAAGAAAAATGTCTACGCCTAAGATATTATAATTGGTTCAATCTCAAGGGTGAAGGAAGGAAGCGTACACAGTAAACTCTCTTATTTAGTCCTTTAAGTTCAATTGATAAATGAGGTCTATTAATCTATCTAATCAATATTTGATTCTTAGTAATTGTTATATAATAATTTATCGGTGGCTTATGCATAAACTTCTAGATCATGTGTGCATAAATCAGTAGTAAATTGTCAAAGAAACGTACGGCGAGCTTTTAAAGAAGGCATCGCCTCATGATACATTTCAGATTTAATCATTGGGTTTCAATTCAATCTCATTTTAGATGTTCATTGCCATCTACATTTCAGATTTGATCATCATATATCAATTCAATCTCATTTTAAAAGTTCATTGCCATCCTTTTAAAAGTTGTTCTCGATCATCGAGACAGACAAGGCTTCAATTTAAAGGTGGGGACTTGAATCATAACAGTATGATTTAAATATTGTTGTTAACAAGTTGCACTACATGTGGCTACAATGGCCAATCTCATGTGACCTCTGATATGTATTTACTTAAAATGTTTGGAAATGGTAAAAGAAGGGGAAAAAACTTGAATTTAAATGCCGAAAAGAATGAAAAAATATAACAAAAAAGAAAAGAAGAGAGGCGAGGAAAATAAAGATAAAAAAATGTTAAAAAGAGAAGAACGCGCTTTATTTTTTGTTGCTTAAATTTGTATCTAGTGGTACTTGAAAACAGTATAATTATTACCATATCATCAAGTCATATAACAAATCTATATTGAGGTCCATGTCCTTGTGCAAAGCACATACCCCTTTACTAGTAACATAATTAGAAATGCACTATTCACTTTGTGCCTTGGAATGCTTCGTGTATATACTTAACATCTTGAGCAGATATCACTTACAGAAATGCATTACTCTCTCAAGTTGCACTAGTAATAAATTTATCCTAATAATAGACATCATTTTTTTCACCAGCATTGATTAGTATACTCTTCATTTGGTACAAAACATTTTGATTATAGCACATCTTATTAGAAGACTTCACCTCACATAGTTGATAAAAATTTATGATCATCCTGGAGAATTTTAGCTTCACCTCTAATATTAATAGTCCTTGGGAACAAAAACTAATAGACGTACAAGTGGGGTTTAACAACGGTGTGACCATTGTCAAGTTTGCTGGAGGATTTTACTTCTCAGGAGAGCCCATGCTCTCGTCAAAGTAGAATATGAAAAGTCCTACATTGTAACATGAAAGGCACATGGGCACAAAGGAAAAATGACAAGCATAGGGTGTTTTGTTCAAAATTTGTTTAAGTACAGAACTTGGAAGGAAACTAATGGGAACGCTTATTGAAAGACAATGAGGGTCGATATAGAAGAGCATAAATTGATTAAAATATATATATATATATGTGTGTGTGTGTGTGTGTGTGTGTGTGTGTGTGTGTGTATACTGTTACATGTTCCAAATGAAAATAAACAGGACAAATAATCCACACAACAAAACAAGATAGGGACTCCACACAACTTATTCTAGCTTGAAAACCAATGTACAACTTTTGTCATGACCAATGTGAACATATATCCTTTTTTTGAATTGGATACCAAGGAGTTCATTCCATGTCCCCTTGATATGGAAGTGTTGCAAAGTATTGATTAAAACAAGGCATCTCTTTTGGTTGCTAGGGCGAAAGGGCCTATTTTACCTTCTTTCTTTTTTTTTTTTTTTTTTTTTTTTTTTTTTTTTTTTCATAAGGTGTTCCAGAGATTTTCTTATTGATTAAGAGCCATTTAAAGGTCATCTATAAATTCATCCCCTAGTTTATTAGGCAATTATCCTTCAAACTATAGTCCTTTTCATTTTCTATTCTTAAAAGATAAAGAAATGGATGCTATTATGGCAAACACCAACCCTCGTAGGCCATGGTGACCATGTCTAAGGTGCGAGGGTCACGTGTCCAACGAGTATTAGAGAAGTGACCATGTCTAAAGGTGCGGAGTCATGTGACCATGTTTTATGAAAAAATTGAAGAATGATATGGTAACTCCTTATAGGTAAGTTGATCCTTGTCCAATAAGAAATTGAATTTGAGGAATACTTGTCTAACAAGGAATTGGGTTTTGAAGACTCTATAAATAGAGATGGGTATGAGGGGTTTAGATAAAGAGAGAAAAGAGAAAAGATGTAAGGGGTTTAAGGGTGAGTGTTGTGAGGAGAGTGGAGAGTATATGTAATTCCCGAGTGTATACATGTAGCCTTAAAAGAGATAATGAGTGAGTGAGTGGGGTTTTGATATGTGGTTGTATATTCTCTTTCTTAATTCATAATAGTAAAATATCTCTCTCCCATGGACGTAACTCTAGAATTAGGTGAACCATGTAAAATATTGTGTTGTGCGTTGATGTGTATGATTGTTATCTCCATATATACTTGTGTTGATGTTGTGTAATGATGCTTCTACTGTGTGTGATGAATGATGGATTTAACTCTCAACAGCAACCGACCATTGAGTGGGTTAGAGGGAGTTAATTATCCCCAATAGTTGTAAGTAAGCCAAGCCTTCCACAACCGCAGTTCATCCACAACCGCGCTCGTCACCCCGGCTGACCGCTGTTCCGCGCTTTCTGCCGCAAACCATCCATCTCCGCCACAGTCTAAAGCCGAGCTCTGCACCGTCCGAATCCTTTGTTGCCGGCCGATCCGTATCGCCGCCCCGTGGCTGCGATGTTCCTCAAATTTCTCTTTTAGGTTTGACAAGTTACAGAGCATTTTGAGTATATATGTATAATATATCTTATATATATATTATATTTCAAAGGCCCAAAAACCTCGTGTTTGGCCACAAGTGTAACACTGTTCTAGTTCTGGAATCAGAACTGAGCTGAACTAGTTCTGAACCCTTATTTGAAAAATAGTTCTGTGGTAAACCAGTTCTAAAAAATATATAAATAAATAAAAATTAAAAAAAAATTAAAAACTAAAAAAAAACAAAAAACAAAAGAAAAAATTGCCGATTCAAATTGTGGACTCAATTTTGGAGCATTCAAAAACTTGAATATTCTATTGGAGCGCACGTAGAAAAAAGGGCAAATGATAGCTTTGTCTTTCAAGTAAGTACCTCAAATTTTTATACCGGCGAATCTTCCGTTAGCGGTTTCATTTTTTTTTTAGGTAATTAACTTTTGTATGTAAATTTTAGGATAGAATAACTTAGACGTAACCTTAGGTTCACACTTTCTTTTATTTTATTTTGTTTTTGTATTTCTTTTTCTTGAAAAAAAAAAAAAGAGTCACACACTCACTCCCTTTTATTTTTATTTTATTGATTATCTTATTTGTGCATCTTTTAATTAGCATTTGCATAAGGTATTTAAGGGCAAAACCCAAACAAATACAGTTGGGATTTCATCACCCGTTTTTCATAGCCCACAAATCATTAAATCCTTGCATTTGTCAAATCCAAGCCAAATTTAATTTAATTTTAAAATCAAGTAGACATTGGCCATAGGGTTTTCCACATAGCTCATAGGATCCTCTTGGACAGAATTAATTTTTGGTCACTCTAGTGAGTACCTTCCAACTCGACAATGTCTAAGGAAAGTTTTGTCTAAGGGTGTGGGCATACCGTCATTAAGCAGGCCTCATCCTCCCCACACTTCCTAGAAACTTCCCTGGTTGTCATGTTGGTAGGCCTTAATTGGTAAGCCTCTAATTATTCTAAAAGAGAGTAGGAGCTTTTTCATAGGAGCT